AGGCTCTCTCTCTCTCTCCGAGGCTCTCTCTCTCTCTCTCTCTCTCTCTCTCTCTCTCTCTCTCTCTCTCTCTCTCTCTCTCTCTCCCGCCCTCTCTCTCTCTCTCCCGCCCTCTCCCTATGAGTGTATGCGTCTTTCTTCTCTTTCTCAGACTCCTCCTGACTTTTCTTTCATTCTCCTGGGTGGTTACCAACAGCCAGTTCATGTTGGAGTGTGTGCGGGGAAAAAAGGAAAAAGACCAAAAGTAGGGATTCACTGACCAGAAAAAAGCAACTTCATAGCTGTGTGGTGTAGACCGGGCTATAATAGTGGTGGTCAATTCTTCAGCCTTGCAAGCTGTTGAATGGTGCAATCCCAGCACAAGCTGCTGTGGCTCCTGCTGTGGCATCGCTATCATCATGATCATGGCCTCCAGCGATGGGCGTCAAATGGTCCAAATGGTCCAAATGGTGTTATAAGTGACAGCGAGTGAATGAGAGAGCGAGAGAGAGCGAGAATGAGAAAGGTGATTTGATTGTCTGAAAGAGATCTCGGGCCGCTGTGCTTAACATCAGTCCGGAATGAGAAAGTTGAACCGGATGATCAGAGACTGCGGAAAGGAAAAACATGGTGAAAATGGGATGTCAACTTCTAAAGCACGTCGCTGCTTCTTAGAGTCATCTTCTCTCTGCTCTCTATTTTCTTCTTTTCCTTTGGTTTCTTCGTGAGCTACTGATCGAGACCCCTCGTGTCAAGGCCCCTGGGGAACCATAGAAATAATTACACGCTGGCAGGCATTGGTGCTGCAACAGTGCTACAGCATGCAGAGCTGGTCAATCACGTGTGATGCCCATGTGCTAAGCTGTATTGAGAGAAAGTCGGAACGTGCTCTATCACTGTGCTGCAGCCATAGCCACAGGGGATACAAACGCGGGTGGTAATCACAATCACATGTTTACACATGGAATGTTATTAATTTCCATTTCAGGCGTGAGAATTAACCTCGTCACGTCGGGTTCAAGTCGGGTGCTCTGAGCCACAAAGGGGAACTACCTGCGGGCAATGCATGCATGGATCCAAGTGTCAAAATTTCGTTGGCATCTAGTTCATCAAGATGTCCAAAGAGCCCATGTAACTTCACTCCACCTGTCTGGTTGAGTCTAGGATACCCTCCAGCCAGGTGTTGGTTTGACCTCGTCTGTCACTGAGCCAGCACTTGTACCCTCCTGTCAGAGATCTCTGTTGACAGGAACCAGACGTGCAGCGCGAAAGGGCATGAAACCCGTTGACTGTTCACCACCCACCGACTCCACCAGTAGTTGAACCAACAAAGTAAGACCTCTCTTTCTCGCTGCGTTCCCCATGACGCCAAGACCCCAGGTCGGCTGAGGGCAACAACTAACAAGCCTCACTATGGGCATCACTATGCTCCAACTATGTAATGATTATGTTTGCCTTTGCCTGTGTGTGAGCTAGCTGTGACCATGGAAAAAAAACTAGTGGAAAAACTAACATTTACAACTACAGTAGAACAAACTACAGTAGAACACTGTACTGCATTTTCTAATACATGGCTTGCAGTTGAACTCAGCAGAGTCAGCTCTACAATTGTGGCTACTGATTGGCATGGGGCATATCCAAGATATTAGCCCATGCCTCCTTACTAGCTGTGTCCAGTGCTTGTCTGCTGCCGTATCTTGTGCCACAGGTACTGGAGGCTCCTCATATTCTCACATCTACAAACGAAACTGTAGACTTCGCCTCCATGACTTGTATGGGCCTTTCTCAAAGGTGACAGAATGACAATACATGTACGTGCAATGACAGGCAGGACACATTCATACACGTGCGGCTGTGATAAACAAAACAAATAGATCATCTGTCGCAAACCGTCTTCCATCCAACATCGCGTGACCACTGGTGCAGACCAATAATAATTCTGTCATCCATGCTGCAGTAGTATCGCTGATGCACAAAGGGGATGGTCAAGGTAGCCATGTTGATTGGGTTCATGCATAGCCAAACGAACACTAATCTAGTAGTAATGTAGGCTGATTATCAATATACTTGTACGGTTCCCTTTGGCTTCTTCTTCGTAAGCTGTTGACAGAGATTCCCTTGATTTAGGCTAAGACATGTGGAGAATCCATAAACACAAAAATGCAATACAAAAATTATACGTGCGTGTACAGGAGTCCTGGCACTAACCCACCAAGTCGCCTGTATCTAACAGCCATATAATATTATGTATATAATACACACAAGCGGAAAAACCGTCAGAGATCAAATTCCATTACACAGTGTTTCACCGTTCAAGCAACGAGGCTGTATGTATATTATAATATTCTAATATTCATCAGTTTGAGGGAATGAACTTGAAAAGGGGAACAAGTCCGAGGAACAAGAGTCACCAGGGAGCCGGGGATATTTGCTGTGCCCAGAGATACTCTAACCACTGAGCTATGGTGTAGTCGAAATCCAAGCAGCGACTGTTCCAAAAAAAAACTTCAGACGTCGAAACTCACGTTTCCTGTGAAATTGCACAGCCCTCACTGTACCCACACACTTAGTACAGTATCTTTTATTATTATTCCGTAATTCGTCATCTCACCTTGCAGTGGTCATGGCTAAAGATAACATCAGTGCCAATGCCCTTTATAGTCACTACGAGCTGTCTGTTCTCTGTTGTAGGTATTGTTCTCCTCCATTCAATGTGAGGCATGTGCACTTTCATAAAATGAAATAAATGCTGCCTGTAGAAGGGAGCATTAGACAGCCATGGCGATAGGTAATTGCAGTGAAGACGAAAGTAGGCAGTGCACAAACCTTGCTTTAGCACAAACCTTGCTGCATGTAGTACTGACTCTACTAGCCAACTACACGTACTGACTAAGCATAGAATCACAGAGATCAGGATCTCAGGACCCGATCACCAACATCCACCCTCAGCCCAGTGGGACTACCCAGTAGAATGCATCGTCTTGACGTTCTTGTACCTGTCAGCTGACCCACACCGTGCTCTCATTCATTCTGACATTTGTATTTATTGATCATAGCATAGGAAGGCAAATCGATGTCGAGGGAGAGGATCCCACCAATATAAGACATGAGATTATTTTAAAAGTTAGTTGAGATCAAGACTTAGTGTTCTCGTGAGCAGTAGTCCATGTTGCTTGTAGATATCTATGAATAGGCTAATGTTGAGAGCAGGCAGAATCTACACGTACCAGTATGAACAAACAGTCAATCACAATGCGAGAATGTGCCACAGTGGTGAATGCGTATGTCTTTGTTAGGCATTGTGCACTTCAGTCTTCACCGCCGCTGACCTCATTAGACCGAAGACTTTGTTTGTAGTCCAGGTGGTCGCCTACACCATGGAGTAGTACATTATATTGTACTACTCCCTGTACTACACAGCTCAGACACAGCATCGGCTAACCGGTCGCCTGCACAGCTCAGACACAGCAACGGCTAACCGGCTAGAGCCAGTAGAGGCACAAGTAACCAAACACTATGCTAGCCTGTAACCATCCCGGATTACTTCTATGTTCAACCGGCAATTTCCTAGCAGGTCACGTATAGCGTTGTGTAATGTTGCTAATCCAATCATCATGATCATCTAGTTGATCTACTGGCTAGATCCCTTGTACAAAGCCAACTAAACAGACTAAACAGCAAGCCGTTATTTCCCTCCCAGTCTCCCACTCATGCCCTCATGTGTGCCACATGAACTTTGAACTCCTTTGTCATTGCGGCGGCGGCGATGTTCCAGCCTGGGGCGCGGCTCGCAGCGCCTCTGGGGACCGAGAGCGCAGGAGAAAAGCCCTTCGGGCACCTGCACACTCGTCTCTTCACGACAATCAGACACGCGTTGTCAACCTTGTCAACAGGGCTCCGAGCAGTCAGCTCCGCGGACAGGTCTAGTCTCAAATACTTAGTACTCAAATAGATCGATACAGACAACTAACTAACTAACTTGGCAAGAACTTGAGCCGAGGAAGAGAAGTGTTGTCGATACACCTACCCGTAACCGTGACAGGAAAAGTGAAGTAAGTTATTAGTTAGTTAGTTACAATCGTATCGTCATACTCACACACAGATACACATACATGTCATGTACGATCATATACATACTGTATAACAACTACACATACTGAGTATGCAGATACATGCACATTTTGTTGTTGGTTTGTATTCTTTATTTAGAGTGGGAAGTCCAAAACAGGCCCTAGCCTAATAACAATGGTCCCACTAGTGAGGGAATGCTGTATATCTGTGCATAAGGATCAGTGAGTGTAACAGCAACTAGTAGGGAAACATTGTAGATAGAAACTAGTATTTTTGTGTCAGAGTTAGAGACATGAGACACATTCTCTGGTGGGCATCTGATTCTGAGCTGCAGACTGCCAGTGGCACTAGCACTGCCTGGACTAATTCACACAACAGATTTTCAGTCCTGCTAGCTGTTCGCTATGCTCCAAACTACCACAGCGCTCGGCAGACATCGCCTACCACTGGCACTGTAGCCTCTACCAGTGATTCACTCTACCACAGACTCCAGTGACCATGCATGGACTGGTGTAGTGGTGACTCCAGACCCCGCGCAACATACTAGTAATGGTAGTGGCAGCTGCACTCAGCAGATTCACACTAGCACTGGAGCACATCGATCAGTCCGCGCGCCTCTCCAAAAGACAAAACTTGTCGGTCCACCAGTGGCACCAGTCCATAGCCTAGGCGCAGATAACAGCAGCACGCAGAAGAATCTCCGATTATTGCTTCAGATAAGGCCCAGGCAGTAGACCATGACCCACACCACCGTCACGGTCCAGCACTGCAACGATGTGTGAAAGCGTTTGAGTTTTGGACGTGCGCTTTCATGTGGTTGGTGTGGGTTCGCGTCGTGACAGTTGTGTCCGAGAGCAGACCTGACGTAGCACAACGCAGCCAAGCAGCTGAAGCGCTTTCTATGGATATGAAGAGGTCCGTCAGCCTCCTCAAATGTGGACAAGGCGAAACAAATCATTCATTTCCACCTTCATTGGGGAAAGCGAGTGTTATCCGAACGGAAGGGTCCTGAAATATCTTCCTGCCTTGGCCTTGGAACGGTTGCGTGCTGTTTGCCATCAGAATGGCGCTACGCGTTGCAGCCATACTGCTGGGTAAGTGGTCAATGTTGTCCGAACATCCGCTGAAGCACGGCTGATTTGTACATGACATGTTTACCAATGCAATGGTATGTTGCAAACTGAAGGCGAAACTAGTCTCTTTGGTCCAGATTTCGTCAACCGCTGAATTATAAGCGAGACATGCTTTCTGTTGCGCTTGCGAATCGTTCATGCCCGGCGTTGGCCTCTGGAATGTGGAAGTGATTTCGTGGGTGTGTGACCGAGGTTATACAGTCATAATCATTATTACTAGTAGTAGTAGCTCTGTACCGCAGTGCAGCACTAAGCCCTGTAGGTTTATTAGTAACGTTACATACCGGTACCCCAGGAATGCAATGGCCGTGTTGGGGAGAACATCTCTCCGACTGTGGAGCAGGGTTCGTACTGTAGTCACAGTATTGGGAGACTAGAAGCCAGTCAAGTAAGTTCCGCCTTTTAGAAGCCAGTCAAGTAAGTTCCACCTTTAAGAAGCCAGTCAAGTAAGTTCCGCCTTTTAGAAGCCAGTCAAGTAAGTTCCGCCTTTTAGTTTTACATGCCAACACCGAGGCCGGCACAGGATTGACTTGTGATACCAAAACTGCAAAAGTCAACATAAGATTTTGTTAGGGCTGAAACGATCGTGGATTTTCGCGTATCGATTACTCTGTAGCTTAACGAATCGAGTAATCGATTATAATCGTTAGCAAATAGTGTCATAATTCTGTGCAAACATTACTCTGTCTCCACAAACTATGCCTTCATAATACCAACAAACCTGCATTAGTGAAAGGGTAGCTCCGAAACAGGGCAGTTTGAAGTCAATTTAAAGGGAAAAATCAAAATTTCACCAGTTGTAGTCTTCGGGGTGCTGAGTTGAATGGTCGTGGTCCGAGGAAGCTGAGACGCTCCCTTCCTACTTGAATCCCAATCGAACTCGCGTACTTCCACCGAAACTGGGTGACTGCGCCCTACTAGATGGGGATTTGTATGCAAAATGTCACTAAAAGCGCCATTTTGGTCTTATAAAAGCACGGATGACCGCGATTGGCCCATATGTTGTAGTCTTTTGGACGCTGAGTCGATTGGTTTTGGTCCGAAAAGGCTGCGATGCAGCGTTCCTCCTTTATTCCCAATCGAACATGGTTGAACAAGCGGTCACGTGCTCCTGCGTACACCAGTCACCTGGTCACCGTGCCTGCAGGGTATAACTTACTACCCTGTTTGACCTTTTTTGGGTGCAGTCCTGTCACTCGAGTTGAACTCGAGTTGAACCTTGGTGTGAAAGTTGTCGCCTGCCGGCGTGGTGACCAGGTGATTTTGACACCCAGGAGCACGTGACCGCTTGTTCAACCATGTTCGATTGGGAATAAAGGAGGAACGCTGCATCGCAGCCTTTTCGGACCAAAACCAGTCGACTCAGCGTCCAAAAGACTACAACATATGGGCCAATGGCGGTCATCCGTGCTTTTATAAGAACGAAATGGCGCTTTTAGTGACATTTTGCATACAAATCCCCATCTAGTAGGGCGCAGTCACCCAGTTTCGGTGGAAGTGCGCGAGTTCGATTGGGATTCAAGTAGGAAGGGAGCGTCTCAGCTTCCTCGGACCACGACCATTCAACTCAGCACCCCGAAGACTACAACTGGTGAAATTTTGATTTTTGCCTTAACTTCCCCTTTAACCTCAGAACCTGAACCATACCCCTGGCAACTGCATACTCCCAGCGGAAACTGATTCAAACTTCACAAAACGAGGGTTTACAGTACTTTCTGGACACAAATTTAAAAAACGCAAAATAATCGTAATCGGTAATCTAAACGATTGCTCGATCGTTAGAGTTATCAAACGAGAACTCGATCATTCGGTATAATCGTTTCAGCCCTAATTTTGATTGAGCATGAACTAGCTTGACAACAGACTCACCATTTACACCTGGCGGGTATGAGTCCTTGCATTCGTTACAATTTTGTTATCACATTATGGTTGGAGCATGGGCATGGGCATTGGTGGTGGCGGGTACAGATGTGGAGTTACTGGAGCATAGTGGTTTGGAAATTGATGTTGGCAGTGCAAAATGATGTCTAATCCATTCATGGAAACTCATGCTGAGATGTTGCAACTTCGGGTAGCATAGAAGAACATGGCTGCTCCAAACAGTAGAGGTTCCGTTTCCTGCTGGCTGACCAACACTTGACTAACTCTGGCCTGCCATTTGGAGCATAAGACAAGCACGTCAAACCATCTACTTGGCAGACCTGCATTACTCCCGGACAATCAAGAAAGGAACTTGGGTGGACACACCCATGCCCGTGACAAATGAAGCTGCATTCAAGACTAACGACTTCTACAGATTTGCTTCTCCCCGCACAATGCTTGTAGAATTCAACCTTCAGCAGTTGAGCTTGAGAAGGCTAATGAAACCTGTGTCCTGAGAGCAAAAACAAGTACAAGATTGCATAGTGCTCTCACCACTCCAGCATCACAACTCACCACGGATATCAGCTTAGACTTATAACGCTCTGTTTCCAGCGCTACAAACATCGCCGATCAGGCGTTAGCCCCAGTCAGGTTTACACATGGAGTGGTAAAGACAGTGACTGAGGCCAGTCATTCAGCGCTCAGAACTCCGCCGCCTTTGTAGTTAAATGCTCAACAATATGAACTGAGATGTGGCGACCTTGGCGGGTGCAGTAGAACTTGGTTACTCCTGACATTGGAGCGCGAACTCCAACGTGGCCCAGCCGGCAACTTCTTCATTGGCACTATGTTGCAACACATGGCGCTAGCCAATGAAAGAATTGCCATTCTAGCGCCATGTAGTGACTGGCACCGTCATTTTCATCAGTGTTGGATTTCATTGGCTAGTATCATGTGTTGCCACCACGTCTTTAGTGTATAATTTCATTCTTGGTTGAATGCTTCTTCTGTTGAATGTTCTATAGCTATCTCGATAGTGGGAGCACATCGCCAGCAGAGAGCTGTTCCAGGTACATGTAACATCAAACTAGCCACAATTATTATTTTATTGCTTCACACACGTATTCTGTCTACACTGCCTGTTCATGCTTTACAGACTTGTTGTGACTATCTGTATGTGTACGTGGAAAAGTGTGATAGACGTTGGTCACAGAGACTGACACAGACTGAGGTATTTTGAAATAATATTCAGCTTTTACTTTGCATGTGTGTGTGAGTATGTGTGCATACATGTGTGTATATGTGTGTGTATGTGTGTGTGTGTGTATATATATATATGTGTGTGTACGTGTGTGTGTCCAATTCCTTTTTCATCAGATAATTGTAACCTACCCCGAGAGCCCGGTCCATGTCGAGCAAGTCTTCCTCGCTACTTCTACAACAGTCAGAGTGCGCAGTGTGAGCGTTTCAACTATGGTGGTTGCCTCGGTAACGCCAACCACTTCACCACTGAGCACGCATGTGTGCTGGCATGTGAACGACATGGTAGGTTTGTGTGGGTGCTGTGTTTGTGTGTATTAGACCGAATAGATTAGCTTGCATGTTTCTACTGTTTGCAGTTACAAAGCATTTTAATTTCGCTTTGAATGTGCCGCGCTGCCGTATGGATCGCGATAAACAAGTGATATCATTTTCATTTCAATGTGGGGCAGATCTAGGCAGGGGCATAGCAGCCGGTCCGGCCGGTCCGCCTTTGGCTGGACCACTTTTTCGCCCAGAAGTGCCCAGAATGCAGGATTTTGCACCCTAATTTCAAAACTTTCCCGGGGGACACCCCAGACCCCCTCTAACTGGACCGCCTACAATGGCGGTGCTACGCGCCTGCTAGGTTATACATGTACAAATCTTGTTCCGAAGAAGAAGTATGAACAGGCGCTCTAAGTTTACTGTTAGCTGTGTTATGTGTTCAGATTTCCTATTTTTTAAAGTACCTTCAGCTGTAGCAGCGACCATAGACATGACTGACCATAGACATGACTGACCATAGACATGACTGCTAGTCACGATAATTAATGTTCATGCAGTGATGATTTCACATGCAAACTTGATCTATCCAGGGAAACCTTTGTTTGCCATGCGTGACTAGTGTCGGTGGTTTCATGTAATGCTGCTGCTTGTCAACTAGCAATTGTCTCCTGTTTGTCTTGTTCACCAGCTGATCCGCCAGCACAGGGCGAACGTAAGTTGCTTTACGCTGCATAATTCCAGCTAATTCCGCTATCAATACACGTTTTTTTTGTACTAGAGCTACCCATTACAGATCAGTAGAAGATATGAGTAAAGTATTGACTGATAGAAAGACCCTGCTATGTGCACGTGCAATAAGCAAAAAATGGTGCAATATGTTTTAGATAACCTCTCCAATAGGCTATTGAGAGTGCCATGCTTGCCTCTAGACACTCAGTGCTTCGTTCTACTTGGTTGCAAGGGTATAATATTATATGCCTTTGCTAGAATCTGGTAAATTTCTATCCGAATTTCACAACTTTGTATGTCACAGTTTAAAAGGAAATGTTGCATTGCTATGGCTGTTACAGGTGGTCATAATACGACTGGGCACTTGGCAAGATCTAGTCATAGGCACATTTTGTAGTCTGGGTGTTATGGTATAGTGCGGAGAAGGGGCAGGTCCGTAGTATATATTTGTATACATGTACTGGTCTTTTCTCTGCGCAGGTCTCAAGTTTGCTGATAGGTCATTCTGTGATCGAAGTAAGTCCTCAAGGCCATGATACTGCATAATCTTGAAATGTGTGTGCGCGTGTGCGTCCTGCACCAAAGATATGCACCGCACCGTCCTGTAGTATGCCTAGGTTTACAAGCAATTGAAATATTCGAACTCGCCAATAATGATCTTCCAAACCTGAGGTTTTTGTGAGGTATTATTGTGGAGGCAAAGACCAAAGGCAAATGCCCCTTCATAAAACAAATCCTTATCTGTAATTAGCCTTGAGCCTTGAAATGTGGGGAAAGTTCAACCATGCGTGGTATGCTTGTGTTACAGGAAATACGAGTACGTACAGACATGTACAATAGTTTGATACTTGCAACCAGACTAATGTTACCATCACTCACGTTTGTTGTCTGAGAAGACTGTAGTGTTGCAGAAAATGTTATCCTCAGTTTCCTACATAACCGATTGTGCATGGTGTACTGTGCTCACTCTTTCCGTCTCTCGCTTTCTCTCTCTCTCTGCAGCATGTCCGCTGCCATGTACTTGTCGAGGAAAACGGGTCGAGTGCCCGGGTCCATTGGATGCAGCACCTGCTGGCATTAGTTCATGCACTGAAGAGCTGTAAGTGGCCCTAGCGAGTGCATTGTTGAACCGCCATGACTCGTATTACAACTACTGCTACAGTGTGTACAATCATGCTAGCTTGCACAGCTAGCAATGCATAATCAGGCCGAAAAAGCAGTGGACTGGAAAATGTGTTTTAAGGCGATATTGTCATGTGACATGTGCCCTAGTGGGTTGGGGAAATTCCCACAGGGTATCAAAGAGAGCTGGAAACGGATTCCGTATTTGGTAAAAAGCACAAAAATGCATGTTCTGGCACATCGACGCGGATGCCTTTGTTGCAGTGGTTCTCCACCTTGCCCACTTCTTGCTTGTTGCTCGCTCGAGGACTCAATAGGTGCGTAGGAAGTGATCAGGCAACCTAATGATACTGGTGTGTAGCCTGGGTTCACATTGCTGGACTCTGTGCACATGAAAACCTAGTTCCTGTGGTCGCCAAAATTAAAAGTTGATTTACAAATGCAAGTGGGTCGGGTAGAAATGACATATTCCCCAATGGGCGAAGTGGAGTTTTCTCTGGAAACCGCTGCCTATGCTATTACACAGTGACCACGGAAATGGGTTCAATCCTTGAAAACCCGTTCAGCGAGCGAGGCCCTTTTCAAGCCATTTTTCTGCAAGGGGTAGTAATATTACCACTTGGACGTCACGTAACAACGTGACTTCAGGAGTCGTCTGGGGCTGGCTCGACTCACAGCTCGACTGTCACTGCCAGCGGACTCCTCTGAGCTGGCAGCTGGCATGCGGCCTGCGGCCCGGGACACCCTGGTCCAGACCTTCAGTATGCAGCGCCGCCATAACCATGATAACTAATGACAACTATTGCAGCTTACGCACGTGAACCCAAAACTTTGCAGCCATTTTTCTCGAAACTCAAAGGGGCAACACGTGATTTCTACCCGACCCGCTCACAAATGGTAACTTTTAGTCCACCATTGCAAATAAAATGAAGCACCAAATGCTTGGCTGATTAGGAATTTTATGCATGATGATCAAACTTTGTTGCAGCCGCGGCCAACGAGACCTGTAGCGCTTCGAGCTTTACACATTTCCCACATCTTGTCTATTAACTCTGTGGCGTGTTGTGAACAATGCAGCCTTAATATGATGGTGTATGTGTGTAGGGATTGAAGCAGATTTTACAGTCAAACCTTAGGTTGTGAATCGTTCAATCCTACTATCACAAAATTATGCTATGGTATTAGCAACCACTACAGAGCACACTATCCACAGACATTTTGGTAAAGATGCAAGAATAGTGCTCATTGTACTTTGCCATGTGTGTGTGTGTGTGTGTGTGTGTGTGTGTGTGTGTGTGTGTGTGTGTGTGTGTCTGTGTCTGTGTGTCTGTGTGTCTGTGTGTCTGTGCGTGTGTGTGCGTGCGTGTGTACTTTGCAGGATTTTATCCAATTCTGGAATCAGGATGATCAATCCACAGGCCTTCTCTGGAATGTCATCGCTTAAAACACTGTATGAGAACTAGTCTGTAGTGGCTGTACACATATCAAATAACTGTGTATGAGAATGTCTTTGCACATGTACATGTACACGTACGCATACGTTACCTTGTTACCGCAGACGGTCTATCTCTTATTGCTTTCTAGTATGATCCAGTATGACTTCGTTCAGGTTCAGATGCTAACATGTTGGTGGTGTACATGGACATATGTGTGCATGTGTGTATGTATGTGTGTGTGTGTATGTGTTTTTTGATGCAGTGATCTTTCTGGTAATGACATCCGCACGCTACCTGAGGATGCGTTCTCTGGATTGACAAGTTTGGAAGTACTGTAAGGGCCCATGCGTGCGCACAAAGCATAATCCTAAGTCATTTTCTCTGGTAATCATGGATACAAGTGGGTGTTTTGCACAGTTGCATATTAATGTGCTGTGTCCATTCTGTGTCAACGGGTCTGTATGACTGTGTGAAGCACTTTCTTAGCAAGACATTTCTTCCGCTGTGTGCTCAAAAGTCCTCTGAACCCTTAACATTAAATCAATTTCTGGACAGCTAGCTGTTTCGACCTTGTTATCATGCATAAGTATGGTCAATGGTAGGCACGGATAGATCAAGTATCCATGTTGGGAAGGTTCTAGGGGACTGAAGTTCACAAATCCGTACTTTGTTTCCCTGGTGAGGGATATTGACGGACTTCCATCACGTGAAGAAAAATCCGATATTACCTTCAATCTACTTTGCCCATATATGGCTTGTCAATATCTGCCTGCAGGCGACTGAATGATAACAAGCTTCAAGCACTTCCAGCCGACGTTCTACAGACTGCTCCCAATCTCATGGAGGTGTAAGCACATTTGGGTGCAATTGAATGGGCCACACACATGTATACTGCATCGCAGTGTATGCCAAACCAATGATGATATACAACCCTGCATACACCTTTCTCTCTCTCTCACACTCTCTCTCTCTCTCATTCTCTCTCTCTCACTCTCTCTCTCTCTCTCTCTCTCTCTCTCTCTCTCTCCCTCTCGCTCTCGCTCTCCCTCTGCCATTCCTCTCGCCCCCCCCCCCCATGGTGCTTGTTGTGTACGCCGATTCCGAGACCCTTGGTCGGGGGAGTCCAGCGCAGCTCATGTAGCGCCTACACACCCATTGTTGTGCTGATGAACTACTAGCATCAAGTAGAAGTCACGGTTTTGCATCAAGTAGAAGTCACGGTTTTGCTTAGTAGAGACCTGTGTACAATTCTCTGTGCTTGGCTGCTGGAAGTATGTTCCACTTTAGACAGGATTAGCATAGGTTGTAGAATAAGCCTCATGTAAGCGGGTGGCCATGTTTGTTTGTTTGTGTTCATGCTTCACAGGCATCTTCAGAACAATCACTTGCAGTTTGTCGCTTGTGAGACCATTGATAACCTGCCAAATCTCCGCTTGGTGTAAGTTGCCCCGTCACCGATTCTCAGTATCCTGCTGGTAGCTTTACACAAGATCATCATAAGGACTCTGCCATCTGTACATGTATGCGAATGACGCTTCATTTGTATTTTTAAAACTGTCTGGTGTGTCGGCATGAATGCTGATCAATGACACTATCTTGACCTTCCCAACATGCATGTTAGGCGCCGCATCTGCTGCTGGATTTACCGGGTGTTAACGGCCGCCGTGAGTTCCCTCGGGAACGGACACGATAATTTACTTTTTAAATTTTTAAATTAAACATGACTGTCATGATGATATGTGCACTTCAATCCTTTGGCCAACAACAAGGGCTCGGCAATTGTAGAATGATATAGGTTTAGAGTGCTTATGACACTTTCTTATGACAGTATCCGCTCATCTTTAACCTGCGTATACTGCGTGCTGCTGTCCGTATGCAGAAATGTCAGCAACAATCGTTTGGTTCGTCTGATTCCCCATCCCGGTACACCTCTTGACCAGATGACAATGTAAGTGGCTTTTTTGTTGTGTAAAGGGTCATTCGAGGTGAAATCAGTCTTGCTACAGCTATAATGATTTAGTACGGATTCAAAAAGGACATACACATTGCTATTACTCACACATGCACATTGTTATTACTCACACATGCTAATTTAATTGTGCTGATCATTTCTCCATAAGAGCATGCACAAAAGCGTACTCTTTAATTGGGTAAAACGTACTTCCTACTTTAGCAATACTGTTTTGGTAGTCCTTCGATGAGGCAGCGTCAGGTAACACATTTATAAAAGTCTTTAGATAAAAAAATAAAAATAAAAAATTTGCTGGTTGGCCGGCACATGCAGCTGGGAGAACAGAGTGTCAGTCCAGCCGTGACAATCAACCAGTACCCGGCATGTATGTGTAACTTTACCATGGTGTTTGTGTGTCACTGTAAGCGTGATAGTCGTGCTCAAGTCATGGTTTTGACTTTGAGTGGTTTGACCGGTTCCAGGCTTCTGAGGCTAACCCTGCTGACAAAGTATCCCAGATTCCAAAGTAAAATTCCTGCTATCCTAGTAGGGGGTATGTTGTGTCCACTGTATTTCATTTCTGCCTGCGCCCTGGACTAGTTTTGCCTGGTCTTTGACACTCTCAAGTCATGTTACGTATTCTCTGTTGTCTTTCTTGGACAGTGATGTAAGCAACAACCGTTTGACAACATTCTCTCTGCCACTCTCACCTGACTCTAGTGGACCAGTCCTGTAAGTTTCTACGTGTATCTTCTCTGCCAATGTTTAAGTCTTGGGACTGGTATAGAATTTATGAACAGCGATCAACAGGACCCGGTTAATCAACATTTCCCTTCAACTTTTTTGTACATGTACATGGAAGACCGTGATGTGATGGTTGTCGATTCAGCTGGCACTGTTGATCATTATGCTTTAAAAGCTGTTGTCGCCTCGCCGCTTGTTTGAATATTTCAAAACTGGTAAAGAAAGCACCTATCAGATGAAGTCATACTGGTCTCCAGCTCCGATCGACTTTGTCTCAGCTAAGCAGTTGTTTTGTTTCTAGCAGTGATGTAACAAACAGCAGATTCCATGCACGGATAATCTGCTGAATATTAATTCAATGTGCATACACATATACAGGCAATCGATGACTCCCTGTACTCAAGAGATGCACTTTAAAAAGTGCTGCCTTGCTAAGCCTTCCCCAATTGCCAAAAGGTCCATGTGTTTGTTTGGTCCATAAACTTGCCTATTGGTGGTCCTCATGTTGGTCTGTGTGCAACTATGCATGCATCTATGTGCTGACTTGTCCTCTGATTTAACGTGATATTTTCTTCCCTCACAGGAACTTGGGTGAGAATCCATGGATGTGCGACTGCAAACTGGAGCAACTCATTACGCATTACGCAACACGCCAGCAACAAGTACTGGATCGCAACTCAGCTCTCTGTGCCAATCCTTCAAGCCAGGGTGGACAGCGTATTTTGCTTGTCAATTCGGAGGCGCTCGAATGCCGTAAGAGAACACTGCATTATCAAGCCTCGCTTCTGTGAAGTCTGTCATTGCGCACATTCACTTGATACAAGGCAGCACATGATTTTCAGATTTTCAATAGAGAGACAAATGCCCGTGGTTCGTGCTGCAAATGGTGTCCCATACCCTAAGACAGTGGAGCATGTAGCACATAACGAAAATGTGAGGTGAAATATCATGGTGTCGGATACCTTCAATTTGGTTCCATCGATAAGTACTAAATTGTTTGAGAAAGTATAAGCTTGGCGAGTCCCTCTCTGGTTGTCTTTCTTGGTGAAAAAAATATCGATATCTAATAACGACGAGCAAAATACTTGAAAAATTCTAGTTGTTCCTGATCACAGTACCATGTGTGTTACCAGTCATGTGACTCATGTCTTGGAAGGCTCTGCTCTTCTGACTAGTTGGCATTTGCATTCAGCACGTAACCCGTTGTTGAGGTAACTCCGTCTTGTTGCCAGCGTTCCAACTGCGAAATGCACCCATTCGTTCTCATCGTTCAAAGCAATAATATCCAAGTAACAGGTTCGGGGTCATGAAATGCCTGTTCATTCTGGTAAAGTAAAACAAAATATACCAACCAACTACCCAGAGGTGTAATGCTGTACTTGGAAAATGTATCTTGCTACATACCGGTCTATAGGGGCAATGCATGTACCTTTGAAGGGAACAAGCCTGCTTTAGAGTACACACCTACAACATGGAACATACCTGCTACAGGGAATGGACCCGCTACGGGAAATGGACCCGCTACGGGAAACAGACCCGCTACGGGAAACTGACCCGCTACGGGAAACTGACCCGCTACGGGAAACTGACCTGCTACGGGAAACTGACCTGCTACGGGAAACTGACCTGCTACGGGAAACTGACCTGCTACGGGAAACTGACCTGCTACGGGAAACTGACCTGCTACGGGAAAGTGACCTGCTACGGGAAACGGACCTGGTACGGGAAACGGACCTGCTACGGGGAACGGACCTGCTACAGGGATGGACCTGATACGGGGATGGACCTGATACGGGGATGGACCTGATACGGGGAAGAGACCTGATACGGGGATGGACCTGCTACTGGCAATGGACCTGCTATAGAGAATATACCTGCGATAGGGAACATGCCTGCTATAGGGAAAAGACCTATAGGGAACATAATTATTAGTATCCTGTAGGAGACGGACATGCTATGGGGAGCAAACCTACTACAATGTATAATGTCATGACCTCATTGGGACGTGCCCTTTCAAGGGACTGGCCCTCTACTAGGACATGTATTTCACACGGACAGGCCCTTTACAGGCACCCACATCTGAGGTGTATGTATATGTGTCTTTAGGGGGAGGGTGGAGGGGAGGGGCAGACAAACAATAAATAATTATTATCTTGAGAAATGAAAAGGACATATGGAAACGAGTTAAGAGTAACTCTCCACTCGTTTCCATATGTCCTTTTCCTTTCTACTTTTATCTTGAGAAATAATTATGTTTTTGCCATTTAGAAGTTTTATGCAGGATTTCTGAACTTAGATCAATTCACATTGTTGATTATGACAAATCCTCAAAAACATGTACACCGATTGTCCCAGTTACAAAGGAGAGTTGTATTACTGCATAGTGTATACCATGGATGAAGTTGCTTTTGCTCAACAGTAAAGCATGCCGCTGTCGTGTTGTTTCTGTGCTTGTCCAGTGCCGGAAGACGACACCGAGAGTGTTTCTGGTGAGCTTCTCCGTCACATGGCCCTTGCAATTTCACTCATTCCCTGCATGCTCTAGTTCCTAACTCAATGCTAGCCTTCACTGGTATTGGGCGAGGCATTTTTCTTTGTGTTAATATGTTCTGGCTATTATTATGGTTTTCCGTAGTATGTTTCTGTAGCCATTGAACGTATAGTCTCCACCAGACTAGATTGGTCTGCAATTATGAATAGATAAATGTTGAATGGGATGTGCACACAAGAAGGATGTGATGGCTTACCTCTGACTCTGTTGATACATCTCTCATTCTCTGTGCATGTCTGTGCAACAATGTGCCTCATTACAGAGATGTGCGTGAAAATGCCAGACCAAGGGCCATGCCGCGCACGGATACAGCGCTACTACTATGACCCACAATCTCAGCGTTGCCGTCAGTTCACCTATGGTGGATGCATGGGCAACGGCAACAACTTTGCCACCCAGGAGGCCTGTCAAAAGAAATGTATCGAAGTGGCCGGTCGACCAACTGGCCAACCAGTGCGTGAACCACCAACAGGTAAGCTGGGCCCCGCGTATAGCAACTGACTTGAAACTGCACACAGGATTTACAAATCAAGATATGAGCATATTTCACATCACTATGACTATGATTGTATTACTTCAAGTGAGATGCTGACCCCGTGAAATCCACCCGCTGGAGACCTGCGAAGCAAGTTTCACAGCGAGCACATGCCCTGAATTGAGATGCCTGGCTGCAGGGCGTAAAGGATTGCTTGAGGAGTGACGCAGAAAGTGCACCAAATGTTTTGTTTTTAGTGGCTGGCTGTGTAGAATCGCTCCTATTAATTAAAGTTGCTTACCTGCATACCGTACTTGCCCCACATATAAGCGCATGGGCTTATAAGTGAAAATTTGCTACAAAAAAGATTTTTTGCTGTGTGAACATGTTCGGGTAGAAGCCCATGCGCTTATATGTGCAATAAAGGTTTGTCTGTGTCCTAAACAACGGTGTTATCACAATGCTTAGCAGTATATTCAGCTCCCGGATGCTTCACCAATAGTGTTCACATATAAGCCCATGCGCTTATAATTGGGGGTGCGCTTTTGTCCGGACATAAGCACATGCGCTTATATGTGCGGAAGTACGGTATGAGAAGACAGGAGCTCTATGCATGGGTAGTATGCTGAGCAACTGTTTTCCGTCTTTCTAACTAAACTATCGACACTGGATCGGCTGAGCGGCATCGGTGCAAATGTTTAGGTATTATTAGATGTTGCTGTACCATGTGTATATACGTGTGTACATCTTTCTATGTGTGTGTGTGTGCATGTGTGTGCATGGATGTGTGTGTGTGTGTGTTTGTGGGTGTGGGTGTGGGTGTGGGTGCACGTGTGTGTGTGTGTGTGTGTGTGTGTGTGTGTGTGTGTGTATGTGTGTGCATGTACAGATCCAGGTCCAGTGTGCAATAGACAGAATGAGGTCTACACAGATTGTGGTTCACCTTGTGAGAGTACCTGTGAAGAGCCGGCCAAGACTTGCTTTGCAGTATGTGTCGAGGCGTGTAGGTGCAGACCAGGCACAGTGCGTCTGGAGGAAGACGGTCCATGCGTTCCTCGTGAGCGCTGCCCACGTAAGATCTACTCATCTACCTGTTTTCACTAATCTAGGTGATCTTTTCCGCACTAGTACCCAATAGAGGGGTAGGGGCTGACAAGCGATGGTCTACGGTACCTTCCTGGGGTAAATCATGACAATGAGTAGATGAGGCCAATTCCATTTTCTAACTTGGAAACCCTTCACTGTCCCATTTTCCAGGTGTTTCCAGTCCAACTCTACTTCCTGTTGAAGTGTTTTGTTTGAATGATCCCTATTCCAGATCCAGTAGTAGTGTTTTGTTTGAATGATCCCTATTCCAGATCCATTACTATGCTAGCACATGATGCCTATCTATCTTTGTTTGTTCGGTTTTAGAGCCAGCAAAGCCAGATCAGCCAACTGCTGGACCCAGGCCTACTGACTCTCCACTGCCTGGTAAGTCACTCCCGTTCCATCTGCTTGGAATGTACACTCTTAGTGACTGGAGGCTATTTCTTTCTAAAACAAAAGGCCTCACTGGTAGCTTCACCTGAAAATTGCTAGGCCACTATGCCACGTCTAGTCTCAAAGAGTGTGCTTTACAATTCATCGACAGTAGACAACTGTTTTTCACTTACCCTTTTACTCTCAACTGGTAGCTCTAACAACTCTGCTAGACTCCACTGGACTCCACTGGACTTAACTGGACCGGCTCTACCAAGTCAGGGCCTGGTAGATGCTGAAGGAATGTGCAGTTAATGAGGTTTTGATCATGAACACGAGTGCTCGATCTACTGTTCTCAGATCTGAGTCTCAGTGGACATTGCCATGTTCTCCATTGTACTTAGAGTTCATCCTAAAGTAATTAATATAACGTTTTGGTGTGTCTCGTGTTTATCGCTGCAGCGCCAGTGTGGCCCAATCCAGCCTACAATGTCCGTGACACTACAGACGACACCGTATCATTGAACTTGCCGAGAGTCAATACTTCACCCGGAAGCACGTTCGACTTGGAAGTGTTGCGCGACGGCACTTGGCAGAAAATACCAGACAACATTCCTGTCACTCGCTTCACCCATGATGTCAGTGGCCTTGAGCCCGACACTCGCTATGACTTCCGTATTCGCTACTTTGATGTATCCAGAAATCGGCTTTCCCCGTGGAGTTCACCGGCTCCTAGCCGTACTGATTGTAAGTGAAGTACTTCAAGTATGATTATTGCTTTGATGATTTTGTTGATGGACTCTTGCTTAAAGCTTTTTTAGTCAATTACTTACATGACATGTCATGTATACATGTATGTAGGTGGATTAAATTCTCCTGTGAAGGACTGAACTGATGATCTTGTATGTTCTTTACTTGTATTCTCACAGCGGCGCCAGAGACGGATCCACCAACAGACCCTCCAACACAAGGTCCGTTTCAACCACAGTGGCCAACTCCATCAAACAATGATGATCGTACTACCGACAGTCGCATCACTGTGAATTTGCCTGGCTTGCCCCAGCTACCATCAGGCAGCGTGTTGGACGTACAGTACAGACGTCCGGGTGGCAACTGGAGCCCTGCAGGTACTGTATCGGCACGAAACACGCCACAGGAGTTTGACGTGCCGTTCCTTCAGCCAGACACACCGTACCTCTTCCGTTTCCGCTATAGGAGCAGCACTGTACCTAGAGGCTCTCCGTATAGTCCCATTGAACAATTCCGCACAGAACCAAGTAAGTCACTGGGGCAGTGTGAGCATGTTTTCAGTAATGAAATACTTGTCAGCAACCACCAAGTATTCATGTGCTGTGAATTGCGAATTTGCAACATGCTATGGCAATCTGAATCATATGAGAAGTTCTTTTCTCGTTGACACTGTTTTAGCTATTTTAGGTGACATTTGCATGTGTTATGGTAACACCAGATCAGACCGTAGCTAGACTTGAATGGCTATTTTGGGTCCTAGCCGGGTGAATCTACATGCGGTGTGCGTGACATGGTACTCGCTCATCATGTAACATTTGTTCTGTGTGTGCTTTCTTACCGTGGCGTGCATGTATAGCTGTGACTGAGCCGCCACGAACAGGTTAGTAGTGTATGAGTAGCTTAGTCAGCGGTGTTGTGTTATCATGATGGTGGCATACTGGTCACTTCTACAGTTTGTGCGATTTAGATTACCCCATCACACTACAGTTTGATCCTGGTCGACACTCTTGACTTTCATAGCACCGCAGTAATATTGATACATTGTAAAGATACTAATATTAACACTCCATACTCTCTCTCTCACTTTCTCTCTCTCTTTCTTTTCTCTCTCTCTCTCTCTCTCTCTCTCTCTCTTATCTTTTCTCTCTTCTCTCTTCTCTCTTCTCTCTTCTCTCTTTCTCTCTCTTCTCTCTCTCTCTCTCTCTCTCTCTCTCTCTCTCTCTCTCTCTCTCTCTCTCTCTCTCTCTCTCTCTCTCTCTCTCTCTCTCTCTCTCTCTCTCTCTTCTCTCTCTCTCTCTCTCTCTCTCTCTCTCTCTCTCTCTCTCTCTCTCTCTCTCTCTCTCTCTCTCTCTCTCTCTCTCTCTCTCTCTCTCTCTCTTCTCTCTCTCTTCTCTCTTTCTCACTGTCTGTGTCTGTGCCTGTGCCTGTGCTTGTGCCTCTCTCTGACTCGTGCTCGGTCTCGATCTCGGTCTTGGTCTCAGTGCCTGTCTCCCTTTCTGTCTCTCCGTCTTTCTCTCTCCGTCTTTCTTCCTGTCTACCTTTCTCTCTGCATCTCCCTCAAACTTATGAGGTGCTTGACAGCAATAATGATTGTTGTCGGAAAATCACATTTGAGGCGGAATAATGGAATCTGAAGAGCAATTGAACCTTGCCTGTACTGTGACCTAACTGAGAAAGTGCATGTCTGATTAGACCTGTGTTTCTGATTTTCTTTTGGTTCTGCAGATGCTCCAATGCCCACTCCAGGTGAGTTAAATTGATTTCATGTCGTTTGATTGTGTTAGGTGTGCGCTAACCAATCCTTGCAAAGTCGTTGTTTGGATATGTAAAGAGATTCATAAGTGCAAATACGTCCATCTAGCTCATTGGGAATGTCCAGTGGACAAGTTCCAAGCCAACACTGTTGTAGAGGTTCATTTCCCTATTCTCATTGCTCACATTGTTATCATTGTCAAAGTGTGCATTTTCGCCAGCCATCTGTTTGTTCTGATGTGCAGAGGGGACTCTCTAAATGAAACTTGTTGGTTAGTGCCCCCCCCCCCCCCGCACACACTCCACGATACTTCTTCCGCCTGGCCCATTGGCTACCTTTGCTCCATTGTTCTATCGGATGCCTTTTTGACGTCTATCAAAGCAATCAAAACAATCACAACAATCGCTGCGACTTCCGAAATCTCAGTGAGGTTTTACATTGTCCTTTGGTTGTTGTGCTGTTAAATTGTGTTGAATAGAGTGGAGAAGACCTGCCTCACCATCACAACGTTTCATCGATCTTAACCTGCCTAGCTATACAGTTCCGGGCTCCACATTCGACGTGTTTATTGAGAGCGACAGAGTTCCTCGCCGACTTCTTTTTTCACAGCCCACTCAGTTCCGTGAACAAGCTCGACGCATTCCTAACTTGACACCCAATACGGAGTACCGATTCTACATCGTCGCTCGCGATGGCAATCGCCAGTCACCAGAGAGCAATGTACAAGAAGTGCGAACTCTGCCTGAAAGAGGTAAAAATAGGTAGTAGATAAACAAAGATTCTAGACTCAAAGCAGATTATCAGGCTTAATATTTGGTCTGGATTTGCCTCTGAAGTAACCACGGCTAAGACTTAGCTCACAGACTGCCAACTGCACACTGGGGCTAATAGAAGAGCATATGACCATCCCCTGTCACTCTGCTATCTTTTAGTGTTGACTATATGTACGAGTAGCTGGGAACAACTCGGTAAATTCCGGAATGATGTGCATTGGCGACTACTGAAGCAGGCCAGCAGGATATCGGTGTACGTTGACCTTGTCCACTTAATTAAGCACAGGTCATGTGACCCGAATACTTAATTAAGCATGGGTCATGTGACGGGTCATGTGACCTGAATACTGTGTATGCAACATGTCTTTGCATATGTTGATAAGCATTTAAGCATGTCCCTGTGCATTCACACGTGTGTTTGTGCTTATAATCTGTATTGTTTACAGTGATAACTCTGCGGCCAGTGCCAACCCAATCTCCAGAACGTCACTATGTCCTGTCATGGCTCGTTTCTCCTCAGCTGGAGAACCTAGTCACCGGTTTCAGAATTCAGTATCGAAAACTTGACCCGAACGGTCGACCGGAACCGTGGGTCACGGAATCGGACAATGTTCCAAGAGAGGATCGGGAGTATAACTTGGCCCTTCCAGATTCTGGTACATATGAGTTGCTGGTCACTGGCCTGACTGCCGATGGACTGCCTGACATTGAACAATTGTTCCAGGAAGTTATCCAGTGGGAAGGTTAGTCTTGCTTACTGTATATGCACAGAGGCAGAGACGAATTGTGGCACATTTACTAACGGGGTGCCTGGGGATGGGATAAGTGGTATTGGTGACTAGCGTAGAGGGTGACACCCCTGCAATGTGGTATTGGTGACTAGCGTAGAGGGTGACACCCCTGCAATGTGGTATTGGTGACTAGCGTAGAGGGTGACACCCCTGCAATGTGGTATTGGTGACTAGCGTAGAGGGTGACACCCCTGCAATGTGGTATTGGTGACTAGCGTAGAGGGTGACACCCCTGCAATGTGGTATTGGTGACTAGCGTAGAGGGTGACACCCCTGCAATGTGGTATTGGTGACTAGCGTAGAGGGTGACACCCCTGCAATGTGGTATTGGTGACTAGCGTAGAGGGTGACACCCCTGCAATGTGGTATTGGTGACTAGTGTAGAGGGTGACACCCCTGCAATGTGGTATTGGTGACTAGCGTAGAGGGTGACACCCCTGCAATCTGGTATTGGTCACTAGCGTAAAGGGTGACACCCCTGCAATCTGGTATTGGTGACTAGCGTAGAGGGTGACACCCCTGCAATCTGGTATTGGTCACTAGCGTAAAGGGTGACACCCCTGCAATCTGGTATTGGTGACTAGCGTAGAGGGTGACACCCCTGCAATCTGGTATTGGTCACTAGCGTAAAGGGTGACACCCCTGCAATCTGGTATTGGTGACTAGCATAGAGGGTGACACCCCTGCAAAGTGGTCTTGTATGGTGTGTGACTGTTTGTGCCATGTTGTGCCATGTTGTGCCATGTTGTGCCATGTTGTGCCATGTTGTGCCATGTTGTGCATTTGGAGACATTCAAATACGAGCACAGTCAGTTTGTCTGCTCACAGTCAGTAGTGTTGATGGTGCCAATAGTGGTGTTGGAGTGTACTTGTCCAAGTGACCCCCCCCCCCCCCCATGGTTGTGTGCGTGTTTCTGCTGGAATAGTGCTCGATTAACTGGGGACAGGGCCTTCACACACGCACACATTCACACACACACACACACGCACGCACGCACACACACACACACACACACACACACATGTACATACACACATACATGGAAGTGACAAAATCACTCCGGGTTACATGGTCGCCACTCTGAGTCCTTCATGCCTATAGCAATCTGTTCATTATTCTTCGGGAAAGTGAAAATGAGAAAAACTGTGAAGGGTCCTATCTTCACGCTGTTTAGTGGATGCCTACCTGCTGTGTTTACTTGCCTTTCGTACAAGGTGTTGGCTCAGGTTTTTGTTAGTATAGGTAAATCCCGACTGAATGGACGAGATTTGTGTGTCTTCTCTGGTATGGTGAATGGCTGGTTACTTCAAGACTTTTTAAGTTAAAATAAGCTTGAACTCCAGTGTGGGAGCAAACCCATTCCTAAAGCTTGAAATAGCTATGAACAAAATTAAACGGGTGCTCATGTCAAACAACAAAGCAGCAAAGGTTTAGTTCCAGAACGATTGCTATTTTACGATTATTCTCTCCACGTCGACTAATGTGATTAATTTTTGTTTGACTTCTCTGCTATTAATATAGGAGATGGATCAGTCCGTCCAGGTAAGTCTTCACTGCTGCTACTGCTGGTGCATGATATTGCATGTACCTGATGAAATGCAATGCTCTCCCTCTTTAATCGCTGTAGAAACCCACAGACTAGGACTGTTGCATTTGCCCCATTACTTAGGCACGGTAACCCTCGAGTCATATCCACATACCCACAACTGACTCACAGATTCACTGGTGCTAACTCACTACACAGTCTATTTTGGAGAGCCTCTAGGTGAGGAGACAAAATTCATGTGTCTCCTCACCGACAGGCTAGGACGAGTAGATCAAACCAGGCCATGAGACCGAAAGATGGTCACCTTGGCCCAAAGTCCATGGGCATTCTATTTTTAATTTTTGATATCATATTTTCATTTTGTCTTGCAGTATAATATTATGCAGTGAAAATTTCTTTGAAGGGTGGGTGGCAAAGACGGAAACTACAGAGAAGCTTGTGCTTGCAGGCTTCCTCCATCTTCTTTTTTGTTCCAAGATGGAGGAAGCCTGCCTGAGCTGAGAATCTTCTTGTCCTATGTGTTTTAGCACTTTCAAAGCTGGCCAAATTGATTCACTCAGTCCACAGAGTAAATCTTCGTCAAAGTTTGAACAGCCAAACTCGAGTTAGTTTGAAATCCTTCCAGTTGGAGTGTTGGCTTTTGTACTTCATGCATGCCGATGCGTCGCCGCTCGCACTGCATGCCTTCACACTCCAGATTGCCAGGCAGCGGTCATTCACACTTCTCGTTTCTCATTCCTGGTATTAGAGTGGTGTCATTTGCACTACCATCGTACAACCGTTCAGTTGTAGACATGTGTTGTGGAGACATTGCTTTCTTGTGTGTTTTCTGATGTGACCTTATCTCACTGCCACCCCTAGTAACCCGCCCTGTGCAAGTAGAGCCGACAACACGACCTCTTCCTCCAACTCCAGCTCCCACAACTCAACCAGCACCCACCACTCAACCCAAACCTGATGGTGAGTCATGCATGACCTTGGCCTGGGCCAAGCTCATACGGTTTGGAGAAGCTCTGATCTGTGTGTATGTGTGTGCGTGTGCGTGTGCGTGTGCGTGTGCGTGTGTGTGTGCATGTGGATATGTTGTCTCTAGTGTGGATAGGCTTATGAATTAGTTATGATGTACATGTATGTATTGGCTGATGAGCCTCTGAAACACTGGGTGAAACACTGGGCGTTGGAGCACATTTCTGCTCCAGCTCCCAACACTACTGCAGCTGATAGAAGAGCAGATTTGATTTGAAATCCAGTCACGGCTTTCTTGGCAAGTGTTCTATGCACATACATGTATCTCTGTTCAACTGAACTGTTCATGTGCCACGGTGATGAGTGATATGAACTGTTCATGTGCCACGGTGATGAGTGATATGTTAACAATTTAAATGCGAGGCAAAATGTGTTCCTCCTTTAGGAAGTACATGGACGCTGAATCTGGTATTTGTGGGGTTTTGCATGTGTGTGCATGTGTGTGCATGTGTGTTCATGTGCGCGCGCGCGCGCGTGTGTGTGTGTGTGTGTGTGTGTGTGTGTGTGTGTATGGTGCTATGCTTTTCGCTGCAGATGTTCCTGTACCAGACCTTGGTAAGGAGATTGCAGATTATTGATTATTGATTATTGATTATTGATTATTGATTATTGGTAGATATTCTTTCCTGTTACATGTACAGTAGGAATCGGTTATAGCGTGGGTGTTTGAAAAACGACATTTGATTCTTATTGCCGATATTTCTTACACGCGATAAATCACGTGTGACATACCATATGCGCGCACGTTTGGCATGTGGACACGTACACATGATACACACGGATCAATCAGACTCGCGGTCGTACTAGGCGACTGCGGAGCAGCGGATGCGAGAGAAGTCGGAGGAAAGAGTCCGACTGGACAGAAAAAGTGATTCTCCAATACGGCCTTGGACATAACTCTCTTTTGTGTTGAATATTATTGTATTGAGTATGCACAGAGCACAGATGTTATTACTACAGGCGATACACTTTGCACTAATCTGGCATATTTTGCTACACAAAATCCATTCTTAGGGCCGATATATTCTACTATGCGATAATACTGCTTGTAAGAATAAACATACACATAAAATATGTGTTATGATTATGAAAAAATGAGTGTTCATTCTTGTAAGCAGTATATTCTTGTATACGACCACACTATAACCGATACGCACTGTACCTGGATAGTCATGAAGTTGGTTGTTCCAACGAGGAACACACGCTTCTTGCCGAACTTGGCACTTGACTGACTCGCGACTGCCATCCGGAGCACACGAGTACATGGATAGCTACTGACTGATACGCACGCATTGTGATGTTGCATGCTGAGTTGGTGAGTTGGTTCTCTGGAGCAGAACTGCAGTACCACCCACATGTAGTACATACCTCCGTGAGGAAATGGAGCACAAGTTGATCTGAGTGGAAGTACAGAGTCGCATATACACTCTTACTGCATGTCTGTGTTGCTCGGTTTGACTTCCGGACTTGTGCGGAGGTATTCAGGTGTCTCAGCGTGCGTTGTAACTTCATAATGTTATTTGTTATTTGTGCGAACATTGTGTGAACGTTCAGCTTGGCCGGAGAACACTGTGCAGTCGGTTACCGATGAGGAGGTTACCATAAGACTGCCAGCTGCTCCACCAAGCACACGCCTAGACGTGTTTGAGATTGTGAATCGGGCTTACTCGCGCATAGAAACGGTGCCTGGCACTAATTCACCACAAGACCTAGTGTTCGATAGAAGGCCAGGCACGCAGAGAATCCTCTTCCGTATCATTGACGAGACCGGTAGAGCTACGGCGCTTTCACCCGTTCTGGAGGTGACCGGTATGTACTGTAAATATCCTGCTACATTCAATCTGTTTGGAATGCACAGTGATTCTGCATGGGAGGTTGTTGTGATATTGATGCTGCTACAGATGATAAGGTGGGTGGGTGGGTAGATGGCGGGGAAAGTGATGATGTATGACTATGAGTATCTACATTGTATGGGGCTGAGAATTGAGGAATAGAGGTTGGGCTGGATAGGGGGAGGAGGAGGATGGTGTTAAGCGATGATAGCTCACATTGTGTGTGTGTGTAATCTTGTGTATTTAGTGTTCTGTCATCAGCCTGGCTCGGGTACCATATTCTGATTGTATTTTCATCTTGTTTGCACCTTCTGCTGATATGTTTCATTCCTTCACAGATCGTCCCATTGCTCCACCTAGTAAGTACTGACCCATTGATCTCTGATCCCTCTTTAACACCTTAACACATGCACACCCCTTCAGTTGGCGTGTTTGTGTGTGCGTGTGTGTATGTGTGTGTGTGTGTGCGTGTGTGTGTGTGTGTGTATGTGTGTGTATGTGTGTGTATGTGTGTGTATGTGTGTGTATGTGTGTGTATGTGTGTGTGTGCGTGTCAGGTTATACTAACTTGTCCATTGCATGACACAACCATGTTGCTAGGAACACATGCCACCCTATCACAGTTGGTTATGTCAGTATTGTGTAGGGCCTGGTGGGGGAGGGATCAGTTGACTGTACGGAGTATTAATTAATATGCTAACTCCTTTATGATTCGTCTGTTGGTTGAGCTAATAATCTGTGTTGAATCCTGTGCAGCTACCATGCCACCCGTTGTCACCACCACTGCTACATTGTCAATAGGTACGTTTCCAAGACTGCATAACTTGTATCTACTTGTTTATATCGGATCCACTGAAGGATCTCTGCAACATTGTTGGCACTGTGAGAACCCTGTCCAGTGTACTTATCATTGCATAGCAAGTTAATGCGATGTTGTGGGGTGTAATTTTAGTCATCAACCCTTTGTGTAAGGTCACTGATACATTATGTGGTGTGTGTTCACTAAAACTGGGCTGATTCCTTGATGAATCCTCTATCTCCTGCTCAGAATTCCCTAGCGACGAGAATCCCATCTCAGTGACGAGCAATTCTGTGACTCTACGATTCCCGGGACGCACGGTGACAGAAGACATTTCCTATGAGCTGTTCAATGTCCTGCCTAATGGCCAGTTCACACTGCTCCAGTCTATCCCATCTACTACGCAGGATCAAGATGTTCCCATTACTGCACAGCCCGGCATCACATACACTTATGTTTCCCGAGTGGTGAATACGCGGACAAACCGAGCTGGACGTCTTAGCCGCAGGCTAACCGTTACCACCCCATGTGAGAGAAGCTTTTGATGTGATGTGCTAGTGGTATTGAGGTGTGTGTGTGTGTGTGTGTGCAGGGGCGTCGGAAGGTATTTTAGTGTGGTATGGTCAGCCATCTGAAGTACAATTTACTCGTGGGGAGTGGTGGCTGAGCCGAAAATATTGGAATTTTAGATCCCAGATCAGTGTATTTTGTTGATTCACAGGGTATCTGGGGCAAAAAGTGGTACGATCAATACCGTAGTGACCGTACCGTGTGCGACGCCCCTGGTGTGTGTATGTGTGTCAGTGTGGGCGTGTGTGTGTGGGGGGGGGGGGGGGAGCTTGTCTTGGGAGATACAGGATAAGCCTATGGTGGATAGTTTAGCGGCTTACACACTCTATTCCATGCAGGAGTATATGCACGTGTGTGTTGTGTTTGAATCTTGGTATTGGTGATGAATCACCCAAGGGTGGGTATATCTACATAGACACCGACGCATGCAGCAATTATTTCACCAGGTCTCATCATCAGGAAATTTGAAGTCACGATGTACAGTCCATTCATAAAAAGATGGGTCCTGGCTCTGGCGAGCTCCCGTATTTGGCGATTTTTCGTGATTTCATCGTACACAGTGCAGTGCTGCGAACTTTAAAATTTGAAAAAGGGTCCAAAAAGGGTGCCTGAACTGGGGTTCGAACCGCAGAATGCACTGTTGCAGGCGGGGTCAAACGGCCTGGATTTTGATGGTTTTTCCCAATTCAGTGCTTTTGGGGCAAAACCTGGCCGAAATCCTATTCTTGCTATGGCTTGCTTTTTGGACAAAAAAACTTCAGAAACATAATTGGAAGAGGATTCCATATGGGATTGCAGAAAAAAATTCTAAAAAAACTCAACGTTTGACCCATTTATGGCCAAAAGCTAGAAGTTCATTTTTTTCTGAATGGACTGTAGACTTACCAACTAGTCTAGTGATGCAGGGAAGGTCAGGAAAAACGGATTCAGATATCTGACTATGCGTGTGCATGTACCGGTATGTGTTTGCGTTTGTACTCTTTTCTCATGGTTCTGGCACGCGATTATTCAGCTGCGGCTGCACAGACTCCAGGTAGGTGAATTGTTTGAATGTTTGCCTGCGTGGGTTGCTATCCTGCTAGTCTTTCTCTCACATAACTAAAGACTGGTGATATGTCTTCTTGACTTGTTTCTAAAGCAATACTGGTAGTACACAGGCAAGGAAGGTTTGTATTGCTTAGTTTGGAGTTGACAGGAGGGCATGCACATCGAAACCACGCCTTGTCAACGACCCGTTCTTTCTCAGTTTTAACGACCACACTCAGCCAAGAACAAAACAACAACGAAACACAACAACACACCAACGCTGATGTGGCATCGCAAATCCCGTACCGTGCACGCAGGCACTGGGTTGCAACAGAAAAAAGACGCGCTGCAAGCGTGCCAAGCAGCGAGTGAGTACAGAACGCGTACTAATGGCAGTAATGCCAGTCATGGCAACGGAAGATAAAATTATGGAGATCGACCCGCGCATGGTTCGATCGAGAGCAGAGTACGAAAAAAGCACACATTCAAAGTTCAAACTGTGCAACAGAAGCAGAAGAGGAAAACGAAAATGAACACTTGTCGTGAAGTGAAGTGCTTCTGTCCAAGGGTGCTTGCACCCGACGGGGTGACAGCGCCCCTAGTCAGACAATACAAGGCAAACGAAATAGAAATTAGCTGAGTCACAGCGCGGGACTCCGAAACGAAAACCGGTGAGTATGTAAATATTAATTGTTTCGTACCTGCTGTACAATGTAACAATTCGTAACGTAATTTCAAACTAGCACTCGTAGAATTGTAGTGCGAATGTGCCACTCGATTATAGTAACAACGACAAAGAGATACTCTTCTAAACATTGCTAACATCTTCTATAATTTTGTTCCATCCATGAGCAGCTATGCCATGGACTTAAGAACAGTGTAGAGGAGGGCACGATACATTTCTGTCATCGTCTAATCCTATTTTCCTTTGAATGTGCTGCGCTTGCGCAGTTGCTCTTACTGCGATACCGTAACAACATTGAGATGCCTTTTGTTGGATCTTCTGCCTGGATTTCATTGACAGATGAGTTAAGCCCATGGATCCTTCCATGAGTGGCATGCGAACTGTAACAATTATTATTATTTTCCTTCCACGTGCCTGAAATATCCTGTCGGGCCTAATGGTTTCCTTCTCTTGCTTCACTTCTATCCCCTCACTCCCCTGTCCGCTCTACCTGTTTGGAATGGCTATGCACGGAGTGTGACTTGGCAGTTTCCTGGTCATCTTTTTGCATGCAAATGGCTAGTTGGTGCCATTGGCATTGTGTACCTTATTGACCATACCCGTCTAAGATCCTTGAACTTGCACGTAGAAGCCTCACAGACTCTTTCCCTATCACTAGCGGTCTATCTATACAATGCAGATGCATGTCATGCATCTATCAATCTACCAATCTTTCCTCTCCCTGTCACTGTTCGGTAACTGTCTTGCTTCGCCAAGGCCAGAATAGCAGCTGATGTCATTTTTTTTGTTTATTTGATAACTAGTGCCGTTACTCTGCTTGAGGATTCACTAGCTGGCAAGGTAGACGTTTTGACCCCAGTGGTCCCGTGTATCACTCTCACCTATGCCTCCACCGGTTGAGGTTCAAATCCGACCACTGCCCACGTAGCCTAGTAACTTAACTGGTTCAAGTAGTAGTGGGTGCTCACAAACTTCCTCACATGAACATGGGAAAGACACAACCAGGCGTCAGTAGCAACTTTGAGATGTATAAAAAGAACAAGGGAGAATGACAGGAATGAACCCACAGTAATATCTTCACAGGAAAGCAGCAATGTTAAACTAGGAACCCAGCATTATACATGGCAAACGTGTTACAAGCGGGGGAAAAAGCAACAACAAACAATACGTACTCCCACATCAATAATGCAACTCCTACAAGCACACAACAATGCAAGCTGGCACCTGTAGATACACTAGCCTGTTGAGTGGTTGGAAGCAAATTCACTGCTTGCTGAATGCACATCACAGTACTCCTTCCTTCAGTCTCAAGTACATGTACTACATGTATGAGAACATCAGAACAGTTGCATGACAGGATGTGTAATGACAAGAACTGAGTCTTTTCACGCCATGTGTTTTAGAACCGCAGCCAGTGTGCGGTGTCTCATTTCTACTGTCTCATTTCTACTGTCTTGACAACACGTTGCCAGGTGCTATCTTACGATGAAGTTTGAGTTGTTCTGGGTGGATGATACAGTGTTTGAGTTGTGGGTGGATGATACAGTGTTTGAGTTGTGGGTGGATGATACAGTGTTTGAGTTGTGGGTGGATGATACAGTGTTTGAGTTGTTCTGGGTGGATGATACAGTGTTTGAGTTGTTGTGGGTGGATGATACAGTGTTTGAGTTGTTCTGGGTGGATGATACAGTGTTTGAGTTGTTCTGGGTGGATGATACAGTGTTTGAGTTGTTGTGGGTGGATGATACAGTGTTTGATTTGTTCTGGGTGGATGATACAGTGTTTGAGTTGTTGTGGGTGGATGATACAGTGTTTGAGTTGTGGGTGGATGATACAGTGTAGAATGGCATCCTAGTGATAGTATGTACAAGTGAGGATACACTTGAAAACTTACTACATGCCAGTAACAGTGTCCTCAGGCAAGGCACTTTGTCATACCGGGCTGCCTGCCCGAAACAAGTAATCTGTCAGCTGTGACACACACACACACACACACACACACACGCACACACACACACACACACACACACACACACATGTACACGCCCAGTTGATTCCACTCGGTGATCACTTCTTGTAGTGCTGGGAACCTTGGGTGTGTGTGTGGGGGGGGGGGGGGGTGTGGAGGTGTTGGAGTGCATTGCGCTACTCCAAGAAAGCCGTGCTAGCCAGGAAGCTGGGGGTGAGGAATTTTAATTAACGGCTTGCACTGACTGACTGGGCGTGACGCATTTTCTTGTACTTTTCTGTGCAGCTCCCCAGCCTACTACTGCCCCAGCACCAGGTAAGACTGATATGATAGTGAATGATAGTGCATGTACTGTAGATACCATATCTTTACTCCTTCAAGAATAGTGCACGTAATACTACAATGTCCAGTAGCAGGAGACAAGGAATGTACAAGCATTGCCGTGTTTGTGCTCATTCGCTTCGTCCTCTTTGATTGTATACGATTGCAGAGCAACCGCCTCGTCGTAACTGGCCCACTCCAGGCTATAGCGAGGAAAGCACCACACCGACATCTACTGTCATCTTCCTACCTGGCTTGCCAAGTGCTCCATCAGGAACAACATTCAATGTGGAAGTACGTGGACCAAACGGCCAATGGCAGCGATTCGCTAGTCGCATACCATCGTCAGACCGTCCTCAGCAGTTCCGTGTATCATCATTGGAGCCTGGCACGCCGTATGATTTCCGATTCCAATACTCTTATCCCACTGGGCCAGCCTCAGACTACAGCAATACCCAGACGATTGACACTGACTGTAAGTACATGACTGTACTAGCTCAGCAAAACAGTAGTCTATTATCAGAACAGTAGTCTATTATCAGAACAGTAGTCTATTATCAGAACAGTAGTCTATTTATCAGAGTGATGATGGTGTACCAGCACAGGTCCGGTCAAAGGATTCGTAAAATACAATGGCAGATACTAGTAGTGCAAAATACAGCCTTAGATAGCCGAACAATGCAACAGGAGCGAGAATAGACTCTGATGGATGCTGATTTATATTTGATGTCTTGACGATTCAATGTCTTTTTCAGAATGGTGTTGATAAGAGATGAGGGAGAGCGCCTGGTGCACTCCCTTCCCTGTCATAACTGTGCTCTCACAAGGCTTCTCATCATCATCATCATCATCATTTGAACAGCCTCTTGTACGGGCAAGCAAAAACGCAATACATCAAAATTCAATTAGAATGAAAAAAGAGAGGAAAATGAACTCAAAGTGCACTAGAACTCAATATAGAAAGGAACGCAAAGTGCAGTTGAACACAATGAGCATGGGGCATGGGGCCACCAATCGGAGAAGACCGGCTCATAATGGAAAATAAAAGAACAAACATAAAAAACTTAAGACACCCGTACACATCAACGTGCTCTAAGGGTATGGCAGCTTGTGCATCATCATCATCATCATCATCATCATCACCATGCTAAAGAATTCATTGGATTGTCGATGCGTTGAATATAGAAGTATTTTAAGTATCCATTGACGACGTCTAGTCTTGCTTCTGTCGTGTGGTTGGGAAATCTACCGTTCAACGGTTGTAACTGCTAGTTATGCATAGCAATGAGAAGACTTGAAGCGAGATTGTTGTTGTTTTTTTGTTTGTTTGTTTTTTACAAAAAAAAACACACCATTTGACGGCACAAAGCAGCAAGGCAGCGATGAGACATATGGAATGGCAGGTTGTGCATCAACTTTTAACGGCATTCACTGACTGACTGCATGTGACCCATTTTCTTGTACTTTTTCTGTGCAGCTCCCCAGCCTACTGGTGGCCCAGCTCCAGGTAAGACTGATGTTCCTTGAGTCGTAGTACAGGTACTATCGTAGGTACTATCTCTTACTCCTTGAAAGATAGTCACAGTGCAGGTACTGCAGGTACCATATCTTACTGTGTGCCTATCCTGTCTGTTGTGATACTTGATCTGATGTGTTTTAAAACGCGCTTCAGTGTGCATTACAATAACATTAGGCTCTGACCAAATTTCTACTTCAAGTGGCAGCTATGTACTTTGGTAAAGTGCGGAGAGGAAATTTTGGTAAAGTGCGGAGAGGAAATTTAATGTAGAATTGGCAAGTGAATGATAACTACAATGTTGTAAATGTCTTTGTCATGCAACAAGTGGACTGCTTGTCGGCCTGTGCTTTGGGCCACCTAACTCTGTGTGGAGGTATGAAACGCGACGGTGCCTATTGTTTTTGTTGGCTGTACCCCCTTTTGGCCTGTGTATTCTGTGATCTCGGCGCGGTGTCATGTTGGCGCTGTGTCCGCGCGGAGTGCGTGCGGACTATGCGCGAACTGAGCAGGTTGCGCCACAGCACGCATGCACATATTGTACCCATTCTTGTTTTCTTACACATTTTCAATGGACAACGAGGCCACCATCAGCTCCTCACACACTCACAACAACATGACCACTTCGTGTCTTTAGACAAAACTGTACAAGGGCCTGTTAACACAAGCATCTGCATGCCGCACTCACACAACGAGCAACCAGTTTGGGGAATAGGAAGGTTTGTCCATTGCTTTGCCAGGCTCCGAGTGAGTGACAGCTTAGAGCTGTGTGAATGTGTGTGTATGGCAGCTGGGCAGGGCCCTGCTGCGGAGGCTGAGTGAGCCGTATGGAGGCAGCCGGGCAGGGCCCGGCCCGGCTGCGGAGGCTGAGTGAGCCGTATTGAGAGGCTGAGTGAGCCGTCTGAGTGTGAGAGGCTGAACATTGCGCGAAATCGCGCATCTATGAGCGACATCCACATAAACTGCTGGGACCATGGTTGTGTACTCGAATCTCATTCTGAGCACCCTTTTTTCTTCCTTTTTTCAGCCGTTTTTTGCAAAAAGTCCTCGAGCTCGATTTTTTTTGATCGATCGTTCTTCAAGGAAAGACGAGTGGACAATCGATCAACAGGGCCGAGGACGAATGCGTCTGGTTGGAGTTCTTGCGTGGCACAGGATGACCAGACACACATATAGATACATTGCGACGATCTAATCTGCACAGTGTTTCCTAATACCGCACGCACGACGGTAAGTACAATTCATGTGATTTCAAATTGTTTGTGATCTACAACGTCGCAAGCAGGACGGAAATACAGCAACAGCACGACAACCGTTATACCAGGCAGTAACCAACAGTCACCTCCGTCACATTCTCCAGATCAGAAGGCAAGTGAGGCAGTGAACATGAAGAAATAAAGTATGAAAGAATGAAAAGTGAATAATTCAAAAATCTCAGAAACGTTGAACGTAAAAAACACTGAGAACAAGAAAAGTGACTTACTTCGATGGCAAAAGACAAAGCGAATGTTCCTCGTATGGACCTGGCTCTTGCGGAATCAGCCACACTGTGGAACCATGTGTTTGATTCCACAAGGGATGGCTACCTGCTCCTCACCAACCAGCCTCCACGACGGTGGTAAAGTCGCCAAAAATACGAAAGTTGAACATTTTGTGCATGCATGCAATAGAAAATTTGTGCTGAGTATGTCGAGTGGCCATTCGCACAGGACAAAGCCGTTGCGCAAGCTGTGACCCTGAAATTTCGTCCATTAGTAGCGAGGGTAACCCTGAGCTGGAAAGTGTAAGGGATGGCATGCTACACTCCCCCGCATACGCTTGACAGCACGATTTGAGGCGTGGAGTAGTAATATACCAGTATCTTACTACCCCCTGATACCTGATGCATGGACGTCGTCATCTTCATCCCGCAGATCGAAAATGTACAGGTGTCGCGTGATTTCGCGCAATGAGCCGTATGAGGAGCCTGGTAAGCAAGGTTGACTCCCCTCATTGTATTTACAGAGTTTCGCCGGTAGACGGCATCGGTGTAGTTATTGTAGGCCGGTATGATCATGGATACCGACAGGAGAGAACTAGAACAGGAAACATGATGATGACAATAGTGGAGTGAGTGGGTGGGTTGAGAAAGAAATCCACTGCCAATGCGGACAAAGCAAGAACTGAAATCAGGAACAGTGGACTTCGGAGAACAATGAGCGCGTGAGAGTTTGTTGGGAACAGAGCATGCGCCTTCTGTGTTAACATATTTTTGCGCGTGCGCAAAAATGAAACACTCCGATGTCCAGTAGCAGGGACAAGGAAAGTGCTAACATTGTCAGACATGCAGAGGGTGTGTAGGTGCAGTAGTGTGGATGTGACCATGGGTTCCTGTGAGATCACAGTGTGGCATATAAGAGAATATGTTTGTGGAAGATGGTAAAGTGCGCTCTCGGCAACTTTCTCTCATAAGAAAAGGCGCCCAGCCCATGGGCGATTACCTCTCCTGGTTTCAAAGTTTCTACCGTCCTCCGAACTAGCCAAGAATCGAACTCAGTGGGTAAGGAGTGGCTTTGATAAGCCGGATACAGTATGTAGTTGTGCGTGATTTCAATGCTTTATATGGAAATATATCAGTGTTATGTCACTGTCTTATATAGATCTGTGTTCATCTGTGTGTGTGTGTGTGTGGTGTGTGTGTGTGTGTGTGTGTGTGTGTGTGTGTATGTGTGTATGTTTGTCTGTGTGTGTGTCTGTGTGTGCGTGTGTGTGACTGTGTATTTTGTACATACGTTACTTGGTGCTGGCTCAACATTCACCTTGGTGATCAGTTTCAGCACCATGTGAGTAATCTACGAAGGAATGTCTTCCATTTACATTGGCTAGTTTTGCCACGTTACCCATTGCTGGCTAATGCACTGTGGTTAAACTCCCTCTCCTCTCCTCTCTCTTTCCTCTCTTTTCTCTCTCTTTCTCTCTCCTCTCTCCTCTCTCCTCCTCCTCTCTCTCCTTCTTCTCCTCTCCTCTCTTCTCCTCTCTTCTCCTCTCCTCTCTTCTCCTCTCCTCTCTTCTCCTCTCCTCACTCTCTCTCCTCTCTCTCTCTCTCTCTCTCTCTCTCTCTCTCTCTCTCTCTCTCTCTCTCTCTCTCTTCTCTCTCTCTCTCTCTCTCTCTCTCTCTCTCTCTCTCTCTCTCTCTCTCTCTCTCTCTCTCTCTCTCTCTCTCTCTCTCTCTCTCTCTCTCTCTTCTCTCTCTCTCTCTCTCTCGTCTCTCTGTCTCTCTGTCTCTCTGTCTCTCTCTTCTCTCTCTCTCTCTCTCTCTCTCTCTCTCTCTCTCTCTCTCTCTCTCTCTCTCTCTCTCTCTCTCTTCTCTCTCTCTCTCTCTCTCTCTCTCTCTCTCTCTCTCTCTCTCTCTATCTCTATCTCTACTCTAGTAGACTTTTGCACATCTATAACAACATCAGCGGTTGAGCGGGCCGCACCACTTTGGAGCACACTGCAACAAAGCACGATGATCGCAGCTCAGTGCAAATGTGGCGAATAATGAAGAATCATTGTCCCTGATCCTAGCGTCTTCTTGGCTTGTTGCAGAATCAAAAAGTCCTTCATTGTAGTTACACTGAAATGGCACCAAATGCCTGGAAATGCTTGTAATTGGCTCCAGTGTTTGAAAACATTTTCCGGGGGGGGGGGGGGGGGTTGAGGTAGTATGCCTCAAAATGTACCATCCACTGTTTTCTTGATTTGTGTGATCATTTTAGATTGGCCAAGCAACCAACCAACCAGTCAGAGTCCAGGTCAGCTTCAATTTACACTCCCCGCTGCCGTTCCTAATTACTACTACGAAGTTGTGAGGATCTTACCAAACGGAGATGAAGAAGTTGTGGGAAGATATCGACCGATCGACAGCCGTGAGCAAATCATCATGCCTGTACTACCTGGAGAGAATTATCGTCTGGGTCTGAGATCAAGATCAACCTTGTCTCCCAGCCAAGTCTCCGATATTCGCTCAATTATTACATTCCAGATTCCTCAAGGTACTACGATGTTGACTGTTCTATATTTATTGGTCTCTTGTACTTATGAGACAAGTTCTAACTGACAACTCTTCAGTGTCCGAATGATAGATCCACAATTCCCTGTGCTTCCCTGTGATTCCGCTATCCAATTGATTATGCTGCCATTCTCCGTCTACTATTATAGTGAAGCTATGTACAACCTCTCATTTCCCTGTACTTGCTCTGTTTCCTATGGCTGATAGCCCAACCAGTGCCGTTTCCCCAGAATGGTGTCATTCAATTCCAGCCATCGTTCCCTGGTCAGAGTGGATGGGTGATTCGCAGCAATGTTGATGGAGAAATTACAAGATTGCCAGCATCAACAAGACAGTATACACTGGATACCAGCTCACTGTCAGTTGGAACTCATACAGTTACCGTGGAGACGGATGATGGACGTGTGATTGGACGATACATTGTCATTGTCAGAGGTAAGTGTTTGCCCAAGCTTGAAAGAATCCCGCTTCCAGAATAAGCTGAACAGTCAAACTGTGAATCAAAAGATCCGTTCCAGATTGAGCTGAAGATTCAAACTGTGAATTGCATACGAAAAATTCCAGCCAGACTGTCATTGTACGGACCAGTGTGACGAATTGTTGCCTACAGTCCATTCATAAAAAGATGGGCTCTGGCTCTGGCGAGCTCTCCTTTTTGGATCATACTCTCAATTTTGTGCTTTTGGGGCAAAAATATGATCGAAATTCTTTTCTTGTTACAGTATGGTTTTTGAGAAAGAGATTTCGTAAACATAATGGAAAGAGCATTCCATAGCAGGGGATTGCCAACTTGAAAAGTTCTAAAAAAAAAATCAAAGTTTGACCCATTTATGACCAAAAGCTAGATGTCCGTCTTTTTTTGAATGGACTGTATTACAATACACATGTCCAGTAATAGGGATATAATGTAGGAACCATATCTCTCTTTGTAGTCCCCTTTGTCACTTTGTCCCAGATGCTTGTAAATCTAGCAGGTTCTTCTGAGGCCACAGCTTCACAGCATAGATCATTCTCTCCTGCGTGGATATTTTCCCTCTTTTGCAATGTTGTTTGCGTGTGTGTGTGTGTGTGTGTGTGTGTGTGTGTGTGTGTGTGTGTGTGTCTATGTATGTGTATGTATGTGTGTGTGTGTGTGTGTGTGTGTGTGTGTGTGTGTGTGTGTGTGTGTGTGTGTGTGTGTGTGTGTGTGTGTGTGTGTGCGCGTGTGTGTGTGCCTTTTGTACATATGCTACCTGGATGTTGCTCCATCATTCATCTTGCTGATTAGTCCCAGTGCCATGTGAGTATTCTAGGAATGTGTTATTCCAAGTTGCCACTCGGCACATGTAAGACCTAATAAATAGCTAAGAGCAGCTGATGTAATTTGGTAAAATACTTCCTTGTCAACGTTAGCACCCCCCCCCCCCCCTAAAAACAGTACCAGTGCGTAAATATGTGTGCAGCCTCAAGCAATGCTCACACTTACAATTATGAGTTGTTATAACTCATGTCAACATCATAAAAGATGCTGGACTATTGGGGGAGAAACTCTTTCAGGCGTCCCACTTGAGCTGGTTTGCTTGTCACTGCCAGTAAAGTTTACAGAGAATTTGGTAGCTTGCTTTTCACTTTCTATGCATGACAGGCACCTTGGAGGCGTAATGCAGCAAAATGTACCAACCACTGTTGTCTTGCTTTGTTTGATCATTTCAGCTTGGCCAGGACGCCCAACCTTCCAGAGCCCAGATCGAGTTCAACTTACACTCCCTGCTGCCACTCCTAACTACCTATATGAAGTTGTGAGGATCTTGCCAAATGGAAACGAAGAAGTTGTGGGAAGATATCGACCGGGAGACAGCCGTCAACAAACCATTCGTGTTGTGCCTGGAGAGAATTATCGTCTGGGTCTGAGATCAAGATCAACCCAGTCTCCCAGCCAAGTCTCCAGTATTGGCTCAACTGTTTCTTTCAACATTCCTGAAGGTATGTAAACTGTTCTGCAGTCGTATCACCAGGGGCGCGGGGGAAGAGAGAGACATTGCTTTTCGCTAGGATGATGCGAATAGCTTACAAGAATACTTGATTTGGAACTTTCCAGCTCAAAGGTTCGGACTATTATACTAGAGCTGGTACATCGATGTGCAGTGGAAACCTTCTCAGTTGGTGATGGAGACGTATGAACACTGCTTTGAGTGTTGCTAAAGTTAGAACCTGTTTTCAGCAATGACGGGGGAAGCTATGACAATCCAGACATCTGGCAATGCACAAGTTGAATTAATGAAGTGCATCGCATGTGGATGAGGACTAGCCAAATATGATATCCATCTACCGTAAAGTACTGCGAGAGCGCCCCACTATCTCATCCTTTCGTGGCCGTCTTGTGGAGGTGGTGTCCTGTGTGTAGGTCATACAACACAAGCCGTGTACACACATTGGCACATTGTGCAGTCAATCTGTATTCGGTTTACCTTCGAGCGGATGCGAGCTCCACACAAAAACATGCCAAGTGTGACCTTGGTACACTAAGGTTCTCACACCATACAAACTTAGTAGCACCCTGCCATGAGATTTCCTTCCCTTGGCTGTAAAATCAAGGTGGGGCGCTCTCGCGGTACTTGATCAGTATTAACTGAACTGGTATTGGGACTGGTTATTTTCAGTGATGCACACGAACCCATTTTTCATGAATGAATGCTCCCTCAAATACCAAATCTTCAACAAACGAATATTCTAGTATTCTTATTACTTAGGCGCATCACATCATGCGCTCAAGTTTATGCTATCTGCATACGTGGAAGTAGAGGATTGCATGATGTACTACGTATGTGTTGTAATATTGTTCTCCTCTGGGGTTTTTGATTCTTTCTGTCAATGCAGTACAACCAACTCCTGCTCCTACCCCAGCACGTCCTACATCTCCAGGTAACCATAGGAACAAACATGGAGGATATAGGCATGTCTTCATTGTCACCAGGGGCATAACGGGACAGTGGGGAGTGGCACGGCCGGGGTCTGGGGTGTTTCCTGGGGAAAGAAATCGGATTTTTGTGGACCGGCAACACACGCGTTTCAGCGCTCTTTTATTTTATTTTTTTGGATGAATCCGGGACGAAAAGTAGTATGACCATGGTCGTACCGTGTGTGACGCCCCTGGCCAATTTTCTCTATTTCTTCAACTCGAGCTCTTCAGATCAGACAACGAAATGTTTATGGTGGTTAGACTTGAAGCACAACATGTCAGCGGATTTGAAAACCATACAACATTGTGTGACGGATGTAAAACATGTTCATTTACTTTTCAGCTTGGCCAAGACCCCCAACCATCCAGAACCCAGATCGAGTTCAACTTACACTCCCTGCTGCCACTCCTAACTACCTATACGAAGTTGTGAGGATCTTGCCAAATGGAAACGAAGAAGTTGTGGGAAGATATCGACCCAGCGACAGCCGTCAACAAACCATTCGTGTTGTGCCTGGAGAGAATTATCGTCTGGGTCTGAGATCAAGATCAATCCGATCTCCCAGCCAAGTCTCCGGTATTGGCTCAACAATTTCATTCAACATTCCTCAAGGTATGTAGACTGTTCTATAGTTGTTGAATTGTGTTCTTATCAGTTCATCTCAGACTGACATCTTCTCTTCGGTGCCAGAATGATAAATCCATAGTTCACTATACTTTGGTGCAAACTGCTTTCTATTTCATTATGCCGCCCTTCTACTACCATAATAGTGAAGCAAGACTGACATCATCGGTGTATTGGTAACTGTGGGCTCTACTGTTTAACTGCTATGACACCTGTCCCATGCCATCAGCACTGTTGCCACTGCTGCTGCTGCTGCGGCTTCTGCTGCTGCTCCAGAATAAGCTGAAGATTGCAACTGTGAATCTAAAGATCCATTCCAGAATAAGTGGAATAGTCTAACTGTGAATTACAAACTGTTTAACAGAAAATTCCAGCAAGACTGTCATTGCACAGATCAGTGTGATGAATTGTTGCCTACAGTCCGTTCATAAAAAGATGGGCTCTGGCTCTCACGAGCTCCCGTTTTTGGCGATTTTAACGTACAGGGTGCAGTGTCGCGAAATTTGGAACTTGCAAAAGGGTCCTGTAGTACACGTACACGCTGATTTAGTGTGTACGCCGCAAACCATATGCATTCATGAGCACGGGCACGTTTTGCTGCGGAGAGCGATGATTTGTTGGAGAGTTTGTTTTCAGAATGGTGGTTATCTTCTTGCACCGCTCAGTGACAGTTGTGGTCTGATTGCCTTGGCGTTTACCGGCTTCATTCGTTGCGTTTCTTAGTTGTGTTCCCAATATCTGTATGGCGTTTTCGTGTTGGATCACTGCACCAGGGTTTGAGTAATTAAATTACAATACAGTCTTCGCTGAAGGGTAAAGAGTCCCAAACACACTGGGTGTCCTCCCCCTCTATGAGAGAGACCAAAAGAAGAAAGAGAGGAGAAGGGGGAAGAGGAGAACTTGAATGTATACGTGGAAGTAGAGGGTGGCATGATGTACTGTGCACGTGTTGTAATATTGTTTTCCTCTGGGTTTTGATTCTTTCTGTCAATACAGTACGACCAACTCCTGCTCCTACTCCAGAACGTCCTACAGCTCCAGGTAACCATAGGAACAAACATGGAGGATATGGGCATGTTTTCATTGTCAACAGGGGAAAGATCGGATTTTTTGGCCAACACACGCGTTTAGCGCTTTTTATACCGTATTTCCGTACATAATAGCACATATGCTTATGTCCTGACATAAGTGCCCCCCCCCCCCCAATTATAAGCGCGTATGCTTATAATTATTATGTGAACACTATTGTTGAAACATCCGAGAGCTCAATATACCATTAAGCATAGTGATAACACCATTGACTAGGACACAGACAGACCCTTATCGCGCATATAAGCGCATGTGCTTCTACCCGCACTTGTTTACACAGCAAAAAAATCTGTTTTGCAGCAGATTTTCGCTTCTAAGTGGGGAATGTAGTGAGCTGGCCAGAATGTAATGATTACTGGAATGACAAGAGACTATAACATACAGCAGTGTGAATGTAGCACATCATGAAGGTGTGAGTACGACACATGCAGTGATGTGTAGAATGCAACATATGACAGCTAGGTGGTGTAAGAACAACGCAGTCACTATCACTACATCACTCCTTCTCCCAAACAAAAAGCTGGTGCCGGGGAAAGCAATAGAAGGAATTAAAAAAAAAAGAAGAAGAAGAGAGAACACAATATGAAGTTTTGAATTTCAAAGCACCCAATGGAGGGAGATAGGAACTCAACTTCAAAAAACACAAAAAGTTGTCAAGTTGAACTTTCAGAGTGAGTATGATGCATTGTTGCAATAATCTTTTAGGATAAACTGTCTGCGTAGAGCCGTGCCTTCTCAGTAAATTTGATATGCCGTCCGGAGCGAGTGACTGAACCATCGACGAATGAGCGCTTGCCGGAAGCAGCTGGAGTGTGTTCCTTCGAAGCAGGCTGGCTTTCACGTGCAGATGAAGGTTGAGAGAGTGGCATGTTATGGCATGGCGAGCCCGGAGGCAGATCCACAGACGGTAGACATGCCGAAACAGCACCTGGCACTGTAGACTGACCAATCCGAGCAGACTGTCCAGTTCCAGTTCTATCTGGTTCTGGCACTGAAGGCTGACCGATCCGAGGAGCCGCCTGTGCTGGCGCTCGCTCAAGGTCCACCTCATGACGGCTGAAAGACGGGTTCGCTGACGACATGGGTGGAGAATCGTCCGGGCGATGCGGTGAAACAAACTCTCGTACATGCTGCCTATTCCTCAGTAGGTAGCGAGAGCCATCGGTCACTCCTACCTGACGGCCGAACTGGTTCACCACGGTCCATGACTGAGACTTGTCGCAGTACCCGTCCTGCACAGTGACTTTTGTGCCGGGCCGAAGCTCAGAAAGCATTCTCACGCCACGTCGGGAGTCGTGTTGTGCAGACATTTCAGCTTTTGCTTTCAGCTGGTGCTGGGGATTCACAACGGTGGGGTGGAGTTGTGCCGGGACTCTTGTACGCAGTGGTCGAGAGAACAAAGCTTCACTTGGTGATGTACCGAGCATTCTATGCCTCGAACATCGAATGTCAAACAACACTTGGTTAAGACGCCTCTGGAAAGGGAGATGTGGCTTAAGAGCAGACAGTCTCTCCCTTAAGAGAGCATGTCTGAGAATACCAAAGTATGTGTGCAAGTGGATCTCTCCGATTTCGCTCAAAATTTGCAGGTATGTTCCCTTTGGGGTGTGGATCGATCGTGCAAAGCCCTTGAAAACGTTTCTGAAGGGAACCTTGAAATTTGGATACCCCTCAGAAATGGCCGAAATATCACATTATTTATGGGTCTAGAAACGAGTCACGCCACAGCGTATACGAACAAGCTATGAACAAAACTCCATCAAGCCAACATTGCCTCACCTTAGAAGAGTTCCTGGAGCGGTACCGCTTAGCCACGCCAGGATCCCAGAAGACGAGGTCCATCACCCCCTGACGCCACAAATGATCGTCTTGAAAATAGCCAATTTACAAGCGCTGGCAAAACAGCCAGCTACGTCCTCAATTGGCCAGAACTATACACCGGCAGATAGTAGAACACCTCTTCTAGCGCTGAGGACATGTCCCCCATCTTCCTTTTGGGGTTTTCTTGAAATAAACTTTTTTGAATTTTTCCACTCGACCATGCTGAAATACGGCCAAAGTCATACCTGCGCAGGAAAGCTCGCCCCTCCGCGACGTCTCCTCAGCAATTTCTACTCCAACACTACTCCCAAGGCCGCAGAACAAAGTGTATTGTTGGCTCTGACAAGGAAAAGCAGCGGTGATCACTTGTCACTCCAAACGACAAGCTTCTCCTTGCGCCACCAATAATATTTTTTGCGACCGTTGATGCAAAAGTGACTGAAGGCCTGAGCGCAGTTTTTGAATTTTATTGCAAGATGCACGATGAGATCGCGTGCTCTGTGACGTAGGATGACGCTTCCATATCACGACACGCGGCCATCGATCGCGAACGTGACTGGAACGCTACTCGGAACAGACCATTATGGCCGCGAGGTAAGATGAACTGTATTTCCTGCTTGATCTACTGAGAACCCTCACAAACTGTCCTAGGAGTGTTGCAATGGCAGCAAGCCGTTGAAATATGCCCCACGTACAGCATGGAGAGTTATTCATCTTTCACACTTACCTCCTGAAATCCGAACATAGTCCAACGGTAAAAGTCCCTTGTTTTCATGTCGATGCTCGACAAAAGCTGCAAGCTCGGTCGCTTTGTGTTGACTGGCACGCGAGCAGCACTGGCTGCACGAACTTGTCGCGTGAACTGCATGAGAGATTTCTTACGTCATAAAGAATATGATTTCATCATCATTTCACTGGTCTTCGACTTACATGGTCAGGGAAAGTCCCAATTCGTAGGCCTACAACACGGTCATCGTGTTCTTGAGCGCAGTAACAACACAAGTGTGATCACTTCCAGACCAACGGGCGTTCAAGGCGAGTAACAAGCGCACATGACGAAGGTGACTCTGAAATCTCGTGAGACATGATCCACGGGACTTGGAATTCTTGCGTCACAAGGCACGTGATTTCACCGTGCCTCTTGTAGTGAAATTCTTTGAACTGCGCTCATGCTTTCAGTCACTTTTGCATCAACAGTCGCACAAAAAATTATTGGTGGCGCAAGGAGAAGCTTGTCGTTTGGAGTGACAAGTGATCACCGCTGCTTTTCCTTGTCAGAGCCAACAATACACTTTGTTCTGCGGCCTTGGGAGTAGTGTTGGAGTAGAAATTGCTGAGGAGACGTCGCGGAGGGGCGAGCTTTCCTGCGCAGGTATGACTTTGGCCGTATTTCAGCATGATCGAGTGGAAAAATTCAAAAAGGTTTATTTCAAGAAAACCTCAAAAGGAAGATGGGGGACATGTCCTCAGCGCTAGAAGAGGTGTTCTACTATCTGCCGGTGTATAGTTCTGGCCGATTGAGGAAGTAGCTGGCTGTTTTGCCAGCGCTTGTAAATTGGCTATTTTCAAGACGATCATTTGTGGCGTCAGGGGGTGATGGACCTCGTCTTCTGGGATCCTGGCGTGGCTAAGCGGTACCGCTCCAGGAACTCTTCTAAGGTGAGGCAATGTTGGCTTGATGGAGTTTTGTTCATAGCTTGTTCGTATACGCTGTGGCGTGACTCGTTTCTAGACCCATAAATAATGTGATATTTCGGCCATTTCTGAGGGGTATCCAAATTTCAAGGTTCCCTTCAGAAACTTTTTCAAGGGCTTTGCACGATCGATCCACACCCCAAAGGGAACCTACCTTCAAATTTTGAGCGAAATCGGAGAGATCCACTTGCACACATACTTTGGTATTCTCAGACATGCTCTCTTAACACTCGATGCAGACGCTCCACCATGCCATTCGAGCGGGCATACCTTGGGCTGGATCGTACATGTGTAATTGTAAGCCGGCTGAGAAATGAAGACATCTCCCCAGAGACAAACTGAGGGCCGTTGTCCGAAACTAAAGTCTCGGGAAGACCAAATGCAGAGAATACCTCATCAAGTTCATTGATGACGGAAGCTGAGGTTGTCGAGCGCATTATCTTCAGAATAGGGTACCTGGAGCCATAATCGACTATGGAGAGAATCGAGTACCCCTCAATGGATACGATGTCCACTGCCAGCTTTCTCCAGACGCCAACAACCTCAGTCGGTTGGAGCTCTTGCGCATTATTGGTACGTCTCCTCCAGCATTCAGAGCAGCGTTCCACGTATGTGCTTGCATCCTTAGTCATTCCTGGCCACCAGACTCTCTGGCGCAGGGTGTCTTGGAAGGCCTCTTGTCCAGGATGTCCTTCGTGTGCTAGGGTCATGATCGCTGTTCGTAAACCTTCAGGAATAACGAATCTGCCACCGAACATTAAGATGCCATCTACCACTGTCAGCTGATCACGGACGAGATAGTAGGGGTGCTCCGGTGGCAAAATGTCAAGCCACGAATCATACAGTACGCGTTGAATCACTTTGCTCACTACTGGATCATCTTGTGCAGCACAACGAATGTCTGCAATGCCTACTGGAGCGGCTTCCAAAACTAGGCCGACATACTCATGGAGAGAACGCGATTCGGCTGGAGAAGCATCAGTAGACGCTACCGGGGCTCTGGAAAGTGCATCAGTACAGAAGAGCTCCTTCCCTGGAACATGCTTGAGGGAGTAATCGTACGGCATGAGCGCGACTAACCAGCGCTGCAATCGAGGCGGCACATCGTCAAATGCCTTCTGCACAATCGGTATGAGAGGTTTGTGATCAGTGTACACCTGTACATGACGACCCAGAACATACTGGCGAAAACGGGTCAGTGCAAACACTATGCCGAGCATCTCGCGCTCCATCTGCGAATATCGGGACTCTGTGTCCGTGAGCGTGCGGCTGGCGCATGTAATGGGCAGCCATTGTCCAGCCTTGCTTTGCTGCCACAGAATAGCTCCCAGACCAGAAGGTGAGGCATCGGAGCTGATTGCTGTCGGTACGTTTACATCCGGCTGGAAATATGCAAGTGTTTGCAATGAAGAGACTACAGCTTGCTTAGCTGTGGAGAACGCTTTGAGAAGATCATCGTTCACAGTGAATGGTTCACGCTTCATCAGCTGGCGTAACGGCTCTGTGGCTTCAGTCAGGCGAGGAACAAACTTTCCTAAGTATGTGACCATACCCAAGAAGCGGTGTGCATCCGCTACAGTCTTTGGGGCAGCCATGTCGGCGATAGCGCTTAGCTTGCTGCTGTCCGGCTGAACTCCATCTCTGGTCAACGTGTGGCCCAGGTACTTGACCTGGTCTTTGCCGATGTGACACTTGGCCCAGTTCAGCTTGAGGTTTGCTGCCTTCAGGCGTTCCAAGACACTCGCCAGGCGAGCATCATGCTCAACTTGATTCCTTCCGAAAATCAATATGTCATCTATGTAGACAACAACACCCGGCAGGCCAACTAGAATATCCGACACCACTCGCTGAAAGATTTCGGGGGCGCATGAAATACCAAACGGCAGTCTCTTGAATCGATACGATCCACAGTGTGAAGCAAACGTTGTAAACGATCGTGATTCTTCCTCCAGTAACAGCTGGTGGAATCCCGATTCGGCATCCAACACTGAGAATACTTGTGCTCCTGCTAACTCGCTGGTTATTTCGTCTACTGTTGGGAGAGAATGGCGTTCTCTAATGATGGACTTATTCAGCTGTCTATAATCCACACATAACCGGAGTGTACCGTTAGACTTACGGACAGGCACAACAGGCGAGACCCAAGGCGATGCCTCCTTCACGGGCTCAATGATGTCAGCCTTAACCAGGCGTGCCAACTCCTTTTCTATGTCGGCTTTGGCGCTAAATGGAGGGCGGCGAGCTGGTTGGGCTACCGGTCTAGCGCTCTTGTCCACAGTGATAGAAACTGGAGCAGTTTCAACAAGACGTGCTGTATCCGCCATGTGTGCATTCACAAGCAGTTCCAATTGTGAGATGACATCTTGTCCAAACAATACAGAACGCTTGCCAGCCGGTACAACGAAACATTCACAGAGAATGGTGTTGTCTCCTACAGCAATATCGACGTCCGCCATACCAAGAGTCTTCACTTCGCCACCGTTGTATGCTCGAAGTATGCGGTCACTTGAGCGGGTAGGCTGCACCACATCATCCGTGAGAATGGTGCGTGTTGCTCCGGTGTCAAACAATCCCTCACATGGCTTGCCATTCACCATCAGTGTCATGGTGAACTGGCCTCTGGCTGCCTTATCGCTGCACGCGAAAATAGAATCATACACCACTTGTGCAGTGTCACTGTCTTCCTCCGCATCTACTGCATTGGCTTTGTTAGGCTTGCGTGAGAGACAAACCGCTTCGAAATGGCCAACTTTCCTGCAGCTGTTGCAACGGACATGTGCTGCTGGGCAGAACTGCTTTCCATTGGCATGCATTCGACCACAGTACTTGCAGCCAGGACCTTTCGTCATTTTCCTCTTGAGCTGGTGCTTGGGTTCACTGCCTGACACAGCCGCTGTGGTCTCTGGCTTCACACATGCTGCTACACTAGGTCCTGGTTCACTGTTGTACAAGTTGGAGTCCAAAAGTGATGCTTCCATAGCAACTGCCTTCGAGAGAGCGTCCGCCAAAGTCAGCTTAGGCTCCTTCAATAGTTCGCGCCTCGAGTCTTGCGACCTCAATCCAGCAATTAACTGGTCGCGGACTTGAGTATTGACTACCGTGTCAACATCTGTCGATGCGAAACTACACAGTTCCACTTTCTCTCTCAGCCGACTCATGAAGGTTGAAACCGATTCGTCCGGCAGCTGCCTAATCTGACGAAACTTGTGCCGCTCTGACGTCGCATTGATGGACGGTCGAAAATGGCAACGAAGTGACTCAGTGAGGGCTTTGTAAGTGTCTCCCGGGTTATCGTCAGTTGCATCGTCTGGAACGGGAACGACTAAACCTTTGACGATCCTCCTGACATTGAGACCGGCGAGATTCAAGAAAAGGCACTTCTTTTCTCCTGGGTCCGTCACTTGGCAGATCTTCATATAATCATCGACATCTTCTAGCCAGAGATTGAAGTCTGCGCCCGTATCTCCACCATAGCCAGGAGAAAATTCTTTCGGAGGTCGTCCCTTTGCCATAGCGTCAAGTTGCTTGAGCTGTTCACTGCGCCAGTGTAGTGAGCTGGCCAGAATGTAATGATTACTGGAATGACAAGAGACTATAACATACAGCAGTGTGAATGTAGCACATCATAAAGGTGTGAGTACGACACATGCAGTGATGTGTAGAATGCAACATATGACAGCTAGGTGGTGTAAGAACAACGCAGTCACTATCACTACAGGGAAGTACGGTATTGCTATTTTTGGATGAATTAGGCAAACCATCCTGGGCGAAAAGTGGTACAACCATGGTCGTACTGTGTTTGACGCCCTTGGTCAATTTTTCTCTATTTCTTCTCCTCGAGCTCTTAAGATCAGACAACTAAATATTTATGGTGGTTAGACTTGAAGCACAACATGTCAGGGGATTTGAAAACCACACAACATTGTGTGAAAGATCTAAAACATGTTTTTCTTGCTTTGCTCGATCATTTCAGCTTGGCCAAGACCCCCAACCATCCCGAGTCCAGGTCAGCTTCAATTCACACTCCCTGCTGCCACTCCTAACTACCAATACGAAGTTGTGAGGATCTTGCCAAACGGGGATGAAGAAGTTGTGGGAAGATATCGACCCAGCGACAGCCGTCAACAAACCATTTCTGTTGTACCTGGGGAGAATTATCGTCTGGGTCTGAGATCAAGATCAATCCAATCTCCCAACCTAGTCTCCGGTATTGGCTCAACTATTTCATTCAACATTCCACAAGGTATGTAGACGGTTCTATAGTTGTTGAATTGAGCTCTTATCAGTTCATCTCTGACTGACATCTTCTCTTCGTTGCCAGAATGATAAATCCATAGTTCACTATGCTTTGCTGCAAACCTCTTTCTATTTCATTATGCCGCCATTCTACTACCATAATAGTGAAGCAAGACTGACATCGGTGTATTAGTAAAGGGCTCTACTGTTTAACCCTTTGAGACCCCACTGAAAGTACGACAATTTACTCACCTTCAAATAAACATGCACTTTCGCTCGTATCTCTAACTTCGACGTGATAGCCAAGGGTCTTCTCGAAACGTAGATACTTTGTTTATGAAAATCGGTGAAGGAACACCAGGGATATAATTATTTTAGTGTCACTGTATACCAAACGATCAAACTCGATCGTTGGGGTCTCAAAGGGTTAACTGATATGACACCTGTCCCATGCTGTCAGCACTGTTGCCACTACTGCTGCTGCTGCTGCTGCTGCTGCTGTTGTTGTTATTGTTGTTGTTGTTGTTGTTGATGGTGCTGCTGCTTCAGTTACTACGTACATAGTGCATGCACACACACACACATGCGTTAATCATTGCTGATAGTGGAAAGGATAGTACAGCATCAAAAGCCTGGAAAGGGGCACCTCGAATCTGTCTCTTGCGGTCCTGAAGATCTCACTGACATGCCTCGTCCGACACAGTGCACACTTCATCTAAAGATGATAGCGGGGGAATCACACATGCAGCTTGGCGAACGAGATGAACATGAGATGCATGCAGGGGTTGAGCGGTCTCCCTCACCTCTGCTGCTCCTGACGCCTCTCCGACTCGTTCTTATGCCGCTGCACTTCTTTCTCATCAAAGCTGACTTTACGAGGGCGTCCTTGGGGTTGAGCGGCCATGCAGCTTGGCGAACGAGATGATCATGAGATGCATGCAGGGGTTGAGCGGTCTTTCTCACCTCTGCTGCTCCTGACGCCTCTCCGACTCGTTCTTATGCCGCTGCACTTCTTTCTCATCAAAGCTGACTTTACGAGGGTGTCCTTGAGGCTAGGAGTGTGTTAGACACGACATTAACCTGTAACCCTAAGCGCTCGACTAAATGCTTTGCCTTGCACTGAATGCCCTCTGAATGATAGTGTAGCTTTGGTGTAGTAGCATCCTTTTTTCCTGTATGGATCACATCTATGGGCGGTGTGGGAACTTTTCTTATCAATGTATTCAATGATTGCCTCCGGGTAGTTGTTGCTTCGCAGCAGTTGCTTCGTCACACGGAGACTCTCACTGGCTTGTTCGCGTCAGGATTATTTAAGCTCGGGCGAAGTGCTGCTTACCGACCGCATACTTGACGGGAGCAAGGCACCTGGGAGTAAAAGTCCATGTTGAGGCCACCGTCACAAGGCTTTCTGTACAGGTGGTGTGTGTGATGGTGCTATCATGGGTAGCCTCAAAGCGAATGCCAAAAATTATGGGACAGCTCTATTTTCGCTGCTTTGACATGTAACCATGGTGACCTTGATGTTAGTGTGCTAGCGACTGCAGTGGGCGATAAATCCACGGAGAGTGTCTGAGCCATTCACCTAAATTAGAATTGTATCGTCGGTGCCCCTTAAGTGGAGAGATGGCTGGAGGAGGGCGGTCTCCAACATACGGGCCTCTACAGGTCTACCCTTTGATAAGGGAGAAAATCGTACTGTTGAAAAAGTGGTACAGGAAGAAGACCACCAACCCGACAACTCCCTGATGAGAATAGCCGATTGTCAAGGGGATACAGATCAAGGACGAGACCGTCAGGCGAAATTACTGGTCAGTCGGCGTCACGCATTTTTCACAAAAATTTGCGTTTCACCTGGAGAGTATGCGTGTACTCGAGTCTCATCCTGAGCACGTTTTTTTCTTCTTTTTTTCAGCTCCAGTATAGCTGTATTATTCATTGCAAAGCCGTCCTCGATTGTTGTGTTCGTTGTTCAAACAAAGTGGACATTCAATCATGAAGGCAGAGGACATAGGAGCCTGATTGGAGTTCCTCGTGGCATAGGACGGCCACACAGAGACACTTTGGGATTTTCTGAATATAAAATACCGTACGCACGATGCTGAGATCAATTTGTGCGATATCAAATTGTTTGTGATCTACCACATCGAGCAGAACGGGATCCAAACACAAGCTTACCGACGGTTAGGCTGCCGACCTGACTGGACAAATGATCCCTGGCTTCACCAGACGCCACACGTCGGACACCATGTCCTTTGCCGCGACGTCCATCTCCAAAAAGAACTCCATCTTCGTCGTGAAAAGGCTTGAAATACTCAATATTCAACCGAGATTCGCGGTCTCACCCTTTCTCAGATCGAATCATTTTTTGTTGTAGCAGTTGCAGGGCAGATCCCCGCCACTACTTCAACAGAAGATGGCTCCAAAGCATGCCTGGAACAAGCCATATCGAGGTTGCAAGCCACCCCTCTCAGCACTTTTTTTGAAGAAATTCGAAATTTCAATGGTGGAAGATATACTATGAAGAGAATTTCAAAAAGTATATTTCGCGGAGCCATCGCTCAACCTACGTCATTCAAACTTTGCAGGATGGTTCAGACGTACATGCTAGGCATGGAACCACAGAAGATGATATCATAGCTGACACACAGAGTCACACACACAGCAGATTCGTGTGCACAGATACTAAATTAGTGGACGTCGTCATCTTCTTCCCGCTGATCTCAAATGTACGATGACGTGCTATTTCGCCTGACGCTTGTGAAGGACACGAGTATGTTTGTGACGTGAAATCTCCACATTCTCCTGTACTTGCTCTGTTTCCTATGGCTGATAGCCCAACCAGCGCCGTTTCCCCAGAATGGTGTAATTCAATTCCAGCCATCGTTCCCTGGTCAGAGTGGATGGGTGATCCGCAGCAATGTGGATGGAGAAATTACAAGATTGCCAGCATCAACAAGACAGTATACACTGGATACCAGCTCACTGTCAGTTGGAACTCATACGGTTACCGTGGAGACGGATGATGGACGTGTGATTGGACGGTACATTGTCATTGTCAGAGGTAAGTGTTTGCCCAAGCTTGAAAGAATCCCGCTTCCAGAATAAGCTGAACAGTCAAACTGTGAATCAAAAGATCCGTTCCAGATTGAGCTGAAGATTCAAACTGTGAATTGCATACGAAAAATTCCAGCCAGACTGTCATTGTACGGACCAGTGTGACGAATTGTTGCCTACAGTCCATTCATAAAAAGATGGGCTCTGGCTCTGGCAAGCTCCCCTTTTTGGTGGTTTTATCATACTCTCAATTCTGTGCTTTTGGGGCAAAATTGTGACCGAAATTCTTTTCTTGTTACAGTTTGGTTTTTGAGAAATAGATTTCGTAAACATAATGGAAAGAGCATTCCATAGCAGGGGATTGCCAACTTGAAAAGTTCTAAAAAAAATCCAAGTTTGACCCATTTATGACCAAAAGCTAGACGTCCGTCTTTTTTTGAATGGACTGTATAACAATACACATGTACAGTAATAGGGATATAATGTCAGATATGTGACGAGTTGTAATTATTCCACTCCGGATTGTGATTGTTTGCGTCTTTTCGAGCATTCATATTTGCGCGTCCTTTATCCCTTTTATTTGTGGGTGCAGCCAAACGGTTTTGGCCTGGTTCTTTTCCCTTTGACTGGAGAGTCCAGTTGTTGTGTTTCCTGTCACCACATTGTGACAATGTCGTAGTAATAAATTATATTCTAATACAGTCTTCTATGGTCGTGGGTCGATCGTCTTCGGACGAATATTCTGACATATCAAACATGGTGCTTCGAGCCGTCGAGTCGTTTTGCCGCTGGTTGTAGTCGCGGACATCAATCAGTTTATAATTCGCGACAATGACAGACCCCAATGCCAGCGCTGGTCCTGTCAGCGAGGTCGCTTCGCTGAGTCGTCTGAAGCGGAAACGCGGTGGCCACCGAGCGTCCGCAACAAAGACGAACACCCTGGCATTATCAACCCTTGGAAAAATGAAATCTGAGTCATCGACACTGGCAGGGTCTGAACCCATCGTGGAACTTCAGCAATTTGTGGATACGCTGAAGGCGAAAGTTTCCATAATTGCGACACTGGACGAGCAGATTCTGGATTTGGTGGAGGAGTCTGAGATAGAGACAGAAGTGGACACAGTAGATTCGTTCTTGGCGGACATAAAGCTCGTGATCCGACAAGTGGATTATTTCTTGCAGCAGAAATCTGGTGTGGTTGTAGCCCCCAGCCCTTCTCAGCTCAGTGTCTCAGATCAGGTTCAGAGCAATACGAGTACACCACTGATCAGCACTCCGGGACAATTGTGTACAACCAGGCTCCCGAAACTGGAGTTGCCGCAATTTAGTGGTGACATTATGCAGTGGCCCACTTTCTGGGATTCCTTCTCGGCCGCAGTACACAGTCAGTCCGGCTTGGCTAAGGTGGAGAAATTCAACTATCTCCGCTCGTTGGTGCGTGGCGAGGCTGCCGAGTCGATAGGCGGGCTGGCACTGACATCCGCCAATTATGAGGAGGCAGTGGATATCTTGACAACGCGCTTCGGCAACACCAAGAGGATCGTGAGGAAGCACATGGAGCTGCTCCTACACGTGGATCCGGTACGTACAACCGATCTCCGCCGCCTGCGTCGTTTATACGATACTTTTGAGTCGAACATCCGCAGTCTCCGGTCTCTGGGCGTGAAGTCAGAGGCATACGGAGCCTTGCTCGCACCAGTGCTGATGAGCCGACTGCCTGACGAGCTCCGCCTGATTATTAGCCGTGAAGTCGAGGAGGAGAACTGGGAGTTAGACATTCTGTTGCACCATATCCATGGTGAGCTCCGCGCTCGTGAGCGTGTGCAGCTGGAGAAATTCCCGAACAAGGGTCCGGAGGAGAAAGCAGTGTCGGCATCGTTCACACATGGCAGTCCATCGGAGAGTACAGCCACTGCTTCGGCCTTGTTTACTGCAGCAACACCAGGACGGTGTGCATACTGCAATCAGGATCACACCATGAACAACTGTCACGTCATCACAGATACCGGCAGGCGGAAAGAGCTACTAAAGAGTAAGGGTCGATGCTTTAATTGCGCTAAGCCAAACCATTTATCACGTGCATGCAGTTCGAAGGCACGGTGTACATTCTGTGAGGGCAAGCACCACTCCAGCATCTGCGACTCACAGAGGGATATGAGCGGTGCCAGACAGAACCATGAGAGGCATGATGTTGCGCTCTTCTGTGGAGATAGTACGCAGGTTGTCTTGCTGCAAACTGCTAAGGCCACTATCTGTCGACCGGACAAGCCCAAGCAGTGCATCACTGCCCGTGTGATCCTTGACAGTGGCAGTCAACGGTCATTTGTTCGAGAAGACATCTGCACCCAATTGAAACTGCAGTCCAAGTGCCAAGAGACAGTGGTAGTACAACCATTTGGGTCCACAGGTGGAAGCCCCCAAGTTCGTGCCGTGGTGATGGTCTGCCTGAAGCTCAGAGATGGCCAACTCACGGTCCCAATGCTCTCCGTGCCACACATCAGCCCACCAGTCCAAACACAGTACCCTAGCAAGGCTGCTGCAGCATTTCCTCAGTTCAAAGGACTTGAACTTGCCGACGACTGTGCAGGTGATGCCACAGTTGACATCCTGATTGGCGCGGACTTCTACTGGCAAGTAGTGTCTGGCAAGGTTGTCCGTGGTGATGCCGGGCCTGTTGCGCTCAGCACTAGACTGGGATGGGTGCTCTCAGGGCCCATGCCAATGTCAGTGCTACCATCACCAGCAGCTGTGAATCTCATGCATCTTCATGTGTTAACCTGTACTACACCGAGTAACACGCCCCAGCTCACGTCGACCTTAGAGAAGTTCTGGACGTTGGAGTCGATCGGCATTCTTCCCAAGGAACTGTCCGTGTACGAGCAGTTTGAGCAGCGCATACGGTTTGCCAACACCCGCTATGTGGTCGATTTGCCGTGGAAAGAGTGCCATGCAGCTCTACCTGACAACCATCGGCTAAGTGAGCGTCGGCTGCGGTCACTGCTCGAGCGCCTCAAGAAAGAGCCATTGGTATGTACAGCGTACCAAGCAGTCTTTGCCGAGCAGCTGACTTTAGGCATCATCGAGCCTGTTGCACAGTCTGACCCTAACGCCATGGGAAAGGCTCATTATCTGCCACATCATCCCGTCGTTAGGAACGACAAGAAGACCACAAAGGTCCGGGTGGTATTCGACGCATCGGCGAAGACTTGTCAGGGGCCAAGCCTGAATGAGTGTTTGTACTCAGGTCCAGCAATGACCGAAAACATTCTGGACATTATCATCAGATTCCGGCACCATCGGGTGGCAGTAGTTGGTGATATTGAGAAGGCATTTCTCATGGTCGAGCTTGCTGAGTCCGACCGCAACGCCGTCCGGTTTCTGTGGGTGGACGACCCGTTCAGCGAATCACCACAAGTGTTGACGTACCGCTTCACGAGAGTGGTTTTCGGTCTGACATGCAGTCCCTTCTTGCTGAACGCTACGCTCCGCCATCATATCAACCTGTACGCCGATGATCCCGACTTCGTAGCCTCGTTCCTTGAGAACACCTACGTTGATGATCTGATCAACGGAGCTGATGATGATGATACGGCCTATCTGCTGTACAGCAAGATGAAGAGTCGCCTGGCAGTCGGTGGATTCAATGCAAGAAAGTTCCAGTCAAACTCAACGGCTCTCATTGCGCGTATTGATGAAAATGAACGGTCGCTACAATCGCTAACACCACCAGCAGTCGAGCAAGCAGCTGAACCTGTGTCAACAGACGACCAGTCCTACGCTAAGTCTTCACTGGGAGCTGAAGAAGCTGGGTTGTTGGATAAGGTACTTGGAATTCCCTGGGACCGTCAGCAAGATGAGCTAGTAATCAACATCAGCCAAGTTTTCCAGGAAGTAGCTGATAAGCCGCTGACCAAGAGACAAGTTATTGCATTGGCGTCACAAGTCTTCGACCCTGTCGGCTTCCTCTCACCCCTCGTTCTTCCCCTGAAGAAATTCTTCCAACAGATATGCCGCATCAAGATTGCCTGGGATGAGCAGCTAACTCCATCATTGCAGGAACTGTGGTCGTCTTTACTTCAAGAGCTTCAGTCGTGCCAACCAATACGAATCCCTCGATGTTACTTTGCTGCTGTCCAGGGTGATATTCACGCCGTGGAGCTGCACGGCTTCTGTGATGCATCCGCCGATGCTTATGCTGCTGTTGTCTATCTGGCTATCCACACCGAGTCTGGGACCCATGTCCAGTTTGTCACTTCGAAGAGCAGAGTGGCTCCACTTGCATCGCAGACTATTCCTCGGCTTGAGCTGCTGTCTGCGCTCGTCCTCGCCCGTCTGATTGTCCGTGTTCGCAAGGCACTGGCACGTTACGTCTCTGTCAGTCGAATCGCATGCTGGACAGATTCCATGATCGCTCTACACTGGATCCGTGGGGACACGCGAGAGTGGAAGACCTTTGTACAGAACAGAGTGGTGGAAGTGCGATCCCTTGTACCCAGCTCAGCGTGGTCGCACTGCCCAGGAACGCTGAACCCAGCCGATCTACCCTCGCGGGGAGTCCAGCCATCCAGCTTCGACGCGAAGCTGTGGCTCAATGGTCCTCCTTGGCTGGCTGAAAAGGAGCTGGTAGCAACTGAGAGTCGGGACGATGATGTGGTGATACAAGAAGCCCATCAGGAGTTGAAGCGGCAGCCAACAACAGCCACACTTGCGACCACCACAGCCAGTCACCCCTCAATTCATCAAATCATTGACATCGAACGCTTCAGCACATTCAGTCGACTGGTCCGAGTGACAGCGTATGTCCGGAAGTTCGTCACCATCTTGCAGCTGCGTCGAACCAACACAGCATGCCAGCCTGTCATCTCTGCAGTTGATCTGAAGGAGGCAGAGGCACTGTGGATTCGTACTTGCCAAGCACAGTTAGTTGCTGATTCCAACTTTGAGAAGTTGTCACACGAGTTTGGTATCTTCGTCGACGATCAAGGTATTCGAAGATGCGGGGGGAGATTGCGCAATGCCGCCCTCACCACAGCGCAGAAACATCCAGCACTTTTGCCACGCGACCATCCAATCACGGCCATGATCGTGAGACGCTGTCATGCTGCCGTCCTGCACAGCGGTGTCAACGAGACACTCACGGAGCTCCGGTCTACCTACTGGATTGTCAGAGGCCGCCAGTTTGTGCGCACCATCGTACGTGGCTGTCAGCACTGCAAGAGGGTGAACACGAAGCCGTACGCTGCATCAACCAGTGCCCAGCTGCCTTCTGAGCGCGTAAGTGGCGAGGAGGCATTCCGGAACGTGGGTGTTGACTTTGCTGGCCCTCTGTATGTCAATGAAGGCGGCAGCAAAGTCAAGGCATATGTAGCTCTGTTCACCTGCGCTGTGAGTCGTGCTGTCCACCTGGAGCTGGTCAGTGACCTGACAACGGAAGCCTTCATGCGATGCTTTCGGCGATTTGTGGCACGTCGTGGGTTCCCGTGTTTTGTCATCAGTGACCACGGCAAGACGTTCGAGGCAGCAGCGCGTGAGCTGTGCAGTATCGCCCAATCTGCTGAATGTCAGCAGTTCTCCGCTGAACACCACATTCAGTGGCAGTTCAATGTGGAGAAGGCCCCTTGGTGGGGAGGCTTCTTCGAGCGACTTGTGCAAAGCGTCAAGCGTTGCCTCCGCAAAGTGTTGGGCAATGCATATGTGTCTGGTGAGGAGCTGGTGACGGTGCTGGCAGAGGTCGAATGTACCCTCAACTCCAGGCCATTGACCTTCCTCTCTACGGAAGAATGGACGGAGCCGTTGACGCCATCGCATCTGCTACTCGGCCGTCGACTTAGGTCCATGCCAGATGCGGAGCATATCCCACGTGCAGCCACAGCTGAAGTCGTACGAGAGCGAGCGGAGCACCTACAACAACTCATACGACATAGCTGGACTCGTTGGCGTCGTGAGTACCTGCTGGAACTAAGGAATGCCCACCGCCAACAATTCAATGCCAACGCCACACCTATTCGCGTCGGGGATGTGGTGCTCATCGAAGACGAGAACGCAAAGCGCCAACAGTGGCCTCTTGGCCTAGTAGTCGAGTTAATCCCGGGTCATGATGGCATTGCTCGTGCAGCGAAGGTCAAAACCGCAACACCGAAGAAAGGTAGCGTTACGCACCTGAAGAGGCCCATCCAGCGTCTCTACCCACTCGAAGTCTGTGCCGAGGAAGCAGTCACGGTTCCGAATCGTCAAGCACCTGAGAATGAGCCATTGCAATCCGTCAGGCCACAGCGAGCGGCGGCAGTACAAGCGGCTGCGTTGCCGATGCAGTTAAGAAACCGTGGACTAATTTGAAGTCAGAATAATTATGAGTTACCCCACAGGTCTGATTGACCACCGCTATGAGCTTATGCAGCTATCATTCAATGCTCATAATGTTCTGGACATGTAATTATTTATTGAACGTGTTGTATCGCGTTGAGTAATCTGTTAATTATAATGTTATTAGACTTGTGGTCAATCGGGGGGAGTGTCAGATATGTGACGAGTTGTAATTATTCCACTCCGGATTGTGATTGTTTGCGTCTTTTCGAGCATTCATATTTGCGCGTCCTTTATCCCTTTTATTTGTGGGTGCAGCCAAACGGTTTTGGCCTGGTTCTTTTCCCTTTGACTGGAGAGTCCAGTTGTTGTGTTTCCTGTCACCACATTGTGACAATGTCGTAGTAATAAATTATATTCTAATACAGTCTTCTATGGTCGTGGGTCGATCGTCTTCGGACGAATATTCTGACATATCAAACATATAATGTAGGAACCATATCTCTCTTTCTAGTCCCCTTTGTCACTTTGTCCCAGAGGCTTGTAAATCTAGCAGGTTCTTCTGAGGCCACAGCTTCACAGCGTAGATCATTCTCTCCTGCGTGGATATGTTCCCTCTTTTGTAGGGGTGAAACGAGTATATCGAATACTCGAGCACTCGCTTGAAAATTTGAAACGAGCAAGTGCTCGTTTCGCAAAATACTCGAAGTATCCCATGTACAGTGTATTGTATGCATGTACATCAAGCATTTCTGTTACTCTGACTGGTACTGATGGTCCATGCAAGCGGGAAATGTAGTCAGTTAAATACTCGTACTCGCTCGTTTTTTCAAAGAGTACTCGAGTCCCCAATTTTGGCACTCGTTTCACCCCTACTCTTTTGCAATGTTGTTTGCTTGTGTGTATGTGTGTGTGTGTGTGTGTGTCTATGTATGTGTATGTATGTATATATGTGTGTGTGTGTGTGTGTGTGTGTGTGCGCGCGCGCGCGCGCGTGTGTGTATGTATGTGTGTGTGTGTGTGTGTGTGTGTGTGTGCCTTTTGTACATATGCTACCTGGATGTTGCTCCATCATTCATCTTGCTGATTAGTCCCAGTGCCATGTGAGTATTCTAGGAATGTGTTATTCCAAGTTGCCACTCGGCACATGTAAGACCTAATAAATAGCTAAGAGCAGCTGATGTAATTTTGGTAAAATATTTCCTTGTCAACGTTAGCACCCCCTCCCCCCCCCCCCCCCTAAAACAGTACCAGTGCGTAAATATGTGTGGAGCCTCAAGCAATGCTCACACTTACCATTATGAGTTTTTATAATTCACGTCAACATCATACAAGATGCTGGACTATTGGGGGAGAAACTCTTTCAGGCGTCACACTTGAGCTGGTTTGCTTGTCACTGCCAGTAAAGTTTACAGAGAATTTGGTAGCTTGCTTTTCACTTTCTATGCATGACAGGCACCTTGGAGGCGTAATGCAGCAAAATGTACCAACCACTGTTTTCTTGCTTTGTTTGATCATTTCAGCTTGGCCAGGACGCCCAACCTTCCAGAGCCCAGATCGAGTTCAACTAACACTCCCTGCTGCCACTCCTAACTACCTATATGAAGTTGTGAGGATCTTGCCAAATGGAAACGAAGAAGTTGTGGGAAGATATCGACCGGGAGACAGCCGTCAACAAACCATTCGTGTTGTGCCTGGAGAGAATTATCGTCTGGGTCTGAGATCAAGATCAACCCAGTCTCCCAGCCAAGTCTCCGGTATTGGCTCAACTGTTTCTTTCAACATTCCTGAAGGTATGTAAACTGTTCTGCAGTCGTATCACCGGGGCGCGGGGGGAAGAGAGAGACATTGCTTTTCACTAGGATGATGCGAATAGCTTACAAGAATACTTGATTTGGAACTTTCCAGCTCAAAGGTTCGGACTGCCATGAGATTTCCTTCCCTTGGCTGTAAAATCAAGGTGGGGCGCTCTCGCGGTACTTTACAGTATTAACTTAACTGGTATTGGGACTGGTTATTTTCAGTGATGCACACGAACCCATTTTTCACGAATGAATACTGCACCGAATACCAAATCTTCGAACAAACGAATATTCTAGTATTCGTATTACTTAGGCGCATCACATCATGCGCTCAAGTTTATGCTATCTGCATACGTGGAAGTAGAGGATTGCGTGATGTACTACGTATGTGTTGTAATATTGTTCTCCTCTGGGTTTTTTTATTCTTGCTGTCAATGCAGTACAACCAACTCCTGCTCCTACCCCAACACGTCCTACAGCTCCAGGTAACCATAGGAACAATAAAATAATAATAATAATAAAACAGGTCGCGTAATGAAGCAGCATAACGATAGATGTGCAAAGTCATTATGCCTTGTCCGCTTCTGTCCTGGGTTCACTACCCCGTGCGTTGCAGCCGCAAGCAAAACCAGCTCAGGCTGAGAGTTCCCTCCATGATTGCTTGTCCAAAGCGCGCATTCTGAGCCCACTCAGATCAGTCATGGTCTTCAGTGGCATGTCTCTGGCAGCTGTGCTTGCCTTGACTGCCGTGGCCAGGTTCGATTTCGGGAACAAACAAACAAATGGAGGATATGGGCATGTCTTCATTGTCACCAGGGGCATAACGGGACAGTGGGGAGTGGTACGGCCGGGGTTTTGTGGGCCGGCAACACGCGCGTTTCAGCGCTCTTTTATTGTGTTTTTTGGGATGAATCCTGGACGAAAAGTGGTATGACCATGGTCATACCGTGTGTGACACCCCTGGCCAATTTTCTCTAATTCTTCTCCTCGAGCTCTTCAGATCAGACAACGAAATGTTTATGGTGGTTAGACTTGAAGCACGATATGTCAGCGGATTTGAAAACCATACAACATTGTGTGACGGATGTAAAACATGTTCATTTACATTTCAGCTTGGCCAAGACCCCCAACCGTCCAGATCCCAGATCGAGTTCAACTTACACTCCCTGTTGCCACTCCTAACTACCTATATGAAGTTGTGAGGATCTTGCCAAATGGAAACGAAGAAGTTGTGGGAAGATATCGACCCAGCGACAGCCGTCAACAAACCATTCGTGTTGTGCCTGGCGAGAATTATCGTCTGGGTCTGAGATCAAGATCAATCCGATCTCCCAGCCAAGTGTCCGGTATTGGCTCAACAATTTCATTCAACATTCCTCAAGGTATGTAGACTGTTCTAAAGTTGTTGAATTGTGTTCTTATCAGTTCATCTCTGACTGACATCTTCTCTTCGGTGCCAGAATGATAAATCCATAGTTCACTATGCTTTGGTGCAAACTGCTTTCTATTTCATTATGCCGCCATTCTACCACAATAATAGTGAAGCAAGACTGACATCATCGGTGTATTGGTAACTGTGGGCTCTACTGTTTAACTGCTATGACACCTCTCCCGTGCTGTCACTACTGTTGCCACTGTTGCCACTGCTGCTGCTGCTCAAGAATAAGCTGAAGATTGCAACTGTGAATCTAAAGATCCATTCCCGAATAAGCGGAATAGTCAAACTGTGAAGTGTGATGAATTGTTGCCTAAAGCCCATTCATAAAAAGATGGGCTCTGGCTCTCACGAGCTCCCGTTTTTGGCGATTTTAACGTACAGGGTACAGTGTCGCGAAATTTGGAACTTCAGAAAGGGTCCTGTAGTACACGTACACGCTGATTTAGTGTGTACGCCGCAAACCATATGCATGCATGAGCACGGGCACGTTTTGCTGCGGAGAGCGATGGTTTGTTTGAGAGTTTGTTTTCAGAATGGTGGTTGTCTTCTTGCACCGCTCAGTGACAGTTGTGGTCTGTTTGCCTTTGTGTTTACCGGCTTCATTCTTTGCGTTTCTTAGTTGAGTTCCCAATATCTGTATGGCGTTTTGGTGTTGGATCACTGCACCAGGGTTTGAGAAATTAAATTACAATACAGTCTTCGCTGAAGGGTAAAGAGTCCCAAACACACTGGGTGTCCTCCCCCTCTATGAGAGAGACCAAAAGAAGAAAGAGAGGAGAAGGGGGAAGAGGAGAACTTGAATGTATACGTGGAAGTAGAGGGTGGCATGATGTACTGTGCACGTGTTGTAATATTGTTTTCCTCTGGGTTTTGATTCTTTCTGTCAATACAGTACGACCAACTCCTGCTCCTACTCCAGCACGTCCTACAGCTCCAGGTAACCATAGGAACAAACATGGAGGATATGGGCATGTTTTCATTGTCAACAGGGGAAAGATCGGATTTTTGGCCAACACACGCGTTTTAGCGCTTTTTATACCGTATTTCCGTACATAATAGCACATATGCTTATGTCCTGACATATGTGCCCCCCCCCACCCCATTATAAGCGCATATGCTTATAATTATTATGTGAACACTATTGCTGAAACATCCGAGAGCTGAATATACCATTAAGCATAATGATAACACCATTGACTAGGACACAGACAGACCCTTATCGCGCATATAAGCGCATGTGCTTCTACCCGCACTTGTTTACACAGCAAAACATCTGATTTGCAGCAGATTTTCGCTTATAAGTGGGGAAGTACGGTATTGCTTTTTTTGGATGAATTAGGCGAACCATCCTGGGCGAAAAGTGGTACAACCATGGTCGTACTGTGTTTGACGCCCTTGGTCAATTTCTCTCTATTTCTTCTCCTCGAGCTCTTGAGATCAGACAACTAAATATTTATGGTGGTTAGACTTGAAGCACAACATGTCAGTGGATTTGAAAACCACACAACATTGTGTGAAAGATCTAAAACATGTTTTTCTTGCTTTGCTCGATCATTTCAGCTTGGCCAAGACCCCCAACCATCCCGAGTCCAGGTCAGCTTCAATTCACACTCCCTGCTGCCACTCCTAACTACCAATACGAAGTTGTGAGGATCTTACCAAACGGGGATGAAGAAGTTGTGGGAAGATATCGACCCAGCGACAGCCGTCAGCAAACCATTTCTGTTGTACCTGGACAGAATTATCGTCTGGGGCTGAGATCAAGGTCAATCCAATCTCCCAGCCAAGTCTCCGGTATTGGCTCAACAATTTCATTCAACATTCCACAAGGTATGTAGACTTTTTATAGTTGTTTGATTTTTATTCTTATCATTCCAGGCACTGCAGCAAAAAAACAGGGCAAGGTTTACGAAAATGAGTTTTTCTATGGCTTTCCAATAGATATTTAATCGAGTGGCCAAATTTTGGCGCTCTGGGAACCTTGCAAGATTGTAACAAAATCCTGAAGTTCACTGAGCCCTCTACTGGTCAGTTTTGTGTGGGTGAACAGGCCACCGGTTCAGAGTACGCTGAATCTGTTTAGATATTGGATAATGCACATCGCAACTCTGTGTGAGACAATGTTAACGTTTTGAAATACATCTATGAATATCAGGATGATGGTAAGTTTTCCCCGGCAATTTAGGGAACAAGTTATCAGGATTCCATCTATTTAGCAAATTCCACACTGAACAATCCCACCAGTTGATATACATCCTCCGCATCATTACAATTGTCGCTTCGCACATCGCAATGTTTGTGACTTGCTTGTCTTAGTCGGTCTGTCGGAATCGCTGTTTGCTGTGTTCGGACATTGCTATGACTCTTCCTACACAGTGTCTATTTGCTACGGAAGCCGTTGTGGTCTCGGAGCTCTCGTCCGCACCAAACAAATTCATCGTGCTCCGCACTATTTTGCCCCAGAGCACGTATCTTTTTTCTGGAGTTCCTGCCGCCCCACATCGTTCGTGTGGACATTTATCAAGACTGCAAGCTCCGGTATAAAAATCCTGGTATTTCTCCTGAATTTAAAATGCTGAAGTTGACGATGGCAAGAACAAAGTGTTCTCGGATTCCTAAAAAACCCTATGTGTGGCGCATGTTGCTGCGAAGGTAGCAGGTCTGAAAACACCAACAAAATCCGCGAAAAGCTTGTCAATTAAAGAAGTTGCGGAACTGCTTACCCTATCCCACTGGAAGGTCGTTACAGTGCACCTCAAAAAATGCTAGTTTGCCGTCACCGCCTGCCACCTTGAGGCATGGATCGCTTGAAAACGAAGTTTCATGACCTGAATGTGAACGCCCTTCTTGTTCAGCGTCTTGTTGAGTGCTGAATGGTCTGCCTCAAATTCTGATGGAGACGTCGACCCAAGCCGCAAGTGCAGCGAATCGAGAGGCCACACACTCAAGCTTAGTCCGTCGACAATGCTCTGCTTCAAGTTCTAGCTGATTTCTTCGCTCCGAGTAGACAAAATAGATTTGAAAAAATCGCTCTGGGAAGCGACAATTTTAATGACGCGGAGTATGTAGTCCTTCCCCACATAAATATTTGTTGTTAAATGTCACAGGAACACATACGAATGAGTTGGCTCCTGTGTTTGTGATGTGAAATCTCCTCATTTTCCTGTACTTGCTCTGTTTCCTATGGCTGATAGCCCAATCAGTTCCGTTTCCCCAGAATGGTGTCATTCAATTCCAGCCATCGTTCCCTGGTCAGAGTGCATGGGTGATTCGCAGCAATGTGGATGGAGAAATTACAAGATTGCCAGCATCAACAAGACAGTATACACTGGATACTAGCTCACTGTCAGTTGGAACTCATACGGTTACCGTGGAGACGGATGATGGACGTGTGATTGGACGGTACATTGTCATTGTCAGACGTAAGTGTTTGCTCAAGCTTGAAAAGATCCGTTCCAGAATATGCTGAATATTGAAACTGTGAATCAAAAATCCAATCCAGGATGAGCTGAAGATTCAAACTGTGACTTGTGCAAGTTTTGCGTAGCTTAAGTATGTTAACGCGGTGACGTAATGTTTTCACTGTATGCTGATGTCTATCACGCGCGTGTTCGCGCCAGCTCACGGATGCGCCGTTGTGCGCATGCGCAAACTCTCTCAGCAGCTCGCTTTGCATGCGTACACCCTTCAGCAGCCTTCGTGCCTGGCTCTCTTTGTTAGTTGCATTGGCTCGCATGACTCTTGCTCCGTGTTTTCACCCACCCACCCACACCGACTTCATTGTGTTACAATTCTCATTCTGTAGCATCCCGTTTATACTACTAACCTCGTTCGTCTTCCAAACTCACTCTGCTAAACAAAAACAAGCAGGGATTGGGCACTGAACTCTCAGTAGCTGGCAGCATTCTCTCTACTCTCCCGAATCACTCTATTCGGTTACTGCCCTTGGCAGGTCAGCCGCCATTTCAGTCTCACTCCGAATCACTCTATTCGGTTACTGCCCTTGGCAGGTCAGCCGCCATTTCGGTCTCACTCCGAATCACTCTATTCGGTTACTGCCCTTGGCAGGTCAGCCGCCATTTCGGTCTCACTCTCGGTCCCCGCCTCTGTCGGGTCGGCCGCCTCCATGGTTACACACTGCCAGCTCCTTCGCCCAGTTACCCTGTGGTGCCAACCACCTACTGCTGTGTCTGTGTGTGGGTCGTGTATGCCTCCGCGTACGGAGCATGCGTTAACAACCAGAAAATCCAATAAGAAAGACTCTGTCACCAGGCATACCGGCATACCAGTGTCTACTGGCGAACTGCTGCTTCTGATGAGCTGTTGTACAAAAGATTTCGGTGACTTTAAGGAAAACCTTTTAACAATAAGAAAATCACACAGTATTGTAGATAATAGGTAAGCACATAGTATTGGGAGGTAAAAGTAAATATCAACTGTTTGATACTTTGTCCTGGAGACCTGGGAGTCTACCATTCCTTGAACATTTCTCTGCTAAGAGGGGGCACTTGTTGCATGTACCAAAATATCAATATGACACTGTTAAAATTCCCTCTGTTTTACCGTTGTCTACCTGTCTGTCTGTCTGTCCATGTTTGTTTGTTTTGTGTGTGTATGTGTGTGTGTGTGTGTGTGTGCGTGTGTGTGTATGTGGGTGTTTGTGTATTTGTTACTTGGCACTGCCCCAACATTCACCTTGGTGATCAGTTCCAGCACCATGTGAGTATTCCACCAAGGAATGTCTTCCATTTACATTGGCTAGATTTGCAACATTATCTTGCCCACTGCTGGCTACTGCATTGCGTTTTAAGTTCTCTTATAAATGTTGGCGCTTCTTTCACATCATTACCAGTGCCTACATGGGTGAAGAGCCACAAATAATTCACATAAACATCATCTAGAATCTCACAGTTTAGAGAGAACTGGTAGCTTTTCACTTTCTATGCATGACAGGTACTGTTGAGGCGGAATGCAGCAAAATGTACCATCCACTGTGTTCTTGCTTCGTTTGATCATTTCAGCTTGGCCAAGACCCCCAACCATTCAGAGTCCAGGCCAGCTTCAATTCACACTCCCTGCTGCCGTTTCTAACTACCAATACGAAGTTGTGAGGATCTTACCAAATGGGGATGAAGAAGTTGTGGGAAGATATCGACCCAGCGACAGCCGTCAGCAAACCATTTCTGTTGTACCTGGACAGAATTATCGCCTGGGTCTGAGATCAAGATCAATCCAATCTCCCAGCCAAGTCTCCGGTATTGGCTCAACAATTTCATTCAACATTCCACAAGGTATGTAGACTTTTTATAGTTGTTTGATTTTTATTCTTATCATCCAGGCACTGCAGCAAAAAAAACAGGGCAAGGTTTACGAAAATGAGTTTTTCTATGGCTTTCCAATAGATATTTGATCTAGTGGCCAAATTTTGGAACTCTGGGAACCTTGCAAGATTGTAACAAAATCCTGAAGTTCACTGAGCCCTCTACTGGTCAGTTTTGTGTGGGTAAACAGGCCACCAGTTCAGAGTACGCTGAATCTGTTTAGATATTGGATAATGCACATCGCAACTCTGTGTGAGACAATGTTAACGTTTTGAAATACATCTATGAATATCAGGATGATGGTAAGTTTTCCCCGGCAATTTAGGGAACAAGTTATCAGGATTCCATCTATTTAGCAAATTCCACACTGAACAATCCCACCAGTTGATATACATCCTCCGCATCATTACAATTGTCGCTTCGCACATCGCAATGTTTGTGACTTGCTTGTCTTAGTCGGTCTGTCGGAATCGCTGTTTGCTGTGTTCGGACATTGCTATGACTCTTCCTACACAGTGTCTATTTGCTACGGAAGCCGTTGTGGTCTCGGAGCTCTCGTCCGCACCAAACAAATTCATCGTGCTCCGCACTATTTTGCCCCAGAGCACGTATCTTTTTTCTGGAGTTCCTGCCGCCCCACATCGTTCGTGTGGACATTTATCAAGACTGCAAGCTCCGGTATAAAAATCCTGGTATTTCCCCTGAATTTAAAATGCTGAAGTTGACGATGGCAAGAACAAAGTGTTCTCGGATTCCTAAAAAACCCTATGTGTGGCGCATGTTGCTGCGAAGGTAGCAGGTCTGAAAACACCAACAAAATCCGCGAAAAGCTTGTCAATTAAAGAAGTTGCGGAACTGCTTACCCTATCCCGCTGGAAGGTCGTTACAGTGCACCTCAAAAAATGCTAGTTTGCCGTCACCGCCTGCCACCTTGAGGCATGGATCGCTTGAAAACGAAGTTTCATGACCTGAATGTGAACGCCCTTCTTGTTCAGCGTCTTGTTGAGTGCTGAATGGTCTGCCTCAAATTCTGATGGAGACGTCGACCCAAGCCGCAAGTGCAGCGAATCGAGAGGCCACACACTCAAGCTTAGTCCGTCGACAATGCTCTGCTTCAAGTTCTAGCTGATTTCTTCGCTCCGAGTAGACAAAATAGATTTGAAAAAATCGCTCTGGGAAGCGACAATTTTAATGACGCGGAGTATGTAGTCCTTCCCCACATAAATATTTGTTGTTAAATGTCACAGGAACACATACGAATGAGTTGGCTCCTGTGTTTGTGATGTGAAATCTCCTCATTTTCCTGTACTTGCTCTGTTTCCTATGGCTGATAGCCCAATCAGTTCCGTTTCCCCAGAATGGTGTCATTCAATTCCAGCCATCGTTCCCTGGTCAGAGTGCATGGGTGATTCGCAGCAATGTGGATGGAGAAATTACAAGATTGCCAGCATCAACAAGACAGTATACACTGGATACTAGCTCACTGTCAGTTGGAACTCATACGGTTACCGTGGAGACGGATGATGGACGTGTGATTGGACGGTACATTGTCATTGTCAGACGTAAGTGTTTGCTCAAGCTTGAAAAGATCCGTTCCAGAATATGCTGAATATTGAAACTGTGAATCAAAAATCCAATCCAGGATGAGCTGAAGATTCAAACTGTGACTTGTGCAAGTTTTGCGTAGCTTAAGTATGTTAACGCGGTGACGTAATGTTTTCACTGTATGCTGATGTCTATCACGCGCGTGTTCGCGCCAGCTCACGGATGCGCCGTTGTGCGCATGCGCAAACTCTCTCAGCAGCTCGCTTTGCATGCGTACACCCTTCAGCAGCCTTCGTGCCTGGCTCTCTTTGTTAGTTGCATTGGCTCGCATGACTCTTGCTCCGTGTTTTCACCCACCCACCCACACCGACTTCATTGTGTTACAATTCTCATTCTGTAGCATCCCGTTTATACTACTAACCTCGTTCGTCTTCCAAACTCACTCTGCTAAACAAAAACAAGCAGGGATTGGGCACTGAACTCTCAGTAGCTGGCAGCATTCTCTCTACTCTCCCGAATCACTCTATTCGGTTACTGCCCTTGGCAGGTCAGCCGCCATTTCAGTCTCACTCCGAATCACTCTATTCGGTTACTGCCCTTGGCAGGTCAGCCGCCATTTCGGTCTCACTCCGAATCACTCTATTCGGTTACTGCCCTTGGCAGGTCAGCCGCCATTTCGGTCTCACTCTCGGTCCCCGCCTCTGTCGGGTCGGCCGCCTCCATGGTTACACACTGCCAGCTCCTTCGCCCAGTTACCCTGTGGTGCCAACCACCTACTGCTGTGTCTGTGTGTGGGTCGTGTATGCCTCCGCGTACGGAGCATGCGTTAACAACCAGAAAATCCAATAAGAAAGACTCTGTCACCAGGCATACCGGCATACCAGTGTCTACTGGCGAACTGCTGCTTCTGATGAGCTGTTGTACAAAAGATTTCGGTGACTTTAAGGAAAACCTTTTAACAATAAGAAAATCACACAGTATTGTAGATAATAGGTAAGCACATAGTATTGGGAGGTAAAAGTAAATATCAACTGTTTGATACTTTGTCCTGGAGACCTGGGAGTCTACCATTCCTTGAACATTTCTCTGCTAAGAGGGGGCACTTGTTGCATGTACCAAAATATCAATATGACACTGTTAAAATTCCCTCTGTTTTACCGTTGTCTACCTGTCTGTCTGTCTGTCCATGTTTGTTTGTTTTGTGTGTGTATGTGTGTGTGTGTGTGTGTGTGCGTGTGTGTGTATGTGGGTGTTTGTGTATTTGTTACTTGGCACTGCCCCAACATTCACCTTGGTGATCAGTTCCAGCACCATGTGAGTATTCCACCAAGGAATGTCTTCCATTTACATTGGCTAGATTTGCAACATTATCTTGCCCACTGCTGGCTACTGCATTGCGTTTTAAGTTCTCTTATAAATGTTGGCGCTTCTTTCACATCATTACCAGTGCCTACATGGGTGAAGAGCCACAAATAATTCACATAAACATCATCTAGAATCTCACAGTTTAGAGAGAACTGGTAGCTTTTCACTTTCTATGCATGACAGGTACTGTTGAGGCGGAATGCAGCAAAATGTACCATCCACTGTGTTCTTGCTTCGTTTGATCATTTCAGCTTGGCCAAGACCCCCAACCATTCAGAGTCCAGGCCAGCTTCAATTCACACTCCCTGCTGCCGTTTCTAACTACCAATACGAAGTTGTGAGGATCTTACCAAATGGGGATGAAGAAGTTGTGGGAAGATATCGACCCAGCGACAGCCGTCAGCAAACCATTTCTGTTGTACCTGGACAGGATTATCGCCTGGGTCTGAGATCAAGATCAATCCAATCTCCCAGCCAAGTCTCCGGTATTGGCTCAACAATTTCATTCAACATTCCACAAGGTATGTAGACTTTTTATAGTTGTTTGATTTTTATTCTTATCATCCAGGCACTGCAGCAAAAAAAACAGGGCAAGGTTTACGAAAATGAGTTTTTCTATGGCTTTCCAATAGATATTTGATCTAGTGGCCAAATTTTGGAACTCTGGGAACCTTGCAAGATTGTAACAAAATCCTGAAGTTCACTGAGCCCTCTACTGGTCAGTTTAGTGTGGGTAAACAGGCCACCAGTTCAGAGTACGCTGAATCTGTTTAGATATTGGATAATGCACATCGCAACTCTGTGTGAGACAATGTTAACGTTTTGAAATACATCTATGAATATCAGGATGATGGTAAGTTTTCCCCGGCAATTTAGGGAACAAGTTATCAGGATTCCATCTATTTAGCAAATTCCACACTGAACAATCCCACCAGTTGATATACATCCTCCGCATCATTACAATTGTCGCTTCGCACATCGCAATGTTTGTGACTTGCTTGTCTTAGTCGGTCTGTCGGAATCGCTGTTTGCTGTGTTCGGACATTGCTATGACTCTTCCTACACAGTGTCTATTTGCTACGGAAGCCGTTGTGGTCTCGGAGCTCTCGTCCGCACCAAACAAATTCATCGTGCTCCGCACTATTTTGCCCCAGAGCACGTATCTTTTTTCTGGAGTTCCTGCCGCCCCACATCGTTCGTGTGGACATTTATCAAGACTGCAAGCTCCGGTATAAAAATCCTGGTATTTCCCCTGAATTTAAAATGCTGAAGTTGACGATGGCAAGAACAAAGTGTTCTCGGATTCCTAAAAAACCCTATGTGTGGCGCATGTTGCTGCGAAGGTAGCAGGTCTGAAAACACCAACAAAATCCGCGAAAAGCTTGTCAATTAAAGAAGTTGCGGAACTGCTTACCCTATCCCGCTGGAAGGTCGTTACAGTGCACCTCAAAAAATGCTAGTTTGCCGTCACCGCCTGCCACCTTGAGGCATGGATCGCTTGAAAACGAAGTTTCATGACCTGAATGTGAACGCCCTTCTTGTTCAGCGTCTTGTTGAGTGCTGAATGGTCTGCCTCAAATTCTGATGGAGACGTCGACCCAAGCCGCAAGTGCAGCGAATCGAGAGGCCACACACTCAAGCTTAGTCCGTCGACAATGCTCTGCTTCAAGTTCTAGCTGATTTCTTCGCTCCGAGTAGACAAAATAGATTTGAAAAAATCGCTCTGGGAAGCGACAATTTTAATGACGCGGAGTATGTAGTCCTTCCCCACATAAATATTTGTTGTTAAATGTCACAGGAACACATACGAATGAGTTGGCTCCTGTGTTTGTGATGTGAAATCTCCTCATTTTCCTGTACTTGCTCTGTTTCCTATGGCTGATAGCCCAATCAGTTCCGTTTCCCCAGAATGGTGTCATTCAATTCCAGCCATCGTTCCCTGGTCAGAGTGCATGGGTGATTCGCAGCAATGTGGATGGAGAAATTACAAGATTGCCAGCATCAACAAGACAGTATACACTGGATACTAGCTCACTGTCAGTTGGAACTCATGCGGTTACCGTGGAGACGGATGATGGACGTGTGATTGGACGGTACATTGTCATTGTCAGACGTAAGTGTTTGCTCAAGCTTGAAAAGATCCGTTCCAGAATATGCTGAATATTGAAACTGTGAATCAAAAATCCAATCCAGGATGAGCTGAAGATTCAAACTGTGACTTGTGCAAGTTTTGCGTAGCTTAAGTATGTTAACGCGGTGACGTAATGTTTTCACTGTATGCTGATGTCTATCACGCGCGTGTTCGCGCCAGCTCACGGATGCGCCGTTGTGCGCATGCGCAAACTCTCTCAGCAGCTCGCTTTGCATGCGTACACCCTTCAGCAGCCTTCGTGCCTGGCTCTCTTTGTTAGTTGCATTGGCTCGCATGACTCTTGCTCCGTGTTTTCACCCACCCACCCACACCGACTTCATTGTGTTACAATTCTCATTCTGTAGCATCCCGTTTATACTACTAACCTCGTTCGTCTTCCAAACTCACTCTGCTAAACAAAAACAAGCAGGGATTGGGCACTGAACTCTCAGTAGCTGGCAGCATTCTCTCTACTCTCCCGAATCACTCTATTCGGTTACTGCCCTTGGCAGGTCAGCCGCCATTTCAGTCTCACTCCGAATCACTCTATTCGGTTACTGCCCTTGGCAGGTCAGCCGCCATTTCGGTCTCACTCCGAATCACTCTATTCGGTTACTGCCCTTGGCAGGTCAGCCGCCATTTCGGTCTCACTCTCGGTCCCCGCCTCTGTCGGGTCGGCCGCCTCCATGGTTACACACTGCCAGCTCCTTCGCCCAGTTACCCTGTGGTGCCAACCACCTACTGCTGTGTCTGTGTGTGGGTCGTGTATGCCTCCGCGTACGGAGCATGCGTTAACAACCAGAAAATCCAATAAGAAAGACTCTGTCACCAGGCATACCGGCATACCAGTGTCTACTGGCGAACTGCTGCTTCTGATGAGCTGTTGTACAAAAGATTTCGGTGACTTTAAGGAAAACCTTTTAACAATAAGAAAATCACACAGTATTGTAGATAATAGGTAAGCACATAGTATTGGGAGGTAAAAGTAAATATCAACTGTTTGATACTTTGTCCTGGAGACCTGGGAGTCTACCATTCCTTGAACATTTCTCTGCTAAGAGGGGGCACTTGTTGCATGTACCAAAATATCAATATGACACTGTTAAAATTCCCTCTGTTTTACCGTTGTCTACCTGTCTGTCTGTCTGTCCATGTTTGTTTGTTTTGTGTGTGTATGTGTGTGTGTGTGTGTGTGTGTGCGTGTGTGTGTATGTGGGTGTTTGTGTATTTGTTACTTGGCACTGCCCCAACATTCACCTTGGTGATCAGTTCCAGCACCATGTGAGTATTCCACCAAGGAATGTCTTCCATTTACATTGGCTAGATTTGCAACATTATCTTGCCCACTGCTGGCTACTGCATTGCGTTTTAAGTTCTCTTATAAATGTTGGCGCTTCTTTCACATCATTACCAGTGCCTACATGGGTGAAGAGCCACAAATAATTCACATAAACATCATCTAGAATCTCACAGTTTAGAGAGAACTGGTAGCTCTTCACTTTCTATGCATGACAGGTACTGTTGAGGTGGAATGCAGCAAAATGTACCATCCACTGTGTTCTTGCTTCGTTTGATCATTTCAGCTTGGCCAAGACCCCCAACCATTCAGAGTCCAGGCCAGCTTCAATTCACACTCCCTGCTGCCGTTTCTAACTACCAATACGAAGTTGTGAGGATCTTACCAAATGGGGATGAAGAAGTTGTGGGAAGATATCGACCCAGCGACAGCCGTCAGCAAACCATTTCTGTTGTACCTGGACAGAATTATCGCCTGGGTCTGAGATCAAGATCAATCCAATCTCCCAGCCAAGTCTCCGGTATTGGCTCAACAATTTCATTCAACATTCCACAAGGTATGTAGACTTTTTATTCTTATCATCCAGGCACTGCAGCAAAAAAAACAGGGCAAGGTTTACGAAAATGAGTTTTTCTATGGCTTTCCAATAGATATTTGATCTAGTGGCCAAATTTTGGAACTCTGGGAACCTTGCAAGATTGTAACAAAATCCTGAAGTTCACTGAGCCCTCTACTGGTCAGTTTTGTGTGGGTAAACAGGCCACCAGTTCAGAGTACGCTGAATCTGTTTAGATATTGGATAATGCACATCGCAACTCTGTGTGAGACAATGTTAACGTTTTGAAATACATCTATGAATATCAGGATGATGGTAAGTTTTCCCCGGCAATTTAGGGAACAAGTTATCAGGATTCCATCTATTTAGCAAATTCCACACTGAACAATCCCACCAGTTGATATACATCCTCCGCATCATTACAATTGTCGCTTCGCACATCGCAATGTTTGTGACTTGCTTGTCTTAGTCGGTCTGTCGGAATCGCTGTTTGCTGTGTTCGGACATTGCTATGACTCTTCCTACACAGTGTCTATTTGCTACGGAAGCCGTTGTGGTCTCGGAGCTCTCGTCCGCACCAAACAAATTCATCGTGCTCCGCACTATTTTGCCCCAGAGCACGTATCTTTTTTCTGGAGTTCCTGCCGCCCCACATCGTTCGTGTGGACATTTATCAAGACTGCAAGCTCCGGTATAAAAATCCTGGTATTTCCCCTGAATTTAAAATGCTGAAGTTGACGATGGCAAGAACAAAGTGTTCTCGGATTCCTAAAAAACCCTATGTGTGGCGCATGTTGCTGCGAAGGTAGCAGGTCTGAAAACACCAACAAAATCCGCGAAAAGCTTGTCAATTAAAGAAGTTGCGGAACTGCTTACCCTATCCCGCTGGAAGGTCGTTACAGTGCACCTCAAAAAATGCTAGTTTGCCGTCACCGCCTGCCACCTTGAGGCATGGATCGCTTGAAAACGAAGTTTCATGACCTGAATGTGAACGCCCTTCTTGTTCAGCGTCTTGTTGAGTGCTGAATGGTCTGCCTCAAATTCTGATGGAGACGTCGACCCAAGCCGCAAGTGCAGCGAATCGAGAGGCCACACACTCAAGCTTAGTCCGTCGACAATGCTCTGCTTCAAGTTCTAGCTGATTTCTTCGCTCCGAGTAGACAAAATAGATTTGAAAAAATCGCTCTGGGAAGCGACAATTTTAATGACGCGGAGTATGTAGTCCTTCCCCACATAAATATTTGTTGTTAAATGTCACAGGAACACATACGAATGAGTTGGCTCCTGTGTTTGTGATGTGAAATCTCCTCATTTTCCTGTACTTGCTCTGTTTCCTATGGCTGATAGCCCAATCAGTTCCGTTTCCCCAGAATGGTGTCATTCAATTCCAGCCATCGTTCCCTGGTCAGAGTGCATGGGTGATTCGCAGCAATGTGGATGGAGAAATTACAAGATTGCCAGCATCAACAAGACAGTATACACTGGATATCAGCTCACTGTCAGTTGGAACTCATACGATTACCGTGGAGACGGATGATGGACGTGTGATTGGACGGTACATTGTCATTGTCAGAGGTGAGTGTTTGCCCAAGCTTGAAAGGATCTGTTCCAGAATAAGCTGAAAATTCAAACTGTGAACTGCAACCAGAAAATCCAATAAGAAATACTCTGTCACCAGGCATACCAGTGTCTGCTGGTGAAGTGCTGCTTCTGATGAGCTGTTGTACACAAGATTTCGGTGACCTTAAAGAAAAACCTTAACAGTCACAAAATCACACAGTATTGGGAGGTGAAAGTAACTATCAACTGTTTGTCTCGAAGACTTGGAAGCCTACCATTCCTTGAAACATTTCTCTGCTAAGACTAGGAAGAGGAGGTATTTGTTGCATGAACAAAATATCAACATGACATTGTTAAATTTTCCTCTGTTACACCATTGTCTATCTGTCTGTATGTCTGTCCATGTGTGTGTGCATGTGTGTGTGTGTGTGTGTGTGTGTGTGTGTGTGTGTGTGTGTGTGTGTTGTGTGTGTGTGTTGTGTTGTGTGTGTGTGTGTGTGTGTGTGTGTGTGTGTGTGTGTTTGTGTTTGTATATTGGATACTTGGCGCTGCCCCAACATTCGCCTTGGTGATCAGTTCCAGTACCATGTGAGTATTATACCAAGGAATGTCTTCCATTTACATTGGCTAGTTTTGCAACACTATCTTGCCCACTGCTGGCTACTGCATTGCGTTCGAAGTTCTCTCGTGAATGTTGCCAAGTTCTCTGGTGAATGTTGCCACTTCGTTAACGTATCAAACAGGTATATGTGCCTATCCTGACACATATCATGAACATTCACGTCAAATTTTACGAGAGAATTGGTAGCTATTCACTTTCTATGCATTGCCGGCACTGTGTAGGCGGAAATAACTGCAGAATACGGCAAAAATGTACCATCCAGAAACCATCCAGTATCACCTTGCGTTGTTTGATCATTTCAGCTTGGCCAAGACCCCCTACCATTCAGAGTCCAGATCGGGTTCAACTTACACTCCCTGCTGGCGTTTCTAACTACCTATATGAAGTTGTGAGGATCTTGCCAAATGGGGATGAAGAAGTTGTGGGAAGCTATCGATCGACCGACAGCCGTCAGCAAACCCTTTCAGTTGTACCTGGACAGAATTATCGTCTGGGTCTGAGATCAAGATCAACCCAGTCTCCCCGCCAAGTCTCCGGTATTGGCTCAACAATTTCATTCAGCGTTCCTCAAGGTATGTAGACTGTTCTTTAGTTGTTGATTTGTGTTCTTATCATTCCAGGCACTGCCACAACAAAAAAAGTAGGGTAAGGCGAGACCAAAAAAAATTAGTGATTCCCGGGCCCTCCCGCACCAAATTGGAGCCAAGGCCATTTTTTTTTTGAACAGTTCATAATACATCTACAGTACTAATCGTGTGAGTAGATCTGTGACGTAGAGTCACACAAACCCGAGCTTGTACGACTCCCTGATGTACAGATCAGAACCACCGTTGGCCGAAATACAAAAAAATTGAACGGGTAAACCGCGTGCCTGTTTTTTGTGAAATTTGAATAAAAAAATAAAAATTACTGGAAAATACTGAAAAAAAGCTCGGCATGGCATGCGCATATGCGCATACACACAGTCATAGGAAAAAAAGAAGAAAAAAAATTCACCCGCCCGCACCAATTTCACATGGGTCCTGCCCGGGAATCTCGATTTTATTTTGGTCTCGCCTAAGGTTCCCAAAGATTTTTAGAAAGGAAAAGGACATATGGATACGAGTTGAGAGTAACTGTCCACCACTGTAACTAGATAATATATACAGTCAGAAAGTGCAACAACTAGGCACAAAACTGACAGAGTACTGAGACATTCGACGTCCTGACGTCCTGACTTTCTGACTGTATATATCTAGTTGCAGTGGTGGACAGTTACTCTCAACTCGTATCCATACGTCCTTTTCCTTTCTACATCTATTATTGGCTCAACATCCGAGTTTCAAAAAGATTTTTTAAACCTTCATCCTTTAACCTTTATCATCCCGACCCTTCAGGCGTTCCGATAGATAATTTATATTGTAGCCAAATTCTGGAACTCTGGGAACCTTGCCAAGATCGTAAAACATCCTGTTTTGTATGTAGTATTGTATGTAGTATTGATAATTCAAAGCCAGCTTGACATAATTTGCAGTTCACTGTGCTCTCTACTGATCAGTTTAGTGTGGGTAAGCAGGCCACCAGTTCAGAGTACGCTTAATCTGTGTCGATAAGGTACATGGCAACTCTCTGCAACAATGTCAGCATTTTGGCATACATATTGCGATGTGGGTACATATTTGGATAATAAGAATGTCAGGATGATGGTGGGCCAATGTTTCCCCCACGTACAAATGAACTGGTGCCCACGTTTGTGACGTGGAATGCGAAATCTCCAACTTTCCTGTACTTGCTCTGTTTCCTATGGCTGATAGCCCAACCAGTTCCGTTTCCCCAGAATGGTGTCATTCAATTCCGGCCATCGTTCCCTGGTCAGAGTGCATGGGTGATTCGCAGCAATGTGGATGGAGAAATTACAAGATTGCCAGCATCAACAAGACAGTATACACTGGATATCAGCTCACTGTCAGTTGGAACTCATACGATTACCGTGGAGACGGATGATGGACGTGTGATTGGACGGTACATTGTCATTGTCAGAAGTAAGTGTTTGCCCAAGCTTGAAAGGATCCGTTCCAGAATATGCTGAATATTGAAACTGTGAATGAAAGGATGCGTTCCAGATTGAGCTGAAGATTCAAACTGTGAATTGCAAAGATAAATTCCAGCAAGGCTGTGTCCTTGCACAGACCAGTTTGATGAAGTGTTGCCTAGTACAATGCACAGGCACAATGATGGGGATCGAATACGAAAACTTACCTCAATATCTAGCCCCCCCCCCCCCCCCCCATCCCTTTGTCACTTTGTCTCAGACACCTGGAAACCTTGCAGGTCCTTCTGAGGTCACAACTCCACAGTGTAGATCATACTTTCCTGTGAAGTATTTTGCAATGTTTAGTCCCCAATAATGCCTTTCTCTATAGTCCCTAAATACTTTGTGCCAAAAACAGATGGTTAGCAGTAACCGTGACAGAACCGTGATAATTTTACCTCTTTTACAATGTTTGTGTGCCTGTTCTGTTCTGTTCTGTGTGTGCGTGTGTGTTTTGTAAATATGCTACCTGGATGATGATGCCCCGTCATTCACCTTGCTGATTAGTTCCATTACCATGTAAGTTCCTTTTATACAAAGGAAGGTGCTCCATGTGGAGTGGGGATGCAGTGGCAGCGTTGGCATTTTTTCTCTTTTCAGGCAGCTCACTTCCGCGACTGATCCTTTAAATGAAGTGAGCTGCCTCTGGAGTGAAGAACTTGTCGGCGCCTTCTAGGTTCGGCCTAGTCCCATAGCTCAGATGGTTAGAGCATTGCTCGTGACAAGCAAGGTCCCGGGTTAGAGTCCTGGTGGGATGGCATTTTTTCTCTTTTCAGGCACTTCGCTTCCACGGCTGATGCTTCAAATTTGAAGTTCTCCCAATCCTTACAAAGAAGAAAAGTGGAGGTGTCGCGAAGAGGTTTCCTTTTGGCGATGGGGGGGGGGGGGGGTAGTGGAGGTAGTATGGTGTTGTTGCGCTCAGACAGTGGCTGAAAGAATACTAGTACACTCAGATGGCTAATTGCAAAACACACATGAGCAGTTTCAGGTGTCCCACTTGAGCTGGTGTACTTGTCACTGTTTGCAGAGAATTGGTAGCTTTTCACTTTCTATGCATGACAGGCACCGTGCGTTGGAGGCGGAATGCAGCTAAACCTACTGTCCACTGTTTTCTTGCTTCGTTTGATCATTTCAGTTTGGCCAAGACCCCCTACCATTCAGAGGCCAGATCGGGTTCAACTTACACTCCCTGCTGCCGTTTCTAACTACCTATATGAAGTTGTGAGGATCTTGCCAAATGGAAATGAAGTAGTTGTGGGAAGATATCAGCCAAGTGACAGTCGTCAGCAAACCATTTCAGCTCAGCCCGGAGAGAACTATCGTCTAGGACTGCGAGCAAGATCGATCGGGTCTCCAAGCCAAGTGTCTGGCATTGGCTCAACTGTTTCTTTCAACATTCCTGCAGGTATGCAGACTGTTTTTGCAGTGGTATCATCAGGGGGGATTTGCTTTCTAGGGTGGAGCGAATAATTTGTTATTCGAATCTCTCTAACAGCATTTGAAGAATATTTGAATTGAGGCTTTCTACTACTACTAGAACTGGTACATTCATGTGCTGAAAATTACTCATGTGTTGATGGAGACCAGTTAGCACTGCTTCGAGGGTTGTCCAAACCTCTGGAAGCAGTCATGTCGTTGGCTGCTCCTATGAGGAACACACCCTTCCTGCTAAACTTGACACTTGGCTGACTCACGACTGCCGTCCGGAGCACACAAGACTGAGCACGTCGCACCTTCGACTCGGCAAACCTGCAAGAAAGCACCACTCCCTGCTCAATATACAGTGTATCGGGGAATTCACCGTCATCAGTTGAGCTCAGTCGTGAGTCGGTCAAGTGTCAAGTTCAGCAGGAAGCGTGTGTTCCTCGTAGGAGCAACCCACTTCATCACTAACACCGCCGAAGTCGCAACCTCTAAGTTCTCTGGAAACAATGTTTCAGCAATGGCAGGGGAAACACTACCAGTTCGTAGCATGAAGACATCTTGGCAATGCGCATGTTGAATTTATGAAGTGCCACTTGATCACTTGTGGTCAGGGACTAGTCGAATATCCATTAATTTTGTTCACTGAACTGATATTGTGACAAATTCTTTGGTCATGGAATTTGCTGTTCGTCACATCGCTACATGTGACAGATATCGCTGTACTTACAAGTAGTTAACCAGCAATGGTGACAGTTCAGAGAGGTTAGTGATATCTCTACAAGACTGGAACTTCAGTGTACCATAGCTACTTGTACAAGTTCTCTGGTCTAACCTTGGTGCCTCTCCAAAGGAGAGAGAGAGAGAGAGAGAGAGAGAGAGAGAGAGAGAGAGAGAGAGAGAGAGAGAGAGAGAGAGAGAGAGAGGGTACATACCTGGAAGCAGAGACTTGCATGCCCTTCGGAAAAGTGAAGACGGCTCAGCAGAAGGTCTGTGGAGAGTAGCGGGTGCCTCTCTCCCTCTCCCTCTCCCTCTCTCCCTCCCTCTGAGTCTCCCTCTGAGTCTCTCTCTTTCTCTCTCTCTCTCTCTCTCTCTCTCTCTCTCTCTCTCTCTCTCTCTCTCTCTCTCTCTCTCTCTCTCTCTCTCTCTCTCTCTCTCTGTCTCTCTGTCTCTCTGTCTCTCTGTCTCTCTGTCTCTGCCTCTCTCTGTCTCTCTGTCTCTGCCTCTCTCTCTCTCTGTCTCTATCTGTCTCTATCTGTCTCTGTCTCTCTCTATCTCTCTGTGTGTGTCTCTCTCTCGTGCGCACGCACGCTCTCTCTCTCTCTCTCTCTCTCTCTCTCTCTCTCTCTCTCTCTCTCCCACCCTGCATGATATGCAATAACCCCAGTAACACAAAAGTAAACTATAAACTGTTCTCTGTGTTTCCTTTTGCAACTGTTGTTCCAGTACCACGCCCAAGTAAGTGCAGTATTATTGTTATGGCTTTGTCAAAGATATACATTTGTTTAAATACTTAATACTAGAAGTATAATGTTAGTTCGTAGGGATTGATCACATACATGACCTCACGAGCTCGGCGTGTGGTGCTCAGTGAATGAACATCTGCCATAAGCTCTTATCTGACCGTTATGACTCCAGGTGCAGCTGGTAAGTATGCAAACACACACACACGCACACGCACACACACACGCACACACACACACACACACACGCACACACACACACACACACATACATACACACACACATGCACGCACGCACACATACACACACACACATGCACACATGCACGCACACACCACACACACACACACACACACACACACACACACACACACACACACACACACACACACACACACACACACACACACACACACACACACACACACACACACACACACACACACACACACACACACACACACACACACACACACACACACACACACACACACACACACACACACACACACACACACACACACACACACACACACGCATACACATACACACACGCATACACTGCAATGCAATGCACACATGTTACGGTCTTGCATGTATATTTGGGGCTTACTGTCTTAGCTGCAGTGGGATATCAGCCGCCAACACTTCTAGGGAGAAAGGTCTATTGAAGCTGATGTTTGAATAATATAACAGGACAATTGCCTCATCATGGCCCTTATGCCAGAGTTCAGATATTGGTCTGCTTTTGCTTTTGCAGCAGCAAAATAATGTTCTTCAGCACATCAACGTTAGTTAGACAATGCAGTTTTCGAGGGGAGGGAGGGGTATAATTGATGTTAAGTTAATAATTGTCTTTGTAATAGCCCAGGCATTCCTGCCAACCATAACTGCTTGTTGTGCTCTGCTTTGCTATGCTATGCGACGCTATGCTCTCCTCTGTTTTATGCTCGTATGTTATGGTATGCTGTTCTGTGCTCTTTCCAGTTGAACCTCCGACAGTTCCCACGGGTAAGATGGCGGATGTAGTAGACAGTGGCTCTGTTTCAAGTTTGGAAGGCTTTCTGCTTGTGTGCTCTGAAGTATTCATCTTGGGTCAGCTCGTTAGCTGTGCTGGTCTCATGAGCACAATGTGAAGACGCAAGGCTGAACCTGATAACGGATGAAGAATGCATTGTCAAATCTAGAACTTCACGGGAAAAAATCTTTTTTCAATGATGTTGCTAGAGATCATACCACCTTTGAATGTAAGGATCAATTCACTCTGGCTGGAAGCCGGTCATATCAAAGCCAGTCCTGTACCTCAACATACATATTGACCTGTATATGAAGACCACCTGTCTTTAGAGGACGGTTTTCTCTGTAGGCTGGTCGCTAAATGCAGGTTTGCATGTCTGCTAGGATTCTGAGTATTCATTGAGGTTGGTGTTCTGCTTTGCTTTGTCTGGCTCTGTGCAATGGACATGCAGTACCAGGAAGATCAGGTGAGCTCTTTACCATGCCTGCTACTGTTCCACTGTGTGCATTTGTTGTTGTTTTTTATTTGAATTCGCAATACCAAACGGGCAATAAGCCCAATTACATGGAAGCGAATAAAAGAATGCTAAGAATGAGGCATTGGGGTGGATATTATTTCAAGTGGAAAATACTGATCACGGGAGGTACTACAAAATAGGTACAATGAAAATCTGAAAAGGCCATGGTACTGTCGTTTACCATGCTGGAAGCAGCTACATGGAGAAGGAAAAACAACAAGAAAGACTTTTTATCTCGTGTATTGGACAAACAGAGCTAGCAGGAAAAGACCGTTCGTTATATGCCTATACATACTGTCCGTGTGTGCGTGGGGGGGGGGGGGGGGTGCATGTCACTGTTTCTCTTCTTAAAAAAAAACGTTTATGGCCGGGGTGCATGTCACTGTTTCTCTTCTTTAAAAACGTTTATGGCCTGAGAGTGTACGGGTACACGGCTGCTGCGAAATCGGCCACGGCTTTGTGCAGGAACGTACACTGGCTGGCAGAGTGTTCCACAGCGCAGGTCCACGGAAGAACGGTCGGCGAGTGCCTGTATTCGTCCTGGCCAGCGGGAGAATGAGCCCGGCGTTGGCTTGATGTCGAGTTGGGGCCGTGGTTGCGGGCGTCAGCTGCTTTGAAAGCGCTGTACTACATTGGCCGTTCAGGCCGCGCCAGATGAGATCGAGGAGTCGGTGGTGGTGTGTCTCCTCGATTTTGCGGAGGGATTGCATTTGCCGGTGACAAGATTCTACCTACTCATCACCTTAGTAAACAGGAGGATGTTTGGGATGCTTCAAAAGGAGCAAGCTCACTGCAGTGATGTGAAGTTGGTTGGCTTGGATACAACAGCTGGTACCTTCTATTCAGGATTATCTCTCTTCCTTGCAACTACAGGCTATGATTGACAGAGGCTAAGCTGTTGGCCAAAAATGTTTTCTGCATGATCAACTTAATAATATTGTTTCTGCTTTCGTTGCGTTAGGCACAATCAAAACTGGCGATTTGAGAGCCACGTGGCAGGTGAACGGTGAAGGTGGAGTTGATGTTGGCCTGTCCACCAACTTGCAGAACCGATGGATGGGCTTTGGAATATCAAGGAATGGCTTTATGGTCAGTGCATTGATCAGTGTTAGCTAGTGCCGGGGGTGATTGTGTACTTTCAGTACCTTCGAATCAGTGTTAGCTAGTGCCGGGGGTGATTATGTGTGTTCAGCAATGAGCCTGTATTCACGATATTACACGTCATTCCGTACTGTAGCGAGTGTTTGAGCTACTGCCTGATGCACACACTGGGTCATGTGTTAGTGTCCAAACTGGGCCGCTCCCTGAATCGCACGCATGCCAGAAGTTTCTGTGGGTGATGGGTGAGCCCCGAAGACTGTACTGGTTTACAAAAAGTGCCGATTCAGGGTAGGCAGATTGGAGGGATGTAAGAGCAGTGTGTGTGTGTGTGTGTGTGTGTGTGTGTGTGTGTGCGTACGTGCGTGCGTGCGTGTGTGTGTGCGGTGTCTAATGCTGTCTGAGCTATTTTGCTGCATATGATGGTAGTACTTATTTTGCCTTCTTATTCTTGCAGACAAACAGCGATATGATAACTGGCTACATCAATGGTGATGGTCAAGCAGTGGTCGAGGATCGGTAAGCCTTCATCACATTGTTTGAATTGTCCGTTGCGCGTACATGTACATGCATATGTTGTAGCTGGTAATTGTGTGTGTATGTGTGTGTATGTGTGTGTATGTGTGTGTGTGTGTGTGTGTGTGGGTGGATGTGCTGCTGCTGTGGTGTTCAAGTTGGTAGTGTCGCATCATACATGCACGCACATGCGCTCACGCGCACACACACCACTACTACTACTACTACTACTACTACTACTACTACTACTACTACTACCACTACCACTACCACTACCACTACCACTACCACTACCACTACCACTACCACTACCACTACCACTACCACTACCACTACCACTACCACTACTACTACTACTACTACTACTACTACTACTACTACTACTACTACTTGACACAATCTTTATTAGGAAACTTGAAATGGAGATGTGAAACACAAATACAGCCATGTAGATGGAGCAGCAATGCAATACAATGTCCAAAAACTCAAGAATTCATTATCATGGGGCAATGTTGGGCAAATGTCTGTCAGGTACTATCACGCTCAGGCTGCCCGCAACCTGCACATCGTCGTGAAATTCATCCTGTTGCGGCGGTATGACGATCTTGAACCACGCAAACAGGTGACTGCCCATCGCATAAGGCAGACTGACAGCTTACAACGGAGCTGACCCATGATAACTACTACTACTACTACTACTACTACTACTACTACTACTACTACTACCACTACCACTACCACTACCACTACCACTACCACTACCACTACCACTACCACTACCACTACTACTACTACTACTACTACTACTATAGCATGACTGCCCATTGGGCAATGTCACCCCCGGAGGGGGCCAGAGTTTGGAGGGCACCGTCATTGGCAGGACTTCTGGTGCCTCGTCAAATCTTGCTGTCGTCGGAAACGCTTCGGGCAATGCATGCAGATCAGCGGCAGTGATTCCCTATCGGCTGCGGCAAGACGTTTTCCACGGTTGCAGTTATGGCGGTTAAAACCAGCCCGGGACTTGAAGCAGCGATTGCAGCGTTGACAATGCTTAAAGCAGCAACTAGCGAGAGACGCTGTCAATGCCGTATCTGCATGTTCAGGGAGTGCAGGCTGGCAGCGATGAACTGCAAGCCCACCCTTACTTCGGAACCATCGGCAGCAACTGACGCACTGTGCTGAACCACGCTGTTGGTGGACGGGAAGTTGGCGCTCAGCCAAACACTTGTGCCGTGCCTTGTCTTGAGGACGAGAGAACACCCGGTTGCAAGATAACAAGAGTACGGATTTCTCTACTGCCCGAGGAGGCTGAAAAACCAGAACCTGCTCTCGCCAAGCTGACCGGTCTTGTGCGCAATCAAACCAGTCACACACACACGCACATGCACACACACGCACACGTGCACACACACACACACACACACACACACACACACACACACACACACACACACACACACACAGTCACATCCTCTGATTCTTACCCATCACCTTTGGCCACGCCAGCATGCTTCTTAGCAAACTAATCATACCTTATCCGTACATCTTCACAACACTCATCGACACTAATCATACATTGTTCAATGTATTGTCCCTTCTTCTCGTATTGTTAGGTTTGCCTTCGGCAGGATTCGTCCTGCTGTGGACAGCGACAGTCAAGTCAGTGATGTCCAAGGTCGCCGCCAGGGTGGTAGAGACTACATCTCATTCACTATCCCATGCAATAGCCCGGATCCCAGGGACGTTCCCCTGGAGGGAAGGAGAAGTCTGCTGCTTGCCATGGGCCCGGTGAGAGGATCATTGATCTCATATCACTCAGATGGAAGGAGCGCATCTCCCCTCGTGCAGATTGACTGCTCAGCACGTAAGGGCAAGCCGCACAGGCATTGTTATTCATTATAATTAATTATCGGGGTAGTATGCTCTTAGGTGAGATGTGTAAGCGTTAATAGCACACTTATATATGCTTGCTTATAGACTGCCCAGGTCAAGACAGCTTAGGACAAGCTGTCCCAATAGTACAATGCCCGGATCTCGAAATACACCCATATTCAAGTAGTGTGGCATCGTCTTGGTAGAAGGCTCCCTGAAAAGTCAGGCCAGACTACGCATCTAAGCACATCACATAATACTACAGTATGCGAAGAGATTGTCAGGCATATGATCCCTAGTATTCATGTGGCTTGACAATTGACTTTGAACTTCCTGGCTGTTTAAGCTAACCTTTAGTTTTAGTTTTTTAGTTTTAGTTCTATTCCAAGCAATACATGGCTGGGGCAGCCAATGACCACTTTGCGTGGCGATTGCAGGGTTTTATAGCCAACCACGGCTTTAAATTATCAGATATGCTTTATTGTAGTGCTTTGGAATACTGCCATAGCCTGGTGTAACTATCACCGGCACTTTTCTCTTGTTCTTTGTAGCCTTTCAATTGAACAAACAATAATCATGTTTCATTTCACTGCAGGTTTGTATCTGCCCTGTATTACTCATTAGCACATGTACTTGAACTACAGGGTGGCCGGTGGCATTGCTGATTTTTTAAAGGAGTGTCGATTCTGAGCAGTATTTCTGTACTCCATGATGTCTTGCAAACAATTGTACTGGTGTAATCTTCTACATGTATGTCTGGTGTGTTATTGTCCTATTGTCCTATTGTCGTATTGATCCAGGTCAAGCACCAGCTCCAGCACCATGTAAGCAATGTACTCTGTACACATTTTTAGTTACACGTATCACACACGCACGCACGCACCCCCACACACACACACAATCTCTCTGCGGGCCTCCCTGTTGTGACACTATGGCAAGGTGTTTGGTACGATGATTGGGTGATCTACTGCCTGCTAAACACTGAACTATTTGAGAATATATACATGCCTGTGTAGCCTACTCCCTCCCCAGCACCAGCAGCAGCAGTAATACTAGCTGGGGCCAATTTTGATGAACAGGGAGAATGACTTAGAACTGAGACAAACAAAATTGAAGAATTCAATATAATGTTGCGGGATGGAAGAAAGTGATCAACTTTAGCTTTTTGGGTTCGACTCTCTGTTACCAGCTCCAGCAGCAACAACATCAGTTGTATCAGTGAATGTTGATCTTCCACAAGAACTGTCCGGAAGCACTGGTCAAGATCAGCACTGGATCGTTGACATACGTGAAAGCTTACGCGATGGCAACTGGTCATCGTTCCAAACGATTGCCGTCGTAGAAACATCCCGACCCTCACTCTCCATTACACTTCCCACCGGAAATCTGTATGAACTGTCATTCCGGGGCAGTGAGTCCAACACACGGATAACGCGGACTGTCTCAACCTGAAATTGCTCTCGCCCCGCCCCCCCCCCCCCCCGCGCCATCATAGCTGTAGCTTCAGTTCATCCAGCACTTGTGTAAACAGAGTCGTTTCCGTGTTGACAGTTTTTTCTCTAAGTTAGTACACTGTACTGTCTAATTATGTAGTACGGTGCTACAAGCCGGCAGTGAGATGAATACTGTACTGCCTGCACTGCCCGCATTGTCTAAGTATTCTATTCCTGTTTCTTCTTGGTGTTCCATGCAGAGAGCAATGCAATGACGGTCATCAAACTTCAATGAACCGCTCTACGCACCTAAGATACAGGAATAGAAGCTTAGAAACATGGTGTTAGCAGTAGCAATAGTGGATTGCGTGACATTGTATAATATAACGTAACATGGCGTGTCCCCGCTTCACAGCCTCCACTACTTCCCAGGAGCGGTTTCCTAACATTACCTTTACTTTTCAATGCCTTATGACCGTCGGAAACATCCAGTGGCATGGTGACAGTACCAGCTTATCAGCCACACTGCTGTCCGTTACTCTGCTGATCTGCTGATCACACTGCCCATCACCCTCTGCTGAACATAATGTTACCCTATACCGGTTATGCTCTCTTGCCGTTACCACTACATGTACAGTGTATGCTACTTATAATTGTGACCATTGTCTTTCTCAACTATACTAGCCCTTTGGTTTCATCGGCAGAAGTACATTTATCGCAACTTATCTTTAAAAAATGAAATGAAATCAATTGACTCAAGATGCTGTGTCTGTGTAGCTTTTAAAATGCTCGCTCCTCAGGGAGGGGCACACACACACACGGGCCGATTGGGAAACTCTCACGATGTATCTGATTGGGAAACGCTCACGGTAGACATAGGTGAGCCCAGTTCAGAGCGAGAGTGTACGTGTGAAGTAGTAAATACCGCTTACATGAACACTTGTTTGTGGCTGACAAGCATCCGGCTGCATTTCAGCACTAATACAAACATGCATCGGCCACTTTGTGTCTGATAGGGCTTCGTATGCACCACTGAAGCATGATTATCAGCATGATAGCCATGAGTTGACTGGACCACGGCCTGCTACTTACCAGGGATTGGCCTGGTGGTAACAGCACAAGTAGTTCATTGCACTCAGAGTATGCACATGAACACCACGTGCATTGCACTCAGAGTATGCACATGGACACCACGTGCATTGCACTCAGGGAATTAGTTGACAAACTACAGTCATGATTATGCTTTGTGCTGCCCCGCCCGCCCCCCCCCCCCCCCCCCCGGCCCATGCTACGGACCAAAAGTTTAAGTAAAAAGTACTTTGGGTACAAACTAATTTTTTTCTCTTCTCGGGGGGGGGGGGGGGTATTCGTCTTATCACGGTTTCATTTCCTTTTCTTTGTTTCTGCCTTTCTGGCAGATTATGCTTTGTGTTGCCCATGCTACGGACCAAAAGTTTGGGTAAAAAGTACTTTGGGTACAAACTACTTTTTTCCCCTTCTCCAGGGAGGGTGGTGTTCGTCTTATCGGAGTTTCATTTTCTTTTCTTTATTTCTGCCTTTCTGGAGTAAATCTAGTAGACTACCGATCAAATTGGCTGTGAAGAAGCCCACGGGTGTGATTCGAGCTGTGACCAATCGCAACACCTCATGGGCACGTACTGTAGTGCATCCCAACAGCAAGCATAACAGTGATCCTGAGAAAATGATTTTGAGTCGCTTGACATACATCGTCTACTGATACTGGATGCGTGTAGGAGCGTCAAAAACAGTGCTCCTGGCTACAACCATCATCGGTTGGCAGAGCCCCAGTCTTGTGAGTTGTTGTGACCATCTGCACCATATGGAGTCTGGCCCCGGTTCGGACCCTCTTTACCATACTGGTCTGTATAGCCAACCCTGCCTACAGTCCATTTCAAAACTATAGACGCGTACCTAGGCAAAAACCGTTATGCCAGCATCTATACCACATAAAATCTGTGATCACTTTGTGCATAATTTTTTCCAAATTGGGCGTCTGTTATCCAATCCTTTAGAAACTACATGAGAGTAATTGTGGAGCGATCCTGAGCAATATTCCGAAAACTATTCTCAAAAAGTTCCAGCCAAATTTGAAATATTTCAAAAACCCTACGCGTCTATAGTTTTGAAATGCACTGTAGACACAAAATTGCAGATCACAAGTTGAAGTACATGTGCCTGTTCCTTTTCCCGACGGGGTACATCGTTGTCGGGGTTTCACTGCACCTGGTAACAAGTTATTCAACACACACACTCACGTCTTGACTGATGATCTCATCTGGCTTCGTGTACATGTAGCTAAAACGAGCACGCGGCATAGAGATATTGCGGAGATGAAGAAGCGGCTGAGATGAATGAATTCGAAGTAACTGCTGATAGTAATTGAGAAGGTGCCTGCACCATGGGAACAAAAGAAGAAACATGACAGTGCAACATAAAATTACATGTAGTGAGAAAATTTCAATAAAAAAGTAATACTTCTCAAAGTAGCCACTTGACTACGAAACTATATCTGCATGTTGGGATAACAGTCACTGGCACTACAGCTATCATAAGCTGAGCAGCACAATAGCTAGAAAGAGAAGAGGCAGCACAGCAGCATACAGATAGTGCCCCATGGCACCATCCTTGCTGGAAATGTCCTCACGCTCTGAACGCGATTGATCAGAAGGGTTAGTGGAATACAGCAATGCACCATGGGAAGTATGCTCCTGCATAGGAGATGTGATATTGTCAGGATGAGTAGCAGCAGTAGCAGTACCAGCATCACTACCACTGGCATACATGACATCACCGCCACTGCCAGGAAGAGCTGGTGTTACGTCAATTTTCCGCACACTGCCAAAGAAATCAGTAATGCGGACCTTATTCAGTGGCACGGGGAAGAGATCCCTGCGCACAGATGGTGTGGAAATCACTTGACTGGGTTTCAAAGAACTGAAGAGATCCTCGACAGTCTTCTTGCTATTGGGACGGACATGCTCCAAATATTCTAGAATATAAAATGTCCAGCGGTCAATGACTGAAACACCAACAGCAGGGTCTGAATGATGTGACAGTGAATCTTCTGATACACGACTGCTTGCAGCAGCAATGATATTCGGTGAATAGAAAGAGCGATACAGCGACTCCGCTTGGCATGTGTCAATGAGAAACATCAAACTGGAATAACGGCGCTTCTTCCACATCTGCTCAAACGCTGCACCGAGTTCTTCACTGGTGATCTCCTCTGCATCCTGAAACTTGAGAAATCCTTCTCCACCATGTCCAGTCATGTACACGAGCACATTGCTGCGGTCATCCGTCAAAAGTCGTTTCGATCGTGGAACAGAGCTGGGCAGACGGCCGGTTAGGACACGGATGAAATTTTCCACTGTCACCTCATACCCACGGTAATCCACCTCTATATCAGTGCCATAGACATTTAGTTGATGAGCACGGTTGTTGAATACAGTTCCCTGCTCCTTGTTGCGGGGGTTACATGCCATGTCATCAGCCAACATCAAAATAATTTGACTGTCAGGAATTCCAAGACGCTTCACACTGCGATACACAGATAGGGTATTGGCTACATGACGATAATTAAACCAATACCTTGATGTACACACCAGCACAGCCCAGTTGTTTGTGTGTCGTAGATCTGAGCTAAAGACAAAGTTCTGTGTCAGCAGCAAAGTTACAATCCACAAGCAAAAGTGAGTCAACATCGTCATCTTGTAAAAAGACTTGCCTTACAAAGGCTGCATCATTTGTGTATCACGTTCCCTTCTCTCAATACTGCGATTGCAGGGCGGGGTATAATACTGGAAATAACAATTATTAGAGTTAGATAGACCTAGTGCAAATTGCAAGACATGCTGTATCCAGTTCGACAGATTTGCTCAGTTCAGTTGTACAATTTTTCGAAAGATTGGATCCGATCGAAAAAAAATGCGATTTGAAAATTTCTGGTTGAATGACTTTTGTAGTTTTGTTTGACTGTTCATTTGTTTATTTGCATTGTATGAAGGCATGTCATGGTGTTTTAGTTTCAATTACTAGTACATGTAGTAGTTTTCGTCGCGTATTCATTGCTGAACTGCTCCCGTGCGGAGTCTGGCTGCAAGAAATGAGCACCACGATCCTACCTATCCTATTGTTGGTGTCGTGCTTTCTAAATGGACATGGGTACGACGACGTGAAATTCCTGACGCCTGACGAACTGACACAGTATGTCGTCGACCATCGCCTAGTGGCTGTATTTGTTTGTAAGTACAGTACTGTACAATGTAAATTAATGCACCCCTTTCCTCAAATTTCAAGGGCTGTCTTGGAATTAAAGAGACTGTCAAATATGAAGACATTTTTTCTGCTCTCAGTAGAAATACCTGCACAGACAGTCAGTACTACAGTCGTACAATGTACATGTATGTAAGTTACGTATTCAGTTTCTACAAAAAATTGTAGAACCCATATTGTATGCATTTACAACACTTGGACAACGGCCTCCAGTCTCTCCACCTGTGTTAGGTATGTGTTGCGTGCCACATATGTATTTTCAGCAACATGATAATAAAGCCATAGAGCTAGTGACCTATAGAGCTGTACATATTTTATTTTAGGCGTATAGAGGCAGTGTCAAATGTAAGCGGCCACACTGATACAGTCATGCTCTAGCAAACGATGGTACAGTCGACAGCGCACATACCGACTACTCAGCACAAGGCTTTGATGGAATGTCAGTGAGCCAGAGATGCTTGAGGAAGCGAGAGCACTCCAATGTGTAGCAACCTGCTGTGGTTAATGCTAGGGCCTAGGGCTGTAAACAATCCACGGTTGATGTTGACAATTCGCTTGCCGTTCTACTACATGCACTTGTCCATAGTCCTCCCTGTGTGATGAGTAAGTAGCAGAATATTTTCTTGCCCGATAATCCTGAAACCCGGAGTTGCAGTAAAGTTTGTTCCACATTGCTTGTAAGTACTGTAAAACCGGAAAATTTCGGTAATTTCGGTACGGGTAATCAGGCGCGTACGCAGGGTCACCTCTAGGGGGGTTTCCAACCGAATCACAAACAATGACTCGTTTTAACCCTTTCTAAAGAGCCCTAGGAAATTTTCAAAATTATACATTTTTTCGTGTTCTTTGGATCATAACTTCTGTTCTACTCACTCAATCTTCATTATCTTAGGCTTCCTGGAAGTGGAAAGGTACCAGGGAGAGAATGAGGTCGAACATGATAGCCAGGACACAGTACAGCCATGTACATATCCAGCGCTACTAGTATGCTATAGCGGTAGAGTGCAGCGACGGTGCGAAAAAATGCCCCAAACTGGGCCAAAGGCCCAAACGCATCCTGCTCCAGCGATTTCTTTTTTCTTGATCGCGATATCGCAGAGTTTCGATTTGTTTGCTGTGTACTCTTGTACATATCACAAGTGAAGCCCCTGCAAATTTGAGCAAATCAGCGTGACGAAAGTCTCAAATTCTCGATACTAGAGTCGCACTGCGCGCTTTTGAAATTGCGAGATCGCGGCTCACCTTACGAACGATTTATCTCAAGAGACATTGCTCGCAGCGCGTTGCAAATTGTTTCAACCGACCGCTGAGAGATTTCTATTCGACCTGGATATTTGGATCGTTGGATTTGAGCCAGATTTGACTGAGTTACGATCTGTTGAAGTTTTGCATTCTTGCCAGATCGATCGTGCGCCCTACCAAAATATGCCCAAAAACGTTGCTCGTTTGGAACATTTGGGGGGTTTCCGGGCAACGGGAACCCCCCCCCCCCCCCCCCTGCGTACGCGCCTGGGTAATTTTACCTAAAATAAAACGCACCGAAAATATACGTACATGCTTGCCTACTGCAGTACGGAAAACTGGTTTACCGAAATGTTCGTGCTACTGAACCATTGATTTTGGGAAATATCGATAATATCACACCACCGAAAATTCCCGGTTTTACAGTTGCAGCATTCGGATGAAATATCCGCTCATCAAAGAGCACACCCCACGCACTCGTCCGAACTCCTCTTTGCCCGGACATTGGAGCGAGCATCATGGGTAGTGTTGATAGAGTCAGCCACAAAGACTTCAGAGCTCATCTACCCCGTTGGAGCATACATCCATCTACATCTCTACAACAATGTTGCTCACTCGATAGTAATATTTTTATGACGGATAATGGGATAATCGATCAGTGGACGAACCACAGCTTACATTGCAGTGGCCGTCTTTCCACATGCACGGCTTGACAGATTGTCGAGTAGAGGCCAGCCATACCAAAGACTGAAAGAGCGGGTGCATCTTGGAAATCACCAGCCTATGTGTACTGGGGTCACCCATGGTCCCGCATCAGCCCACTATTCCTATGCAGAACATGTTGCTGCTCAAAGGTGAAATGAGTATGGGTTGAGTTCACAACATGCAGTGTACATGGTTTCTACCCTGCAGTCAGGCCATGCTCATATGCTCCACCTCAGAAACCTGACCGTCAAGGGATCCAGGTGGTGGCACGTTCTTGCGTTACTTTACTGTGCATGTACTACGGGTGTTCCTCCAGGGCATTGCTCTTAGCAAGTGACTGCATCAGGGCTAAATGTTTCCAGGTTGGCCAAAGCAACTTCTGGGGCACCCTGAAATTTTGAAAAGGAGTCTACACGACGTGTACATGTATCACGATTCACTAACTTTTGAAACTGTGTTGCTTTGCGATATGGCCCATTGGGAAAAATTTACCCACCTGCAGCCTCTCCGATCAACCTAAAATGTGTGCTTTTGTCAATACAGGCACATGTTGGTGACAGTTCCCTATTAACCCTCAGCATCAGCAATCTTTGCATGCATTTCAAAATATGTTCATGCTGAACCAGAGCAATTCTCATCATGACTTTGGTTGCTTTTCTCTCTTCTATTCTTATTGGATTTCAGACTCTGGCAGCTGTGACAAGCAATGTGCAGAACACCGTCAGTTGGCATCTGAGGCATGGCTGCAAAGCACCGACTACATTGATGATCTAGTCTTTGTGCAAAGTGACGTGAGCGTGCCAAGGACAGGACCTTGGTTTGATGACAAGCAGCCGCTGCCATCACTGCTCTTCTACCGTGATGCACTGCCAATAGTCTATGCTGGTAGGTGATGCCTGTGTGTCAGTGCATGACCTCTGCCCGTAGTCTGTGCTGCTAGAAGTTAGTGTACAGTCATATACATGACATGTATTGTATGTGACGTGGCATAGCCTCCGCCTGTACGTCTTGTTCATTTTACTTTTTTTTATGAAATGGAAATGACTTGTCACACCGTATAATTATGTGTATATGTGTATGTGTATTAGCTCCCATTGGTACACTGCGTAGGTGTAGCACTCTTGTATTCTATGTTGGCCTTTGATAGCAGGATTTCACATTCCACCTTTGTAGCTTTCTGGCTCCTAATCCAGTCAGTGGTACATGTAGTGATACCATGTAGCATTGGGGGTGATGTACTGTGAAAAGCACTTGTAATAGTGACTTTACTCCCTCGCACCCAGACGCTGATTTTTTGGAAACAAGTTTCTATACTTCCGATGGGAGAATCCGACATGGCAGTGCATTTCGGCGTGGTCAGGTCAAATTGTAGAATATCGCATTGAGTGAATTGCTTTATCTGAGAGAGATGTTGGTGCCCTTGAGACCCGAAGTCCCGTTTCCATACGACAAAATTTAGGAGCTCTGCGCTCAGCCCTTTTTCAGGGTATGAATTTTGGGTTGTTCTGGTCGGGTCGCAGCGTCGCGGACTATTCCATCGTCTTCAGCGTCGAAACACTACTGGCCATGTGAAATTACAAGGTGGTGAGACGCTTTCGTCTTCCTCTACGAGCGAATTTGTTCTGCGCCAGCATACCAAAGTATGCAATTTCGTACGCGCAGTTCGAGTGACGAGGCGTGTGCACTGTACACTGTACTGCATGCACTGACTGTGCGGTCGTTCTCGATTCTCCCATCACTCCCATTCATTTCTGTTTCCAGCAAAAGTCCAACTTGGCGCACTTCAAATCACTATAACTCAAGAATGGCTGGGCCGATTTGAATAATACTTGCAGATTTCCTATGTACTACGCCTGGGAGAATCGAATGAGACCAAAATCGAAGCGATCGGAGCAAGTTTTGGAAATTGGGTGTAGTCACTACTTGTAAGTAGAAAGCAGAATGTTACAAGAACCTGATGAACGACTGTCGTCTTGTGTACACGTAAACTGTGGAGAATGTTCTTTTATTGACGTATGTGTACTTTGAAATCCATAGTGCAGTGGAACCTCTTGATCGCGGGTACTTTGCTGGACTAGACATAAATCTGTCCTCAGTGTCCTGTTGGCAGAATGTATTACAAATTGATTGGGGATAGTTTGGACTGCATAAGTGTCTCCTGCATGTGAATGTGTCCGCTGTGCTATGTAACATAATAGCAAGTCCTACTGGGAAGAATACACATGCATACCAGCATGTGTTGTTCTGCTAGGCAGCTCTAACTTACTATGACTCACTGAGCCTGCTGTTTGTGTACTCTCTTACACTGTCTAGGTGAATGGGGTGTTGACACCATCAGCATGTGGCTCTCTGACAGTCTAGAGTCTGCTGTACAGGAGCTGACCGATGAGACATTTGAGCATGACACACAGGCAGCTACTGGTGCTACCACTGGTGACTGGATGGTCCTCTTGTAAGTCTATCTATAGACTCTAGACGTATGCATGCTCACTGTGAACGCTTTTATTTTAGGTTTTGTCAACTTGTCTGTCATGTCGCTTGTGCCAGACCACCACCCTGCCTCAACACACAAAGTGGGAACGCGAACGTGCAAACTTCATGTTTCTCATGTTTAATTTTCAGTCCCAGTCACTTTTTTCTGTGACGACCAATAATTCTGATGCTCAGCTGAAATATAGCTTGTTGGGGGTGGAATTAAATATTAGGTGGCAGGGTACCGGTTTGTATGTACAGTAAAACCTGGTGTAAGCGACCTCTCGTTTTAGCGACCACCTGCTCTTAACAAGCGTTTTTCCATGCAAGGACAGTTCTACACAGACACTGTGGGACCTGGTTCTAAAGACCACCTGGCTTTAACGACCGCTTTTCCTTGCACCGTGGGGTGGTCGCTCAAACCAGGTTTTACTGTAGTACCAAAAGTACTAAAGAAAAAAGTGCGAGTACAGTAGATCCTGTGCGACTTCCACTGTACATGCATGTACAGTAGAGATAGACAAACATGTACTCTCTACTGTACCTGTTTTGATGGCATTGTGTGGGCATGGTGCTGGTGCTGGAATTGGTGTAGAGATTTACGTGTGTGCATATGAATGTGTAACCCTGGGAGACAGTAAGACCATATACACATCAAGAGTACATAACCAAGAGTGTGCAACTCGACGATCCCCCAGCCCACGGCGGAATTTTTTTATGACATCAGTCTTTGGCGGCTGTTTGGCTCGCTGATGCCATCATGCATAGTTAGAGATCAAAGTACAAAGAATTTGTACATCACAGCTACGGTAGTCGAAGCAGAACAACGGACGATAGATCGATGTGTCCTGAACCTGATGAACTCTCACCGTATCTACAAAACATGCGCGAGAAAGCATACGCCCTTGATCATACTTCAGCCAAAGAATGACGCAATAGACGAATTCCGCCGTGGGTGAACCCATCGCAGCTCGAGATAGGAGCTGCACACTCTTGGTTATGTACTCTTGTACACATGTATCATAATTATCGTATCAGAATCCAGTAGTATTTATTCATGTTCTTGTTGTTCTTGTGCAGTATGTCAAATGACTATGTATCCTGCCCATTGTGCTCAGCCAGACACACTTCACTACATACTGCTGCATCACGGTAAGAGCGTGTGAATGATTTCCCTCTCTCTCTCTCTCTACTCTATTCTATCATACTGCATTTCTTATTTATCTATTTATTTATTTCACGATTTCCGGGTCTCCCCCCCCCCCCCCCCTTCTATCTATCTACTTTGAAGTACCCATCTAGTATCTACAGATAGAGAGAGGAAGTCGTGTTGTGACTCTAGTTTCATGTTGAATCATGCAGCCTGGACATAGGGGGGGGGGGGGGGGCAATAGCGCAAACTTTAGGTGCATGCGATATGTCTGTGTATGTGTGACTGGGAGCCATGCAGCAGCAGTTCTGGCACAAAGGTGATACGTGTGTAAATGCGTAAGAAGAAAATCAATGCTGGCTGGCGGGCTTACATCTATGTGCTAACTAGCACACAGCCAACAAACAGGAGACTGGTAGCGTGACTACAAAGCTCTATTTCCGCGACCTTGCCGACAAAGTTACAAAGAAACGTATGTATCTACTTATCTATCTACGGGTGTCTATTTCTCGCCACTAGTACCACTTTCTTGCTCTCTCTCTTCTTCTCATTTCTCCCGCTGTCTCTCTTGCCTCCTGTTAGTGGATTGCATCCTAACCTCAGTGCCTTGTGCTGTTAGCGTAGGCTTTCAACCTATGACATTTGTCACGTACAGTTGTTATGCCGTGTGCGTGTACTTTGAAATAAAAGTACAGTACTTGTACATTGTACTCGGTATTGGTTGTAACTTCTTCACCGGCTAGTGTGAATTACACACGTACCCCCTCCCCCACCCCTCCCACACTGAGGTCTTTACATGCTGGAGTGGTGCTGGAGTGTAAACTGGTTGCATATGTCACATGTGCTACACTCTAGTAGTAGATATCTCACATACATGAAGCTGGGGTTGCTGTCATACATGTGATTGTCGCACAGCTTTACTTGCACTAAAAAATCTGCCGTAGCACTTTCACGCTGACTTAGTCTACTCTATAGCAGATTACTTTCGTGGAACTGCTCATTTCTAGCTTGTATCTCTCTATACCAGTACTATTGCTGCTGCTGCTGCTGCTGCTGCTGCTGCTGCTGCTGCTGCTGCTGCTGCTGATGTTGGCACACCTGAACATGCACTGTGTGCAGTCACTGTGCAGGAGGCCACATTTTCTGAAGTGCGTTTGTGAATAAGCCCATTGCGCATTGCCAAATATGGAAGGTATGAGTAATGCATGTGAGTACACTGGGATCAGGAATGCACTGTTCAACACCCCCAGACGACCATGCCCAGGTGGCTGTCTGGGGTGTTTATGGTACAATTACGTCATTGCGCAATGGGCTTATTGCTGTGCTGTGCTGGTGCGGTGCTGCTGTGCTGCTGGCCTGTTGTATTATGGTCTTGATAATGCGCACAATTTCAAGAGCAACCTGGGAGAGGGAAAAAGACCCCAGTGCCATCGGTTTGCGTGGCGCGTGTTGTGAGCTGCCTTTGGAGTGAAAAGTTTGTCAGCGCCTTCTAGGTTCGGCCTGGTCCCATAGCTCAGATGGTTATGATTGCCGTGACATGCAAGGTCCCGGGTTCGAGTCCTGGTTGATGTGGTATTTTTTTCTCTTGTCAGGCAGTTCACTTCCCCAACTGATCCTTTGAATTTGAAGTACTCCCAATCCTTTCAATGTTTCAAGAGCAATAGTAATTTTTTTAATTCTGTATAAATTTGTTGTGTTTGGTCATTGCACAGATTGAGGAGTCGATTTGTCTTTGGTGTTGTCAACTTAGACACCAGCCCCAGTGAGTAGATTCCCTACAGTGCTTTACTCATGAGCTTAGTTATCTTCACTTGCTATCTTACGTATGATTCTACAATGTTATTAGTGCTGGGCCACATGACCAAGTGGTGTGTGCCCTTTTGCATGTGTGTGTACGTGTGTGCTTGTGTGTGCATGCGTATATCCATTTGTGCGTGTATGGTTTAGAACTGAGGGAACGGTTTCGAACAGAGTCTGGTCCAGAGCTATATTTGTAAGTTAAAGTGGTGTCAATCTAACAATCATGTCTTTCCGCATGTTCATGTTGGCATCAGATACCTGTCCATGTTCTTATTGTCCCTGAATTCTCCTTTATCATGCATGCACGTGATTGTGTACATGTGCGTGTATCTGTGCGTGTCTGTGCGTGCGTGCATGTGTGTGAATCTCTAAAAAATGGGGAAAAAAAGAAAGAAAAAATTCACGGTTTGCGTGAGACTCGGCCAAAGGCCCAGTTTTCCGCATCCGCAGGAACGCCACCACCCTCTTGAAGGCGCAGATGCAGCTCCTAAGCGGTGGGAGGAGAGTAGATCAGACCCACCACAAAGTGGTCAAAGACCGAAAATCCCATTCACTGCATCCATGTTTCCCTCGTGCCAGGCCACGAGTTCCCAATTAACTGTGGGTCGCAGCACAGCTGGAAAAATCCTTCCGCTTCCAAGCAGGACTTGAACCTGGTACCCTCTGTTTCTCAATCATGGTTTTAGACCATCCCACTATGCCTGCCTGCCTGGATAAATGGAGAAAAAAATGGAAAATGAAAAATAGGGATTCACTGGCCAGAAAAAGTCACTTCAATCAGCTGTGTGGTGTAGACCAGGCTAAAATTAGTAGCAGTCAATTCATCAGCCTTGCAAGCTGTTGAATGGTGTAATCCCAGCACAAGTTGCTATGTTTAACATACCGTAGAATCCCGCGGATAAGCCCACCCGCGTATAAGCCCATGCCCGCGCATAAGCCCAGGGTTTGGTCGAACATCACAAAGCTTCATCGTACAAGCCCATGGGCCTAGGTCATACCGAGAGTCCATAAATTATGGACTCTTGGCCATACCATGTACGTAGTACATGCACATTATCGTTTGTTTTCATACATTTCAGCACAATCATCGGTTGTTTTTGTTTGCACAGTGGTTTTCAGCAATGTACTTCTCACTTCCTTGATACTTTTCAATAGCACAACTTGGTGTCGGCGTATAAGCCCATGCCCGCGTATAAGCCCATGTTCTCGTATAAGCCCACCGAAATGTCCTTGTGAAACAGATAAGCCCATGGGCTTATCCGCGGGATTCTACGGTAGTGTGTGTGTGTGTGTGTGTGTGTGTGTGTGTGTGTGTGTGTGTGTGTGTGTGTGTGTGTGTGTGTGTGTGTGTGTGTGTGTGTGTGTGTGTGTAAATGTCTCTTCCCCAACATGGAAGTATCTGTTGGATTCTCGACATCTCCCATTTGTTCTCTCTGCAGTTTCCGTAAAGGACAGATGTATCGCTTTACTGTTGACTCCCAGTCAACGCAGCCAGTTAGCAAACAATTGGAAGCATTCATGAGTTCGGGTTTCGAGAAAGTGGATGAGCGGAAAGTCACGCTTGAGCCTATATCTAAAGGGTGAGTCTTGCTGTAACTTGGCTAAGAGTGTTGGTGGGTTCTTGTACGGTGTGTCACACTGCCAACCTGGATAGGTGCAGCATACCTCATCAGCACATGGCGAACATGAGAATCCACTACACTGCAGTGCTGTTAATAAGGGCCGGGTTCCACTGCGGCTCCGCGGCTCCGCTGCTCCGCGGCACTTGGCTGCATGCAGCGGAGCAGCGCGGTTCCACTGTCACTCGCCATTCGCGGTACCGCGGTCGTGGTCCACACTTTTTGATGACGTTTCACCTGCCTGCGCGCGCGCGAAATCAAACAAATCCTCGTGTTCTGCCCTGCGCAACGAATTAAAATTTGAATTTTAAAATTCTGGCGTACAAACAATGCAAAGTACGGGAAACAGGTCGAGCCGCGACCGCGGCTCGCAGTTTTTGGTCAAGAATCGTAGCAAAAGCTCGCGGTGAGCCGCGGACTCGCTGCTCCAGCTCGAGCCGCGGTCACTATGGTAATGATGACGTTCCAAGCCGCGAAAGACGAGCAGCGGGGCAGCGGAGCCGCAGTGGAACCCGGCCCTAAGCACCATCAACATCTGATGGATGGCGCAAAGCTCAGATTTCTACTGTCACTGTACCACTATGCACGGATATACATGTACATGTACTACAGTTCTAGCCAGAGAAATCCAACCTCATGAGTAAGGTAGCGCCGCACTCCAGTGAGCAGAGTGGTGTGTGTGTTTGTGCGCGTGTGTGTGCGTGTTTGTGCGCGCGTGTGTGCGTGTGTGTGCGCGTGTGTGTGGTGCTAGGGCCATGTAGTCCTCGGTGCTATTATATTCACGAGGTTAGGTTTCTGTGGCCAGGGCTGTACTTGTAGTAGCTGTACTGTATGTTGAGAAGTGCACGAAAATAGATCTACCAATTTCAGTAGGTCATGGGTGCAAAGTGCGGATACTAGTATCACCCATTTTTGCAATCTTTACAGTAGATACTACAGTACTATGTACAATTGTTGTGGAAAGCAGCTCCATTTCCCTACATATACAGAAATACCAACTTCTACCGATTTCTACCAGCCTCTAACTTGGTAGAGCCGGCAGAGGAGAGTAGAATCCACCGCTTGGGGTAGAAAACGAAAAAGCATCTGCCGCATCTGCCGCATCTGGCGCATCTGCCGCATCTGCCGAAAGAAGTAGTTTCTACTGAAACGTGTACATGTACATCTAGATCAGAAATTAACGTCTTTAGTAGTTTTGCCCAAATAACTTCGAAATGATACCAAGGGCATGTTCGATTGGTTGGATCCGGATCCGGATCCAGATCGATTGAGTGGATCCTTTGGATCCAGCAAGGTCCAATCAAATGCTGCCCTTGATCGAATCTGGAATTTTAATGATTTTTGAGGGTTTCCATGAGAGAAAGCAATGATTTCCGCATCATCACTTTTATATAAGTTTTATTCCCGCCATTTGTACACATACCACGTACAGAGTACAATTGTTGGCAAAAAAGAATCCGGTGGACCCGGTCAACCCTACTCACGCAGTAGGGTTGATCGGATCCAAATCCGTTGGATCTGGATCCGGATTAGTTGAAACGAACGAGCACATATCGAGTGGATGCGACTGTTCTGCATCCATTTCCAACCAATCGAACATGCCCCAAGTCATGGCTAGTTTGTTTGCTGAGTATGTGTACCATGGAAATTGGCATCAGTGCTAAAATGCTGGTCAAGTCTAGTGCTGGCTTCTAGCAAGAGTGCGTAATCCCCGAGACCCCTAAGAGTGTGCAGCTCCACTATGGGTGCTTTCTCGACACTGGTCGGCAGAATTTCAAGTTTTTAGTTTTTAATGTTGCAATGCACGTTGTACACGTATCATCACACATAATTGAATGGTGAGAAAGAAAGCAATGGGTACGGCTGGGTAAAGCCTAGTTCACATTCGACGGGGCGCGACGTAAGGATCGACGGGAAGCGACGGGACGGTCTGACGGCGTCCAATGTGAACACCAGGAACGGGAACGCAACCGTACTACCGTACAGATCGGGAAGCGACGGGAAGAGTTGGATCGATCCAACTTTTCATACCGTAGACGGGCATAGACGGGGACGCAAGCATACAAAACGGCTGCAATTCGAGTGTGAACAGGAGACGGCGTTGTGCGCCGACTACTCCCGATTCGTACTTGGAAATGTTTAGCATTTTGAACACTGCGCTTCCCATGATAACTCACAGAATGGCTAGCACGACTTGAGTTGAATTTTAGCAACATAAGATCTCATGTCACTTATGGTATTTAGGGATAGTTCAGAAGCGTGACAGACGAACTATTCTATCATTTCCTGGGGTTATTATTTGAATGCCTCAACTTTCAGGGCTAATTTTTTGATCTTCATTAAAAACTGGTATTGTGAACTTGATTCCGCTTCTTTCAAGGAGGAATAATTGAAAAGAAGTCCCGAAAAACGAGAAATTAGGTTCGAAAGTCACCCCGTCACGGACCGTGCCTTATGACTCGCGCCGTTCGACGTTGAACGTCGTAACGGCTGCTGCATGTCGTGTCGTACGAACCGTACAGGATTTTACAGCTCACCCCAGCCCTCCCGACAAGCCCTTACATCCCGTACCGTCGGCGTTGCGTCGAATGTGAACTAGGCTTAATAGCCAGTAGACGGTAGTCTGCCAGGCCTACCCACTACCCACACATATTGACTGGTCAGAAAGAAAGCATGTGGCAACCAAGAGGCCTAGCGACGTATCCTTAGCCTGTGAGGCTGTGGTACATGGTGTACCCCATTTGATCCTGTACAAACTATAGGTACTGCACTAGTGCAGGGAAACTATGTTACTTGTGCGAGAAGCATTGCATCGTAAATTAACATCAACTACATGTAATTGAAGTTCTGTCGGGACAGCACTGTGTGCGGGAGCTGTACACGTTGGGGGTTATACTCTTGCTTCTAGCGATAGTGGCGCGGTATTTAACGTCTAAGCCATACTTTGTTCTTTTGTTGAATATGGTGATACACAATTACTCAACCTCTTCTGGTTTTCTTCTTCTTCTTCTTCTTTATTCCCTCTTCCAGTTCTGGAATATCGATTGTGGATCGACTAGTTCCAATTGTAAGGCTTACTGTGCATTGCATGCTTGGCAATGTGTTGTACTTTGTGTAAGGCTGGGCCAGAGTCCTGATTAGACATACTACACATGTTTGCGTTTTGGTCATGCCTGGGACTTAACTTTGCATTAGAAGTACCTTGGATAGGAAGTACATTGGATAATAAGTACATTGGATAGTAAGTACCTTGAATAGAAAGTACTTTCTTTCACTCCCCAACGCGGGAGTACGTCTTATCAGAGTTCCACTGTACATTGCATTTCTCGGTGCTTACACAGTCACTGTTAGCAGGGGGTTAGGCCAAGTAAAAAAAAAAGCTAGATGATCGTCCCCGTCCGCCCCAGTTTTTGTCAGCGCCCCAAGAAATATTTTATTTTTTAAATCGTGAGTTTTACTATATGGACCACATACTACTAGTATATCACAACGTCAGTATCGATCTGCTGAAGAAAGAAAAAGAAAAAAAGAAAAAAAAAGAAAAAAAGAGAAAAAAAACCTTGATGTTGTTGTGTACACTGTGTGCATGAGAGGGTAAAAAGTAAAAAAATAAAAATAAAATCCTCCCGCCCTCCCCGATTTTTCCAAAAAAAAGGACGATCATCTAGTAATTTTTTTTACTCGGCCTTAGGTACTCTTGCTAACAGTGATATTGCTCTTCTTCCCATAGCTGGTGTTGTTGATGGTGTTGTTCTCTTGCTCCTGTGTTTCACTTGCAGTTGGGAATACTAGCAGCTATTGCAGTGCCATTTTTCATTGCTGGTGCAGTTCTGGAAAGAATTGCGAAGCGACAGAAGAAAGCAGCAAAGGCGAAGTCCCGAGGTAGCGACAGCTCATCAGTGAAAGGTAAGCATTGGTTGTGAAGCCTTTGTCAGAGTTCTGCATAGCTGCCAGTTTAATGCTGAGCAATTTTGAACACTAGACAATCTTTGGCAGTTTTCTTCGAGTATTTGTCAAAAAAATAGTTTGATACACTCCACACTGCGCTTTAGTTATTTGTCAACACACCTAGAAAAAAACGTACTCTAAATCATTGAAGTGATCAGAATTACCTATTGTATAGGGAATCATGGTGCCGACATCTTGTTGATTCTCAATACCATTTCCACCCTCGGGGGGTCGACCCACCTAGGATTGGGTATCTGACATTGGTTGGGGTTGCAAAGGCGAAGAAGAGGACGAGGAGGTGAGCATCGCCCTCACTATGAGGAGCTCTATGAAACCAGGGGTCTCTAGCACCTCCTGCCCCTTCTACACCACACACGCATGCACGCACACACACACACACGTGCGCGCATACATGTAGGTGCATGTGTGCAACCGCATGCTCGCGTTGTCAGTGGTTCTGCCCATGGCCATCTTCAGGACTACAGCAATGATATCAGGGTTGAGAAGGTTAGAGTGATAATTTTGGGAGTTCATGATGTGTCCGCAACCTGTGGAGCCTGATCACCAAGCTGTCACTGCCATTCTTGGTAATCCCAAATGTGTTCTGTTTGTGTGTGTGTGTGCATGCGCGCACGTGCGTATGTGTATGTATGCGTATGTGACTATTTATTTTCGCCTACGTCTTATTGCTGTTGAAGACTCCGGCAGTTCGGCACGTCAGCGCAAAGTATAGTACAGTCGAGGTGTTTACGTAGGAGTGGTCAATTCTAAACTAATGAAATCATGGAGTTGTGGATTAGTGACCCAATGCACTCATTTCTGACATATTATTGCTTATTTACTTTTTAACAGTTCAGTCTCGCTTCAGATTCTTCCACAGTAGTCTGTATTAAATGCCGTATTAAAAGTGCAGAAGGTGTCTGTCCCAGCCACCATTGCTATCGCTATTGCTATGGTCCTGACTGCTGAGAACATTGACATCTTTTCTTTCTTCTAAGTTTCTGTGTGTATGTGCGTGTGCTACCAGTACCAACCAAGCTTGATTTTTTTTAATTGGGCTCAAATTTACGACACCCGGGGGGGGGGGGGGACAAGAAACACAAAGCCACGATATCAAAATCACTTTGTTAAAAGTTTCAGTTTCTATGGTTCTCTAGTGCACATTGGAACAAATCAGGGAAAAAACCTTGAAAGTCAAGAATAAGATTTCTGTATCATTGTGAAAATCAAGCATAGTTTCATAAGATAACATGCAGCATGAGTAGTCTCCAGTTTGAAATTTGTCCGTGTCGTCAACTTTACAGCACAATGATTAATGAAACAGCACTCTCCGTGGGTATGTTGTAATGTTGTAATGCATCATTTAAAAAAAAGAAGTATGTACAGCAGTGTAAAATCTTGAAGAGTAAGACAGAGCGAAAATGTTCACTGCTGCTGCTGGTAAATATTGGATGTCACAGAGAGGCACACTATTGGATATATTGCCATAAATTATGCACATATACTGCACACAGACACATGAACACGCACGCACACACACACACACACACACACACACACACACACACACACACACACACCGCTGAGACACTCAGACAGTACACTGTGGTCACTACAGCACCCGGCACAGACAAGCTCCATGCCGGCTATCACTCCGGCACTAGAGTAGCTGCAGGCACCGACAGTATCACCTAGCTATCACTCCGGCACTAGTATCTGCAGGCGCCGACAGTATCACCTAGCTATTACTCGCATCCGTTGCTGGCACCGGTGGCGGCGGTGCGGTGCTGTCAATAGCAGCATGTGCTGAACGGGACCGTGCACGCTGTTGTGCAGGGCTTTGACTGTGTGTTGTCAAGAACTCATGGCATGTATGGCATACCAGTACAGTCTCCGTCTTCGCTGCTGGGGCTGGTGGAGAGAAAGAGAAGAAAAATAGCCAACAACACAGCGATCAAATACAGATACAAACTTGAATAAAAAACTAAAAAGGCCATGAATAAGTACAGCAAGCACTACCGAAGAATGATGAACAGACTGGAAAATAAGAACGACACGGGCTGGAACTTCATGAAGCCTTCAATTAGGAACAAACATACCGCTGGGTTTTTTTCACCGAACGAAATCGACGAAAGTTTGCTGTACAATAGGCAGGCATTTAGTATACAGGTAGTGTCCAGCATCTATCAGTGCATCTACCAGTGCCTATCAGTATCATAGGGTGTGAATGCAATATGAATTTGATGAGAACACAGCCATTAGGAGACAGCATGGGCTGAAGAACTAAGATAAGAAGTACCCAGCCTCTTGCTGTCGTCAAATAAAACACATCCCAGCTGGACACGTGGTCCCTGCATTCTCTGACATGTGCACGCTTGTAGCTAGAAGCCAAATCTAACGCTAGGAGAACTGCTATCAACAATGTGAAGGTGACGCCACGGTGAGAGGCAGGCTAGGAAGATCAGAGAGCTCAGGGGCGTAGGCCGACTTGTTCATGGCATGCTTGTGAACCAGGGAATTCTGCCAATTGTGTTGTTCATGCAAAACAGTACAATTCCCTACTGCAGGTTAACACCAAGCTGCAGAGTCCATGTAACCAGGAACTACTTCAAATTTACCCTGGGCTAACAGTTATGCCCTGAGTCATCACATGACATCAAATCCAGTGTGGACTGTGTATACAGAAGGCAGCACAGAAGAGTGGTCAAGCCATGCACAAAGTGTTACAATTGCAAGGCCGCACTGCATGCATCCCACTTACCCGTGGCCCCAAGGAAGGCACGCGGTACTTCCTTGTTGCAGCAAGTTGCACAGAAATCTTGACCACAGTGCCGACAGTAACACTGCATTGGACAATAGGTCAAACAGCACAAGCACACACATACACACGCGCGCATGCACACACACACACCCCAGCACACACACACACACACACACACGCACACATGTGCCCATATTTCCACAAGTAATTAGCACACAGGGACAGCAAATACACCATGTAAACACACACACACACACACACACACACACACACACACACACACACACACACACACACACATGCACACACACACACACGTCCACTGCATACAAATGTAGATATTATGCAACACATCTGTATTGGCAATGTTCTCTAGAGGCTATCCGCAGTTGTCAGCGTTCATCACGACTCTTACAACTGCCAGCATGTGTGCATGTACCTGGACAGCAGGCCCCTTACCCGTTTACGTAAAATTCCCGACAGTGAAACGAGACAACCTGCACATAGACCTGACAACACGCACAACACACAAAAAAATGCAATACGCCAATACATCAGGTATTGCCATATGAACCCAGGCGCATAATAGGCCAGCATTTCAGAAAATGAAAAACCCCGACAGATCACATAAGACTCTTCGAAAACGGAACCAGGGGTTAGCAATGGAAGTAGAGCACTGTGTATTTCAAGAGCACTGCGAAGATGGGCCCAAACAAATGTTTAGTATGACACATGTGTGCTCTCCAAAGAACATGAGCAAGACCATCCTACATCACACATCAATGGTTACTTGCAGCATGCTGATTACCTGGTACTTCACATGTGCAGTCACACCAGTGCAGAACCTAACTTCTTGCAGCAGATACCTGTGAAGATGTTTGGGCCACTGTAGGAAGCAACCCATCAATGGACAGACAACACTCACTTTCTTTCGTGATTTTCCGCCGCTGCCGTAATGCCTTAAGTCTACTGACTACGCCTGGCTTCCCTACAGAGGACGCTGTAAAGCACACACAGACAACACACACAGAAAAAGAAATAGACAGACCGATACACATACAAATAAATTAGTAAGGAATGCACTGACCTACACTCAGTAAGTACAAGTTCACTGAACGGCCATTACAATCACAGCAGTGCCAGCCACCATCAGTACCAGAGAAATGAAACAAAAAATCCCACAAATGCAGTCAAGGTGTACTGTAGTAAAGGTACTCACACATAGACATAGCATTACCGGTCTATTTCCAAAGTACATGTACTCCATTCTAACCACAGCTTCGGAACCAATATTGCAAAAACCATCCAGGAGGACAGATTTTCATGAGCAAGCCCTAATGCTTTTTGTTCCACCTCCACCCTATACGCTCTCTGGCCGACCTCATTCACATCCGCAACATGACACCAAGTCGTAGATATTGTCAAATAGAACTTTCCCTCAAGGCCGAAAGCTGCTGCTTTACTCTCGTAAACTCTAATACCACAAAGTAAAAATCCCAAACCGTCCAAGAACTATACAGGAGTCAACTGAACACCGCTGGCGTCCACCGATCAGTTTAAAAAGGTACAAATAAACAGTGCGAAGATTGACAACTGTAGTACAGGTACTACTTGAAGAAGCGACACCATCAGCACCATCAGTACCAGCAGGAACAGTCACAAGTGTGCACATGTAACTGGAACACCTTCACGTCAGTGAAGTAACTTGGCAGCATGATTTAATACCGTGTTCTACAATGAGTTGAATTCACAGCTCATCAGACAAAAGAGTACAGGCATGGGGAAAAGGAGTGCCACTTGTGACTCTATCACCAACACCTAGTGTTCAGGTCAGTTGAGAGCAACACGTGTAGATCTACACTGTATACACACTACTGATGTTAAAGTACAGTCTACTCTCAATAAGTTGCACACCCGATCTTGGAGACAAGAATATGTGACCTATCGTGGGTGTGTGACCTAAAAGTGCATGACTTTTTGTGCGTAGACTGTACTGGTATAACTATGGTAATACATAACCCAATACTAGTTCAATACTAGTATAAGATAAACCTTGTTATAGTTCACACATGTTGTTAGTGCTGTCAAGCTAACAACATGGTATTACCGGTAACTATGTACAATGGTGCTGATAAAATGCGATTGCGCGAGTCGAGTACGCCGTGCCGGGCGCTGTGCAGACTTGCCAACACTGGGCTATGTACTGGTGTAGGGCATCGCTAACTTGATTCACACCATTCACACCATTGCACTTCATTGCACTTCATTGAGCAGCAATGTAGTGCAACAATGGCTAGGTCGACAGCAGCACTACAACTCTACAACCCCACAGCACTACACAGACTGTATCACCCCATAGCAACTGCCAACCAGACTTGCACGGATATTAGCAGACTGCACGCTACTTCCCACCAGCTCACTACATGTACAGCCACAACAGATGAGGTACAGTGCACTGTATACCATGAGTAGTGCAATAAGCAGACTGTGTGATAGGCTCAGCGGCTGGTACCCCACACAGGCACACCCTGCATGCATTCTAACTGTACACTGGAACTCAGTGGCTAAGATTTATAACAGGACGGCACTGGGAAACAAAACACGATTTAGGAAACAGTTCTAATAGGACTCAGATAGGAAGCCAAGGAATATAATCAAGAAAGTAGGCCAATAGTCCACAAGTTCTGTGTAGTTGTCGGCCAATACATAAACCGAGATAGTGTAACACAGAGTGTTGGACAATTGGCACAGTACTGAGTCTGACATTCAACGGCCTGGAATCTAGCTCTCAAAAGCGCAACCAACAGTCTTCCAACTCGGAAGGTGTTCAAATAACTTCGCCACTTTAGATTACGTATCATTCTATGATTAGCAAGAGCCTCCCAAGTAGGGTGGACGTTGTTTCGCGGTCTTACCATGGCCGTCCTGTGCTGTGGTGTTTCGTCTCCCACCATCATCCTATCACAGCCAACATTCTCAGTTTGCTTTGACGATTGGCTTACTCTCAACTTTCTTGAATTAAGTTCTAATTGGGTTGTGAAATCATCTTACCTGCAGGAATATTAGCCGATGCCGAGCTATTCTCATCATCACCATTGTCAGAATTCTCCGCAGCAGCAGCTGAGTCAGGCTGTTCACTGATTGCAGTCGGCTCACCAGGCACGTTCTACAAATAGCACAGGCAACACATGCACACACGATCCCCTGCATCAGCACATGAATACCGTCACATAAGTCATTTTAAAGGCTAGAACATCAGCTCTCTCTC